ACATTTCACAAAACCGCTTAAAAATTAGAAAGACCGTAACAAACCAAAAAAAAAATCATCCTGAAAATGATATGTGAATAGACTGAACTAAAAAACATCCTGAAAATGATCCCCTTTAATTAATAATAGATTTCACAAGCAAGACTACTTCATAAAAATATTAAAATATATAGCCAATCTACTCTATATATATATATAACTCGTTTGATAACTCCTGCGTACTATCTATTATAATACTTCATTTGATGTCTCAACACTGTTAAAAAAAGAAAAGAAGTTATTTATTTATGTTTGTTTCACATGACCAAGATTCCCTTATTCGTGGATCATCTTAAGGTGTTCTGTGAATGACTTTCTAACACGTGTTCTCTGAATGATGTGTTCATCATTTCCGCATGCACATCTATATGTATAAAAATATGTGAATGGGAAGTTCCAAACTCTCTGGTGGCATGTGGAAGCATGTGACTCAGATGCCCTCATTATAGGGAGCAAAACTTGTGTGTCGATCTTTTACTTGCACAATCCTCTCTGACACCTTCTTAAATATAGGAAATATTTCTGTTGTGTTAAAAAATTAAAGTTCTTTTTTTACAAAGTCTAAATGATTTTTAGTGGATGATGATGGTCTTTAAAACCCCCAAAAAAAAAAATTAAAATTAGAATATTAAGGGAATACGGCTAAAGAAAGTACAAGAAATCATTTAAAGAAACACAAACTAAGTAAGCGATCGATCAATAGAGTCATCATGGGTTCCAACGAGACCATGTGGAATTGTATGAGAAAAAGTCTGTATTGGTCTTTTTATTTGTCTCGCTTTTAACCGGCCACCAATTGGTTTTAGAATTTTTTTTGTTTTTTTTAAATAGAAATATTGATTACGAATAAAATTTAATGAAAGGGAAAAAACGTGAAGTGACTGTTACTAACTTTCAAAAATGAGTTGCGAGTAAGATGAGTATTGATGAATCCGTGGTTTTGTATCCCTCCACACACATGAAATTTGTCCTCATAATAATAATAGCGAAATTTTGGATTTGCATTCTTCGTAAATGGGCTGTCATTTATTGGACCTTTACTTATACCCTTTTCTATTTACAGTTATAAATATAATTAGTGGGCTTATGTACAGTATTCCTATTGATGTTAGATTATTCCGACAAAATTGTTTCTTTTAAAACAAGTGCTTGTTGAAAGAATTAAATCTAAAAGCAAGAACACACAACACTATTAAAAAAAAAAAGGCATTGGTGATAGTCATTAAAACAAAAGAATGATCACATATTTTGATCAAACCGGTTTCAGTTCACAACGTAAGAACACGTATGCTTTAGGAACCGTAAGAACAGTACTAGCCCACTCAACCTTTCCCCAAAGGTCATCATCGTTGCTGCGCCTTTCAAGCGCAATCACGGCACACCAAATATTCTTGTTTTGGCGACGAGGCGGCGCAAACTTTTCCCACAAGATCAAGAGCTTCCCACCGTAGTTAGCAATTTCAACAAAATCACAACGACGATTCCCATTCAATGCATTCAAACCCTTGACCACTCTCCATTCATTAAGCTTTGTGTCATACCACAAGCAACTTTGTCTACCACATTTGTACCGTACGTCCTCGATCTCGCACTCACTCTCGAACACAAATGATTTTCTTGGAACGTCCCATTTACCTTCTTTTGGATCATAAACATATTCCATATCTGTCATGCTCTTAACGTGAATCCTTCTTAGTATCACCTCCATTTTCTTAATTAAAGATACGCATAGCTCGTCTCCAGGATCAGGTAAAGGTTCCCAAGTTTGAGTCTTTGGATCGAAAGACTCACCCCAATTTCTGTATTCAGCACAACCTCCCATTACATATATTTTCTCATCACAGACGCACGCAACGGCGTTCGCTCGAGCTACCGTCATGCTAGGTGCTTTACGCCACGGATCAGTACTCTTATAACGGACCCACATGACAGAGGACGGAGTAGTATTGTATTTGCTGATAGCGTATAACTCTGAACCAACCGCACCTATGAACATTGGTACACGAGGAGAATAGGAAGAGGGTATTGGTACCAACAAGGCATTTCCGCTCGACTTATTCTTCTTCCTGATGTCATTGGTTAGGGTTTGATCAGGTTTTAACCAGAGACTGAACCACGAGGGACGGCGACTAGTGGGAAACTGTAAGCAGACATGAAGGACGTTTTCATGGGTTCCAAGGTGCATTCGCTCCTCGTAGAGCTCCATGGATAAGATCAGAGTGCAAAAGGTCTTGCAGACTAGGGAGAGTTTAGGGTAGTACGATTTCGATATGCGGGCTAAGCAGTTTAGGATGATTACATCTGGAAGCGACAAAAACGACGGAGGAGACGGATTTGGTTTCTTCGGTGGTTTGACGTCGGAATCCATAGCGGCAGAGGCTGAGATTGTAGCAAAAGTAAGAGGGGGCTTTTGTAGATTAGAGTAAAACACGAATTAGCATAGAGTGATTTTATGTATTGAATACCTTTTTGGCTTTTTGAGAACAAACCAGCCTCGAGACGGAGATTTTGTTTCCGGTGGTGACTTTCCTGAGGATTTCATCATAGTTAGGAAAACACGATTAGGTCTTTATAAAACCAGCGCATAGAGAGTCTACTTATATACCTTTTGCTTTACCTAATTGTAAACAGGGCCCTTGGTTTAATCAAAATAATCTGACCGTCCCCCTTTGTAAAAATAATATATATTTATGAAAGAGTGTTGATGAAGAAAGTTTCAAACGAGGCCTATATATTCTCGGGCTCCGGAAACGAAAATAAGCTCATGCGACTAATTAATGTGAGACCATGTCTTCACTTACATAATAGTATATGCATGCTTAAGTGGAGTCCGGCAAAAACCAATTGCTATATATTTCTTACAGTGAGAGATTACATCAAGTGATAAATTTCTTCGAAATTGTTGTTGTCCTTCTATTTTTTGCACATAGACTCTCGTACGTCAAGCTAAGTTTGATTGTAGGTTACGTCATCTTTAATCAACGACAGATGATACTATAGTAAATGAGCTTATGATAGGTACAGAAATAGAGACAATTTCTGACAAGAATATCAGACTAATCACATTACCTGATTTTAAATTTAACACCAAACTCTCACACACAAAATGTATATAGTGTCACGCCAAGCTATTTAATAAAAAAGGTAAAGCAAAGCCACCTAACTTTTCATAGAGTTAATAAAAGCCAATCTCGACAGTACGTAAGAGCAAAAACATGATCACAATTGACAAATCTTTGTCACTCACAACGCAGTCACTAGCCTACGCAAGAAAACGTATGAACTCGGAACCTTAAGCACAATATTAGCCCACTCAACCTTTCCCCAAAGTTCATCATCATTGCGTTTTGTAACCGCAATCACCGCACACCAAATATATTTGAACCGACGACAACCAGGATGCACAAACTTGTCCCATAAGATTAAGAGTTTCCCATTGTAACTGGCCATTTCAATCACAATATTACGACAATATCTATTCAACGTAGCCAAACCTCGAACAACTCTCCATTTTTTAGGCTTTGCGTCATACCACAATAAATTCTGTACGCCACAACGGTAAACACCATTTACTATAAACATCACGTAGGGTTTCTCTACATCGATCCATTTACCTTTTGTCGGATCATAAACATAGTCCTTCTTCTCCTTGCATCTAAGGTAAAGTTTTTTTTGGATCACCTCTATTGATTTAATCGAAGAGGAGCGGATCTCGGCTCCAGGGTCAGGTAGAGATTCCCAAGTTTGAGTCTTAGGGTCGAAAACCTCGGCCCAATTCGTGGATTCATCTCCCCCGCAACCTCCCATTATGTATATCTTACCGTCGACTATGCCCGCAACAGCTCTCACTCGAGAGACAGTCATGTTGGAGCATTTACGCCATAAGCGAATCTCTCTATTAATCTCCTTATTACGGATCCACAAGACAGGGGACGGAGCATTGTTTTGCGTGAGTCCATATAGTTCTGATTCTTCTGAACCAACCGTAACGATGAACATTGGTACACAAGGAAAATAGGAAGAAGGTGTTGGTAAGAACAGTGTATTTCCGGTAGACTTCTTCTTACCGATGTCGTTGGTTAGGGTTTGGTCAGGTTTGATCCAGAGACTGAACCAGGAGGGAAGAGGGTGATCAGGCAACTGTAAGCAGACATAGGTTTTGAGGTGAGATCTCGCCACGGAGAGCTTCTGTGATGAGATGAGAGAGCGAAAGGCTTTGCAGACTAGTGAGAGTATCGGGTAGTACGACCTCGATATGCGGGCTAAGCAGTTCACAACGATTACATCTGGAAGCGACAGGAACGATGGAGGAGATGGGTTCGTTTTCTTCTTTTTCTGCGGTGGCTCGTCTTCGGAATTCATTGCGGCAGAGATGACGTTTCGTCAATTAGGGTTAAAAGCATGATTAGGGCAGGGCATAAAACTTATAGCAAGATATCTTTGGGCTCAGGAAGTTTAAATAAGCCCGTGTGGTTAAGGAGATTTTATTTGCTTTTTATTTTTTTTCTTTCGATGATAGATTTAAATCAATTCAAAACGGTGAGATTTTTAAGAATCCCACACAACCGAATTTTCTTTATTTATTTATCCTATCTGACTTTCAAAAACGAAATGCATAATCAATGAAATTCTTTTAAACACTTTTTATGTTTTGGTATATTAAATAATTTTGAATAAATAGTCCAAAAATGATTTAAAAAAAAGGGATTTAAATGACCTCCCATATTTTATTCCTAAAATCTTTCTTTTTGTCATCATGAAAATGCATGAATGATACAACTAGCGCATATTCCCACTTGATCTCTTTGTGTTGTTCTTCTCTTTTCAACCACACGTTTAACATGTTCAAACTAAAAACATAGGAAAATCGGAGGAAAAAATCAGTGCACGAAAAGTAATATCATAGCACGTATTACCTCTAATAGACACAAAATTAATTCTTTTGAGAATAGTTTTTTTATTTATATAGTGAACTCACTCTCACAACTCTCCGACACAATCTCGACCTCTTTAGCATCTAATAATCCTTTTACCATAACATCGCATGTCACCGCCACTTTCTTGTTCCGTTTAACCAAACCGGTGCCATATCCCGCATTGAGGTCCATCGTCAATACCAAACTAATCGCTTCAGGTGGCAGCGCGGCCGCGTTCTTATACCCATCTAGCGTTAAGTTTACAGTATCGAATCCGTACACAGCTTGTGACAGTTCAGGGAAATTCCCTTGGCAGAGGTTCTTGTTCTTGTAGGTGAGCGAGACGAGACCTTTGTAGGTCACCCACATGTTGGACGTTGGGTTCTTGGATGTCAACATGATCTCGAAATGGCGAGAGTTCGCGAGTTTCTTAACGTCAAAAACGGGAGGTTCGGGCTTGAATACAAAACGGACGATTAGTGCGATGGCGCAGATGATGAATCCGATGACGATCACTGCGATGAATAACCACATGAGTCGTTTAGAGCAAATTCTCTTCTTCTTTTTCCCTGGATCACTATTCAACCGTCTTTCGACGATCCTTGCATTTTCCGGGGGAGGGGTCCAATAGACTTGATCCCTTGGAACATGCACTACATATGTCTCGATCTCCGGGATCGGATCGTCAGGAGGAGGAGGAGAAGATGCTGATGATAGGGTTGGGAAGAGATTCAGAGAATGTTTACGGAAATGGGGTGGAGGTGAAGAAACTTGGGAGGCAGATGAAGGGAGATGTGGGAGACTATTGGTAGGACGGTGCCACGTGGAAGAAGGATCACCGGGATTTTCTTTATTGTTGGTGGCGGTTGCGTTAGAGGTGGAGGTGGAGGTCGGAGGTAGCCGTGACCCCTCCATCGGAAAAGTGTGAGAAGGGAATGTGTGGTGGTGGAGGAAGTGTAGAGAGAGAGAGTGAGAGTGAGAAGAGAATAGACGAAAATGCGGAAATTAGGGTTTTGCATGGAGGAGCAGTAAGTGGTTGTCGTTGCTTTGCGTAACTTTAGTTTAGCTTTTGGACCGGATTTTTCTGGCATTTACCAAACTCAACTCAACTTGTCCTTTTGTTTTGTTTATTACTAATGTACATATTCTTTTTAAAAGAAAATATTTTCTATTTCAGATTCTCTTCAGTAAAAATCATAGTCGCGAGAGATGCCAATAATGATGGTTGTGACAAAATTGCTCTAAATTAATCAACAAATTTGCCATGTGATGCTGGAACTTTTTTTGTTATTATTATCATCTCCCGCCTACAAACACTCAAATACTGTATCTGAAGCCCATATTTTTTGTCTATTAAAGCCCAATCTTTCATATACACACACACACACAAAAAAGATATTGAGTCAACCCAAAAATAATTACATTACATGTGAAAGAAAAAGAAAAAAACACTGAACAAACGCGAATTCGAGCTTGGGCACCAAGAAAAAATAGATTTTTCTTTTGGCTCCTCACCAAGAAAAAAGATTCTACAGGAGGAAAGTAAGGATTTTTCAGAATGGGTCTAAGCTTTGGAATGATTTGAAATTTTTTCCGAGAAACAGAGAAGAAGCAAAAAAAAATTCAATGTTTTGTTCTCGGCGTCTTCTTCTTTCCTGCAAACATGGTGCGAATCAGGCGGCGAATTTTCTCAGAGGGTTGGTCATATTCTTAAAACCCCTCTTAAACCCTAATTTCTACTCTTTTGCCTGGGTTTTGATTTCGAAGGGGATTTTACTTATCTTGGGTTTAACTAGAATAATTGTCTACTTTATCTGGGAAAAAAAAGTCGCTCCGCTCTTTATACTGAGAAAAGCAGGAATTTTGATGCTGATGAGAATGTGTCTTGTTGGGTTTTCTTCTGTTTAATCGAAATTGAAGTTTTCTTCTTGACGAAATCCTCGATCTTGAAACACTAGATTGACTCGAAGCACTGATTCATCTTCAATTTCAAATCTTAGGTCTGGGGCATCGAGGCGAATTCAGTCATTCAATTACAGTAAATCAACAAGACAGAGCCATGGAAGGACAGATCTTAACCCTCAATTGCGTATAGGAACTCAAACTCCTCCTTCTCGCTCACGTGCCCGTTATGCTGCTGTATTGCTTTAAAAACTCTCTTGTTGCTTACTCTTGGTATTGAATTGGATCTTAAATTCGGTAAAAATGGTAAAGCCAACTCCTTTTTCTCTGCATTTTCAGCCAGCGCTTGTGCTTGGGTTTACTGGATTCATCGCGTTTCTTCATTACAATGACGAAAGGAGAGCAGTTCCAAAAGGTAATGTAGACTTTGATGGCTTGTGCTGCATTGGATCGATAAGATCATAGCAAAGTTGAGATCTTTACTGCTTCTACTTTTACAGGTCAACCAAGCAGCAACAGCGGTTGTGGCTGCGGCTCTAACACAACCGTGAAAGGTCCAATTATCGGAGGTCCGTTCACGCTTATGAGTACACAAAACAAGATAGTCACTGAGAAAGACTTTAGTGGTAAATGGGTTCTGCTCTACTTTGGTTACTCGTTTTCCCCTGATGTTGGACCCGTGCAACTGAAGATGATGTCCAAAGCAGTTGATAAACTAGGTTTGCGTCACTTGTGAACAAAGCTCGAGCCTTTTCATTCTCATCATCAATTTGTAATGTTTGATATTTTTTTAACTAATGATGTCTTGTCTTGATTGGAAACAGAGTCTAATCATAACGAGAAGATATTGCCTGTCTTTGTCACTCTTGACCCTTTACGAGATACACCTTCTCATCTCCACGCATACTTGAAAGGTCTCGGTTTTTACTTTATGCCTGTGTTCCAGCTTTTCTACTAAGCTCTATGATGTTGCGTTGCTCAGAACTTTTTTCGTTTTTGCAGAATTTGATAGTAGGATACTTGGATTGACTGGATCTGCAAGTGCAATGAGACAAATGGCACAGGAGTATCGTGTCTATTTCAAGAAGGTCCAAGAAGATGGAGACGATTATCTCGTTGACACTTCTCACAACATGTAAGGATTATTTCATTCGAATCCAAATTCAAAGTCTTCTTTTGTTCATATAAGATGTTCAAATGTTTTTTTAAAAAAAATTGGTGTATAGGTACTTGTTGAATCCGAAGATGGAGGTTGTGAGGTGCTTTGGAGTAGAGTATAATCCAGATGAGCTCTCACAAGAGGTTCTTAAAGAAGTTACTTCTGTTTCACAGTGACCCGTTTTGACCAAAACACTAAGAGAGTTATGTTCACAGAAAGAAACACGAAAATGCTTTTGATTGTGTTTGTTCATTGGTGAAACATTTCATTTAGACGATTTTGATGTTCCTCTGCGTCATGCAACCATGGTTCTCTCTTCACTGACAATCAATCATCATCGTCTTCGGCGAGATTATCTGATCACAGTAGTTTCTAACTTTTTGCAATCAATAAACAAAAAACATGAAAGGGACTGTTTGACCCCACAAACAATATAATAAATATCAAAGAGGTAGTTTAGTTATGAAATGAACACAAACGTGGCGTCATTTCCGATTTTTAATATCGACACCTATATGCATACAATGAATTTTATCTTTATATTATGTTCATGTCTTAGTCCTAAAATTAAATATTTGTGTACAAAGAAATGGTGAAAAGAGAGAGAGGAATGTGTACAATTAATTGGTTTTACATACGACCGAGAAAGATCAAACGACGATACGATTTTGTTAACCAGCGAATGATCTAGCAAATGACTCACTCTGATCATGGATTAAACCTCAAAAAAGTAACTAAAAAGTTTTATTTATCGAATCATATAATCGAAGGCCCCATTACACTCACAAGACGACGAACAAACAAACAAGACAGAGACTTGTAACACTCAGACGACCCAAGAAAGGCCTTTCCGGATCTCCGACCCGACCCGGCTAACACTGTCCCTAAGCGACACCGGACAGTTGTTCCGCACGGCGGTGAGCTCGTACGGAGATGTATCGGTGGCGAGCCATTGCTCGATCTCGAAATTCTGCGTGGAGCACTGAGCGTGAACTCCAGCCGTCGTAACCTCGGCGTAATTGACGTACCAGCCATGATGATCGCCGGAGCCATCGGAGGTTATGTTTAGAGAGCAGATCGGACTAGGCAGGCACGGTGCTCTTCCGCTGAAAATGTCGAGATTACCCCTCTCGAAGTAGTTGTACTCGGGCCCCATTAACCCGCCCCAGGCTTCCAGGTTTCGGATCCCGATGTAGTCACCGTACTTGTCGTAGATTCTGGCGCTTATGATCGAATCGGTTCCGGCTTTCCAGATCGACCCGGTTCGGAGGTAGAATGTGTAGACGCAGTCCGGTTCATCGTCCTGGAGAAAAATATCAGAGACCATTTTTTAAAAAGTCAAAAGTCAAATCAATCGGATTAAGTTCAAGAAGAGATTAGAGATTGTTGAACTTACGGCGAAGGCGAAGGCGACGGAGGATACAGTGACGATAAGGAGGAGGAGAACGTCACGACGGACCATCGGTGATAATTATCCGGTGAGCGAATTGTTTTCTTGTCTGTATTATTATTTATTTATTTTTTCCTGGAGAGAGATGTATAAATAGATGCGAATAATGGAGGAAAGGGTTATTATTGGGAATTAAAATGTGTATTAATTATCTCGTGTTTCTCGAAGTAGCGTGTACAGTTGACGTGGCGGATTCTTAGCCGTAATGATGTGTGTGAGAATTGGGGAGGCTTCTTTCAAACACGGCGAGTCGGTCAGTATGGGTTGGTAGATTACGAATCTACCCCTGATGCCTCTATCTTGCCAGCGTAACCTGAAACGAATTAAGAGTATACTTTGTTTCTTCCTTATCTATGAATCGCGCCTATGGAAAATTTTGAAATTAAATCCTCCAGGTTTTATTTACTTCTATATATTCATAATAAGTTTAAAATATACTTTGATTTATTTTTGCTGTCAGGTTTTGATTGATAAATCCCTAATAAAGCCTTTAAGTAAATATAAATCCCATATGCCTCTATTCTTTAGTACTTGGTCCGGTCTTCAAATCAATGTTTTTTAGCACCGCGGCGATATGTTCTTCAAACGACATCGTTCCCATTTTAATAAAATCTTCTTTGACTTGTTTTTAAGTCTGTGGGCAAGTGTACATTCTTTTTACTGGGCCTCAGTTACAGGTTTTAAGGTGTATTATTGGGCTTAGGGTCTATTTCAATTTGTAAACTTTTCCAGATTAGTTAGTAAATTCAAACCTAGTAAACAAATCCTGATTAAACCCATAGATTAAACCCATAATTTAAATGTAAAGATCAGTCTTCAAAATTACTAGTATAATAAAGGTTGTCTACATATAAAACTATTCATCTCCGCGACTTTTGTCTGATTGTGTCCTGCCACAATCTAAATTCAATTAACCAATCACTTTCATCTTGTCCGTCCCTCACACGTGTTTGATAATCATCCTTCGACTGTGGGAGGAACGATATCTTCTCAATTTGGGCAAATCTATAAGTAAGCCAAATTTCTACTTACCTTGTTAATTATTATTATTACATGTATGTAAACTCAAAAAGTTGTCGACAAAAACTCAAGAAATCGCCGAAATAAAACTTCAGAGATCACCGATAGAGATCTTGTGAAGCCTAGCTATAAACATAACCTATATGCGTTTGTTTCACAGACCGGGTCGCATTTTTTGGATGTTTAGAACCTGTTGTTATTAGGTTAAAAATTAATATTTATCTTGTCACTAGCATAATCCGGTGACCTCCAAAATAAGACTAACATAATGTGGTCAATATGATGATCATTCATAAAAAAAAATATGGACTCAAGACAATATTTAATTAGATGATAATGGTTTAATCGTAATCATTACGCTGATCTAGGTTGATCGAATGATCGTTGCTTTTAATATGCGCATTTTCATTTTTACCATACAAATAGTATATACTGTACATCGATAATATAATTTTCATAGAACTCGACAACATTTATAAATGAGTGTGGGTAACCAACCAAAATTACGCCTCGTGGGTGAAGTGAAAATAGGGTTATGGCATTTTGGTTAATAGCCCCATACATATATACATTATATTTCTTTAAGAAATGAAATTTAATATTATTGATTCTTATTTTCCGACCAAACTTTAGTATCGACCAAATCTACACTCAAACCATGATTCTACATCAATCTGTAATTTTATTCTTATTTGCAAATTAACTAGGTGAAAAAATGAATAGTAAGGATTGTTTACATATGTTTTAGAATTTGTGATTTTGTAACTACTCAATAAAGAAGAGAAAAGAGTCGAAAAATAATATTATCATAGTGGAATTTATATGATGACATCTCTTTTCTTGAATCTGGTCCAAATGAACTGACATAATTATGACATCATGTAAGAGATTAGCAGATCTAATCGAACAACCCATATACTGTATATATGCCTTCAAATGCTTTTTCCATGGTTACATATAATGCATGTAATAAACAATTCATTTGTCTGTGGGAATATTTTATATATCTTTGAAGAATCACGAGAGAAAAAATTATAATTTTCTATATTTATAATTTAAAATTTATATATTTTGAAAATCTTATTAGATAATTCTTTACTTTTATATTTTTTTTTACTTTAATGTTTATATATCCACAAATAACACTTAGCAAGAAATGAAAACAGTGTGTTAAGCAAAAAAATAATAATGAAAACAATGTAAAATACTATTATAAGACTTATAGACATACCCTCGTCGAGTAGTAGAAAAACAAAACAAATCATTATCTACAATCACAATAAGTTTGACTATCACGAAAGCGAATAAATTTAATATAAACCAAACCTTAGATACATGTATATATAATATATAGAGTAGACAATAGTGGATGGTGGTAGTGGAACCACTTAATGCGATTTCACCTTCCCTGTTTTTCTCCCTTTCACACAAAAACAAAATAAAATAATTAAAAAATCACGTCACACCAAATATCTTATTTAATATTTACCATAATACCATAATATCTCATAAACTCTTTAACTCGAGTATCTATTATCATCCAAATCACTTCTCTAGGTTTTCTCTCTACAAAATCAAATCATACAAAAAAATAAATTATTTGTTTTGTTTGGTCAGAAGAAGATGGAGTCCGGTAATAGTAGTAGCATGCAATCTTCAAGCGGCGGCGGAGGAGGAGGAGAAGAAGAGTATGATTCACGCGCCGCTGATCAGTCCATCTCCGCCTTCTTCGACCACCATAACCACCACGTGTCATCTCTACCTCAACCGCAACAAAACCACCTCAACCTCTTCCACTTCGACCACAGCAGCAACAACTCTCTATTACCACCAAACTACTTCAACAACAACATGACCAACACATTCTTACCCGTAAACCAACAACCGGACCCGATTTCTCACCCCGACCTTCGAACCTTCTCTGCCACGTCATCACTCCCTCCTCCTAACAACATAGGAGTAACCAAGAAAGCCAAGAAAAGATCTCGAGCATCAAGAAGAGCACCAACGACGGTTCTAACGACGGACACATCGAATTTCCGAGCGATGGTTCAAGAGTTTACCGGAATTCCATCTCCGCCGCTATTCAACAACAACTCTGTCGTGAACACCACGCGCCTGAACACATTCCTCGGCTTGTCTTCTTCCCCAAACTCTTACAATAACAACAGTCTCTTGTTACGACCTTTTGCTCAGAAACTCCTCCCAACGTCTTCTCTCCTATCCGGATCACAGATTCAGCAATTTCAAAACCCTAATAATAGTTTTGAGAATATGAATTTACAGTCTCTTCTTCAGTCTCAGATTTCAAACCCTAGAAGTAATGAGCACGATCAGTTTGGTCTTGGTATGTTGCAGAGTCAATCTACTACTCTGACGACGACGACAACGGTGGCAGCTAACGGGAACATTACCACTGGTGAAAATGGAAATTACGGTGGTTCCGAACATGATCATAATAATGACGGTACTTGGTTATGTTCAGCTCCCGACCAAAGAACTTAAAACTATCTATATTGTACGAAACCATAGCTAATCTTTTGACATGATTATTCCAGAAAATATTAAACATATATAGTATAGCACATATATGATGATGAACTTACTCATTCATATTTTCTATTTAAGCATAAACACTTTTCGGGGAAAAATTCTTGTAGGGTTTGGTCTTATTCATTAATCTATGCTTAATATATGTCTTATCTTAGTTTTTTCCATAACTACATGTTGGTTGTCGGTATTTGTTAGTAGTTGGATCTCATTTAAATCAGACTTTGTTTGTATATTTTTCTTATAATAAACATGTTTATGATAACAATTATTTTGCAAACATGAAATTTCAATTTTTTTTTGTCTGGCACTATGAAAATATGGTTTTTTGGATTTAACATTTCTCCTTTTTAATATGGAGTGAATGGTGGCGAAATTTGTGGAATCTTCGACGGCCGCCGGGTTCTGGAATATAGTTTCGGCCTTTCGGGACCATGGTATATATATAATTATAGTAGTAGTACGTAGCTTTTTATAATTGTGTGGTTATGATTTGAAATTTGATAAATTACTGTTCTCCCATGTGCTTAGTCTTTCTTGGTGTCTTCTTTCGCATCATCTACATTAAGAGTCAAGTTCCCATTATGATATATGTATATCTCCGTTTGGTATTTGATTTTATTGACTTTACTCTCGTTTTATCATACCATTAGATTTGAAATTTGAAAAATTCCAAGTTAAAGAACCAGAATGCAATATGGAATGCTCTGTATGCGGATAATCATAGTGCTGATTAAAATGCGATGCGTCAGTGTCAAATAAATAAGAAAAAAACGCGATACTGGAGATAAACTTCTCGGCCTTTTTATTATAATATAATATATCTCTCTAATCAAAAATTTGTTTTTATCATTTACTAACGATTAGTTTATCAGCTTAACTTTCAAATATATCTCTCTAATCAAAAGTTCTTAGCCTTTTTATAATATACCAGCTTATAGTTTACTACATGCAGTAACACTTTTGAAATGTTTTTTTTTTGTTAAGAGGATTTTCAACAATGTCATTTGCTACTGTATATAACTCTTTAAAAACTCAATTTCTTTTTTTTTTCATCATGAGAGTTGATGGTCGTAAAAACAAATCATGAGATTTGATGAAAATATCTTTTGCTTGTTCATGTGTACAAAAGCTCAAATGATTTTGATTTTTTCTGTCCACGGACCAGTTACAATAAGTCACCAAATGCACGACACAACCAATACAAATCCCTTACACATAGACTGACCGCAAAATGCATATATGAGTGTGTATATCTCTATCTAAAAGGAATATATGATGATGATAGTTATTATTACGGTGGTGGTTATGGTGGACCATGATATTGAGCTATTTGTCGCACTGATGGATTTTCTTCATATTCATATGAACGGTTCAGGCTAATACTCGGTTTCATAGTTCAGTAGTGATAAGCCACTGGTATGGCCATTATGTTACTATCCAAATGATTTGGTTAGATCGGGTTCACTATATTTTGTGAGCCGATTGGTTCCAAAACTTAAAGAGTTGGCATATGATATGAATACCCTGAACATCGAATGCGGTGGAAATCTCTTCTAACGTTGTTCGTATCCCACACCTCGAAACAAGACAAAACCTAAGATTCTAATAAGAAACATAGATTAAACCAATTGATTTTAAACTAGAAATCTATGACATTTTTAATATAGTAGTAGCAGTTAGAGTTTAAGAGTATCTGTATTATTAAGAGATTCATTTGAGTCTTTCATATAATATAATATTAATATTATAATTATAATTTAATTTAATAATTAAATTTTGATTTATTAAAAAATTAAACAAGTTATAAATGAATATATGTTTTGAAAGTTTTTCATAATTTCTTAAATAAAAAACTTATTTCATTTTCTCTTTTTTCTTATTTTTTTTAAAGACAAAAAATTCATTGAAATTTTTTCACTATAGATATAAATGATCTAATTAACACGATATAGATTTAATGTTTGATAATGATAGTATTATCCTATTTTCAGTCTTGTATCATTGAATGAATTTTTTTTGGTGGCGTAATTATCAAATTGCAGATGGGGCAGCTGAGAGTTAGTGAATGGATTTGATTGTATTGGCCTGTTAGGTCTAAAATTAATTTTATATGACTAAACATCCAGCAATAGAAAATGATGTATCGGATTTTAATTGGATTTTGGGTCTAATCACTCAATAATACCTTTCTCCTGTTTAATTCTCAACAGTGTTCAGTAGATAGAGATTGACTAACTGAACATTAGGTTTTTTTCTTCTAAGAGTTGCACAAACCTTGTTCAATGTGAATGGCTCAAAATCTAATCAATTTGGCTAAACTAATTAACATGAGCGTCTGTTATTATTGAGTTAGCAAGGTGAAACTTTGTGCTTTTTACTTTCTTCTAAATCTAGTTATCTTTTTTTTTTTCATTTGGGGAACTTCAATTTTGATTCAATTATGAAATATAAAGATATGGGATGCATGATCTTCAATAATGGAAAATAGCCTTTAACAAACACTATCTACAAATATCTTTTTAATCCGTAATAATAGCTAATCCCTTAATTTATCTAAAATATATATTTGATTTGTTTTAATGAAATACTATGAACTTTTCGAAGAGTGTCTAACGTCTAGCTAGAGCTGGCCTAAGGCATAAACTACATAAACGATTGATTATGGCATTTCGTTTATAAAGAACATCATTTATATATAATTTCATTAGATTTCTTATTAATGTTTAGATATGTAAACAAAATTTTAAAACATTTTCTTTAATAATAATAATTTTCATAGAGTTTTTGTAAACAATGTTTATAGGCTTTTTATTAACAAACCTACATATTAAGATTATTATTAAATAAAAATTAATTTAATTGATAAAATTCTCTTTTTAGGATTTTAACTACAATTTTTTTATTTTTACTGTTTTTTAATAAATCATTTATGAAATATAATTTTTAATTTGGATTAGATTGTTTTATCAAATTTTAACTACGGTTTTTTTATATTATTATTTTTTATAATTTTATATATAATATATAAAAATATAATTTTTAGATCTGTGTAGGCCATTCAAAATCATGGGACCGATTATTAATTTTAGAACAACGAATAAATGCAGGCGGTCAAAAAATACTGTAGCTAACATTTGTAAGTAAACACTTGATAATCACACATCATCCAAAGCAATAAGTGACAAATATGGAGTATTATTTTAAAAAGTAAAAACAAAATACAGATATTCATATTACATAGCAGTGGGTCCTACAATCACATCCATTTTTTATTTGTTTTTCCCGTTGCACTCTCAAAAGACTCGGACCAAACGCTTGCGCTTCCCACAGATAAGGAAGAAGAGACCTAAGAAAGTTCGAATCCAACAATGGCGATTTCCACTTTAACACTCACATCATCTCTCTACGCACGTTCCTTCAGACCCAGCACTCCTACCATCTTATCTTCGTCTTCTTACTCATCGTCATTCTCGTGTCTCTGTTCTTCTTCCGCCGATTGCGAGCCGAAACACACGAGCCTCGCCTTAAAGAAGCGCGCTTTCGGAGTGGGTTTAGGGTTTCTAGCCGCTTCGATTCTCTCTCTGACGCCTCTGGACGCAGACGCCACGCGGATCGAGTACTACGCGACTGTTGGAGATCCTCTCTGCGAATACAGCTACGCGAAATCGGGACTTGGGTTTTGCGATATCGATGTTGGATTCGGTGACGAAGCTCCGCGTGGCGTACTCGTCAATGTAATGTATCTACCTCTCTGATTTTCCTTTTGGATCGATTGATTTCTTGATTTCTCTGTTTAGGGCTTTTGGGTTTATCACACAGTTCACCAATTTCCATGTTTTGCGACACATTTAGATTCAAGTTTGTGTTGAATCCATACGCAAAGTTGTGAAATTTTTGAGAATTTGGAGTTGGACAGATCCATTACACGGCGAGGTTTGCAGACGGAACGTTGTTTGACAGTAGCTATAAGCGAGCAAGACCACTTACTATGCGAATTGGTGTCGGAAAGGTACAACAAAACCCAATGTGTTTCTTCCTTAGATTGCATATGACGATTCAACTGCTTAAAGTAGTTTTGATGTAATGAGTTGGGTTTGTTGATTATTCAGTATAGAGCAATGCAAATTTGATCTAGAACCAGAAAGTTTATTTCTTTACTCGTTGTGGTCTCTCTAACATGTTCATGTCCACAGGTTATTAGAGGTCTAGACCAGGGGATTCTTGGAGGCGAAGGAGTACCTCCTATGCGTGTAGGCAAGTAGTAGTGTAATGCAGCTTCCTTCAATGTCTTTATTAGACTGAGAGATCATAACTCTTTGCTGCTGCGGTTTTTATTACAGGTGGAAAGCGTAAACTTCAGATTCCACCAAAGTTAGCTTATGGACCAGAGCCTGCAGGATGCTTTTCCGGTACTTTCCCACCATTCCTTGCTACACTACTTCACTTGTATGTAAATGTAGAGAAAAGATATGATCAATGGGAATATATCAGACTGTCGTATTGCTTTGTGCAGGTGACTGTAACATACCTGGCAATGCAACTTTACTCTATGATATTAATTTCGTCGAGATCTACCCTGGAAGTAATACAAGATGAAGCCAACCAACTACGATTTCCTTCTGTAAATGAAGAAACAACAGTGTAGATGATGTATAGTGAATCACTTTCACGAACTTACACAAACATACCATTTTTTTTTTTAAATGTTACAAATGATCATCATTCCATGATTTTTTAGGTGGCTTTATGACAATTTTTGTCTTCCTTTTACGCATGTATTAAAAAAATCCTCTCAAACATTTCATTTATGAGCATGATGACGCCAATATGATGCATATCAATCCACATCACGATGTCAATCATTATCTTAAGATCACAATGCAGAAAACAAAAACTTGAAATCATAATTGGATTCATCTTATTTTGATTCAAAGTAACATTCCAACTCAGATAAGATCTCTCTCTCTCTCTCTCTCTCTCTCTCTCTCTCTCGAACAGCTGTGATTTTAAATGCCAAACCCGTGATCGAATCCTAAAAGAAACAGCGTCTGTTATAGTGCAGACATAAACATAGCAATAGAGAATCATAACAACCAATTGATTCTTCCTCTGACCCAACAAAGGTTGGTACAACTTCCCGCAAAGCCAATGAACTCGAGGACTCTGACAAAAAAGAGAGTAGAATTTACGTTTTAATGGAAGATCTGAGAGGGATGATCAAGTGAGGCTGGCACAAGTTGCATAAGATTGGAGAATAGTTAAAGCTTGTTCTGTGATGGCTCTGTTTCTTGCACGTCTCACCCAATCACCGACTACTTCCTCAGCTTTACTTCCTTTAACACCTTCTTCAAGTGCAGCTGCTGCTTCCGCTAGTTTGCCCTCAGCCAGGTAATTATCAACCTTTTTGATTACAGATTCAATGCCTCCATTAGCTTGGTCCACTTCCTTGAACTGTAACAAAATATCCAAGGAAGCAATTAAATTTTCAGAGTTTTTATTGAGTATGCAGAATTTTGTTTCGTTAGTAGCATACCTTTAGCCAAGATGCTATCTGTGCTAAAGAATGTGTTAAGATTCCTCCGCCACCATGTGGAATGAGACTGAAATGCCTAAGCGTGCCTTTTAAGGTACTAAACTGAAAACAATAAAGAGAAGAGAGTAAAGAAATAAGCTCAACTGTCTTACATCCGTTGAGATCTGTGAATAATAATAACAAGCTCACCTTCTGGTTAAGCTGCAGTATTGTATCTGTTCCCTTGGATCGTGCTTCTTCTGGAATAGATGATAACACCAAGTCTAAGATTGAGTCCTTCTCAATTCCTTCGAGATAAGTCTGAAGCATATCGATTTCTTTTTGGATTGGCAGTCCTTTTGAAAGTGTATCATCCAGCGCAAGTGCACCCTACAATAATCATAGATCAACTTAGAAGGTGGTATATAAAAGGCAGAGTTACATGACATTAACATGAACCCATGACAAAATCAGACTTTAGATTCTTACCCATGCAAGCTTGTGAACTGAATGACTTTGGCGAGCCTCTTCAGAGCGCGCATAGAATGCCATACACAGCGCCTTTATCTATGAAAATTACAAGACACAAAAAATTGAGACATGACTAAAACATTCAGGAATTCTACTTAGTTACAAAGAGGAAAGATGGATTTTTTTTTTATCTTTACTAAATGCCCATCATAGCACGTGTATGCAATTCTCATCCTTAATAGAATTCTTGGATAGTGTGTTTCAGGAACAACTCCTTCACTTTATGTGTCTTGATGAAATGTTTTCTACGTGCATCTAGTTTCCTACACATTCTTCCTAATTATGATATTCTATACCTTCTTCCTAGTTATGAGGTTGGAACAACCATTAGATAGTAGGAAATGAAGTACAGTGTTTCGTCTTTACTTACATTAAGATCTGCCTCTGCCATTCTTTCAATGTGTGCTGCCTTTTCTTTAGCAATTGCCGAAGTCAACTCCGCTTTGGCCATTTCTTCAGCTTTGCTCAAAGCCAACTGCGCTTCAGTTTCCTGCAGTACATACAAATCCTCAGTAAATGACTTTCAAAAATCGCCATACAAATCTATTCTCAGCTCCCTGCAATGACCAGACCTTTTGTTCAATTTCTGTTTTGAGCTTATCGTCCATTCTCTCTTGGATTGACTTAATAGCAGCTGCTGCTTTTGTTTTTTCTCTTTTTAGCTCCTGGATAAAGCAACAGTGGCACTTATATTATAGTTGAACATGGAAACCGTGATTAGATAGATGTTTACAAGAATCCAGTGAAAAATCGCAGCAGATGTTCATATTTATAACAGAAGCAAATATAAAATTGAAACATTAGTCTGATGCAGCAGTGCGACTGGACATATGTCCTTGAAGTGAGTTTATCAAGCACAAGTAAAGAGATAGAAGCACCTTATCCAATATTGCCGCCTCCTCTATACGCATTAATTCACGTGCCCTAAGATCTCTCAACTCACTTTCGTACTTCTCCTGCGGACAATCAAAGTGGCAGGGGTAAATAAGTTAAAATATCACAGATAACCAAGGGCACTACAGAGATTAAATCATTATATGAGACATTTCGTCTTTTAAGCAACCTTCAAGGCTCGTAACTTTTCAGCAAAAACTTGGGATTCTAAATGCGACTGTCTCTCCTCAGCTGCATGAATGGCGTCCAGAAAATCAAGTACCAACTTTCCATCCGCAGTCATGTAACCATCTTTCATCGCCTCCGACGAGTTAAGAAGAGCCTAATTCACGAAACAATGCGGATTAAGAACATTTTCATGCAGATTATCAATCAAAATAAAGCACTGAAGGAACAGATACAGGAAAGTCAAGTTCGAAACCTCAGTTTCTTGAGCTAGTTGCTCCGCAGTTGATGAGGATCCAATGCTTTCAGTACCATTGCCTTCTAGATTGTATTCCTTAAGGAGAGAACCTGGCTTTTCATCATCTCGCTCAATTCCATCCTGTAAGAGAACCATTGCTTCGAAATTTACATAAATCTTTCTTAGTTGTTAATACAGGAAAAAAAGATCAATTATGCAAGAGGAGTCTGATCGTTCAATTCAAGCTTCATAAGAGAACATTAGCCCTCTTAAGGTGAGACATTCATCTGCTGCATTTTACTTGGTAAGCTATTAGTTTCACTACGCGTAGTAACTCAGAGAATATTTAGTACCTCAGGTGCCTTTTCAGTTGGTGAAGCAGATTCCATTTCACTTTCTCTATGAACCGAACCAGACTGGGCACTAACAACAGCACTCTCCACAGGTTCTGGTACACCTTCCAACCTCACAATTTCTCCCTCAGATGTAGCTTCTGGGGACGTGTCAGGCTTAGTTCTCGAATCTTCCGAGGTCGAGTTATCATCCGAAGAAATAGGCAAGCTTTTCTCTGCTTTCTCAACGGCACTCTCTTGAGGTGTCTCTTCTTGTTTAGAAGAAATATATGTATAACGTTCAGGTGTTGCATCAGACTCGGGCTGCACTTCTCTGTCACTCTGCATCCCCGCGGAAGCTTCAGAATGAGAAACTTCAGGTTCCGTTTCAGCTTTACCATCCATTGATGAGCTGATTCCAGCGGAATCTCCAACACCTGGAGCCTCCTCCTGAATCTCAGTGACAACATCAGAATTAGCTTTCTGCTTCTCATCCCCCAGATACTGATCCAAATACCCAGCCTGGTATGCTAGCAGAAATGCACCAGCGATCGCAGCGCCTCCTATAACCACTTTTGAAGCACTTCCTTTAGAGCCATCTGGTTTCCCCACAGGAGGAGGAGGAGGAGGAGTCACTTTCGACGCATCTGGTTTCCCAACGGGATTAGCTCCAGGGAGACCATTAGGTGTCTTTCTCGAAGAACTCAAGTGAAACCTCTGATGCAAGCATAACATACGAAAAATCAAAAACAAGAGCGGTCACTCACAAGATGCTAAGCTCAGAATCACCACTAAATGCATACTCACCTGAGCTCCCAAATTCCTCGGGAATCTCTTTATTGACAAACGCCGAGACAGCTCGAGAACAGACCTAAGCAAAGAGCAACGAACATGATAAGATTCAAAAAACGAGTCAAAGTCACAATAGCTCTCAATTTAGAGAGATCAACATCAAACAGACCCTAAACCGAGGATCGGTAACAATTGCACAGCACGGATTTTCTCAACTAAAAAATATCCCAAATTCGACAAAAGGAATATATAATCTCGGATTTCTAGGGTTGAGGAAACATACTTCTGCAGCATTCTCGCGTTGCTCCTCGTGAAGAACCGAAAATCTTACGACGGACGGAGAAGACTTGAAGAGCCTCCGGTGGGGTAAATGATATTCTGTCTAGCCAAAGCGTTTTAGCGTTGAAACGACGCCGTGTGTAGGCACTTGATCATAAAGGGTAATTTCGACATTTCCTTTGACAATTGGTGGTATTTATCATTCTACAACCCCTTCACTCCAAACTCCTCGAGTTTTTCCCCATTATCAAACACCCGACGAACAAGAACCCTAGAATTCGCCTCCTCTTTCAAATTTCACAAATTTTGGTTTTAATCAAAAAATTAATGACGGGATAGAAATTTCTCAATGTCCGCTTTATCTGTCCATCTCGCTTAGAATTCTCTAGATAGGTTTCTCTCTCTCCGTTCAATCGCTTCTGGATTTCGTTTTTAAGGTTTGCGTTCTTTTTTCTGGGTTTGATTTATGAGCTGAATTGTTTCGTCTGATTTGCGTTGGAACTGTAGAAATCTTCAATCTTTCGTGGTGGGTTTTGATTATATATTGTGTTCGGAAATCTCTCTAATTATCGTTCTTCTTCTACCACAAATTAGGTTTCACATCTTCACGGCATTTCAAGAAGTTCGCCAATTTACTGTGAGTCTTATTAAAAGCTTATCACTTTTGCATTGTCCTTGTTAAAGAACTAAGCTTTTTATTTTGTTAGTTATAGATTTGTTCCGTTGCATCATTTATTTTTGTTGGCTGATTTGGATTTAAAAGAAGAGCATTCCCCTGCGATGGATTTTTTTATAATTTCTCGAATTTCATATTGAATTCTTTTTTTTCGTCATAGGCTAAGATGTCGTCATCACCTTTTCCAATCTTGGACAACCGACCAATTGACAAGTGGAAGGTTACGGAATTGAAGGAAGAGCTTAAAAGACGGAGATTAACAACAAGAGGCTTGAAGGAGGAACTGGTTAGGCGTTTAGATGAAGCCCTTCGTGTTGAGCAAGAAGAGTCTGAAAGACTCAACAGTGCTGCGCTTGCTGCTTCTGTCGCAGCCAATCAAGAGGCTGAGATCGCTCATGGTACTGGAGGCGCCGTTACACCAGATCGAATGCAAACCACTCCTGTCGCTGGAGCGGCATTCAGCACTGAGAGCACTCCATCTGCAGCTGAGACAACGGCTGAAGCATCAGCTGCTGTTGAGACTACACCACCACCCACGGTGTTTTCAAACCCAGAGGTTAACGCTAGTGGCCAGGATGAAAAGGTTGATGATGTCAGAGCTGGTCGTGATACTTCAGTGGTTGATGCGAATCTACAAGAAGCTCAGGAAGTAGATGTGAATGATGGACTTGAATCTGGTGTCGTGACTGCAACTGATGCAGTAGTTACCGAAGAGGTGGCTAATGAACAGATTATTCAGAAACCTGATGTAGAGAGTAAGGAAACATTTAGCGTGTCTGATTCTAAGGCTCAACCTACTTACAACCAGGTATCTGAGGTCATCCCCGTTACAGGGTTTGAGGTAAAATCTGATTGTATTTCTACTGATTCTGTGTCAAATAATGAGAAAATAGAACTAAAGGATAACGAAATTGCTGATAATGTCAAATTAGACCAAAATGTTAATAAGTCCCAAGAGCCATCAACAGTCACTGGCGAATCGCATCCAATGGATGTCGAGGAGCCACTTGAGCAGAGGACATCTGTTGGAGGTGGAGATGACAGGGATGCTGCTATTGCAGATATGACCAAAGGAAATAATATCATTGATGCAGGCGACTCAGAAAAGTTGAATTTAGATAGAAGTTCTGGTGATGAGTCTATGGAGGATGAGCCAGAGACAAAGCAAACTGAGTCAGTTACATCTCATGAGGCGGTGGATAAGAGTGAGAAAAATGACATGCTTACTGGTAATGAGGAAAGCCGTGCTGATGTTATGGATGGTCGGAAAGGAGAATCCCCTGAAAATAAAAGTCATCCACTTGTGGCTTCTGACAAAAGAAAGCTTCCTGTTATTGGTAAGGCTTCTCAATTTCGTTTCGTGTATTACTCTCTTTGTTTTCTGTGTTTGATCTTGTGGTGTTGGCTTTTGAAGCATGTAGTTACTTCTTGTATCTGTTGAATTCAAAGTTACGAATGATGAAATGTTTTGACTTGTACTTCATTGTAGATCAAGAAGCTGTTGGAAACAATGAGCCTGCAAAGAGGCAACGCCGATGGAACTCTGAGAGTATTAAGGTTCCTGCAGCACAGGCCACTAATAGCGCCACACCCACAACAACTCCGAGGTCAAGTGGTCTAAAGCGCAACTTTTCAAGATCCGACTCTTCGGTTAGCGAGGATGGACCCAAGGAACGCGTGGGTATGTACCCTATATGTTTGTTCCCATCTCTTATTCGTTGTCTTAGAACATTGTCTTATACTATATGTGTTCTATATTTGTTGGCAGTTCCTCCATCTCCAAAGGAGCCTACGAATTCCCTCAGGATTGATCGTTTCCTTAGGCCGTTCACATTGAAAGCTGTTCAAGAGCTTCTGGGTAAAACCGGAAACGTCACTAGTTTCTGGATGGATAACATTAAGACCCACTGCTATGTATCAGTAAGACCGCTTCTTCAAATCCTGTTGGTTTACAAAAATGTTGATTCTTGTTTTGTTCTTAAAAACTTCAATTTATCTATATCCAAAGAATTTCTCGTAACCTGATCTTGGTGTGATGTGAATGCAGTATTCTTCAGTTGAAGAAGCTGCAGCAACAAGAGAAGCAGTGTATAACCTCCAGTGGCCAGCTAACGGAGGCCGCCTTCTGACAGCTGAATTTGTTGGGTCAGAAGAAGTGAAGGCAAAACTGGAAGCACCTCTGCCTCCTCCTCCTCAGGCTCAGGCTCAGGCTCAGGCTCTACCGCCACCTCCCGCTGCTCTTCCACCTCCACCGCCTCTAGCCAAAGCACCTCCAGTCATAGAACGTCTTCCTCTTCCACCTCCTCCTCCTCCTCTAGTCCCTGAGGAACAAGAACCTCCCATAGTCACTCTGGATGATCTGTTCAAGAAGACAAAAGCAATCCCCAGGATATATTACTTGCCCTTGTCAGAGGAACAAGTTGCAGCTAAACTTGCAGCTAAGAACAAGTGATGTTGGTGATTTCAGGTCATTATTTTCGTAGCAGGATCTTAGAAATTTAGCTCAGTGCGGACAAAAGTTGAGGACTTTTGTCAAGTTTGGTTTGGTATTTCTAATGTAGAACGCAGGAGAAGACTCTTTCTTAATGTTTACTAGACTTTGGTTCATTTGATGAACGGACAGAGTTGCTTGGATCTTTGTGTGTTGTGAACCTCTCCATTTCTCTTTTCCCCTTTTTATGGAGCTCTGAACAAATTGCTGGTTTTAAAAATAAGTATACTAACATGTATCAGTCGTCTATCAGATTTCTCTTGTCCCTCGTTTTTAACTCCGAGTCTAAATCGATTCTGAGGTTTAAATACTTAGGCATGTCTTCTTAATTTTAGGTTATGAATGAATAAGCGAAGAGGAATGTTTTCCGAGAAATTAAAATATCGATATAACTAAACATCCATAGATGAAACCTTTAATACTCGAGAAGGGAACACCAAGTAACATACAGATTGTACCTTTACACGAAAACTATAAACACGACCAAGATACGTTTTAGACACATCTGACATCCACATACATACATACATTCACATACAAGGACAAATTACGTAGAGAAATGTCTGAACTAGTCCTCCAAGAATTTCCTTACTTATGGTTTCACTCTTGCGATTTGGTCGTTACTTGTTCATCATTATAAGATAAGTGAGAAGGATAGATTTTGTTAGAAATCCTTCCAGTGGCGAAAGAGGTTTCGACTGCGAGATTTTGAGCTTTTTCTTCTCTCTTCTTCTCTCTCTTTGTCTTCTCCTTGAGCTCCTCCTTGAGCTTCTCCTGCATAATATGTAGGGATGCGTAACGTGCTCCGATGGACGACATTTTCTTGTTTTGTGTTTATTAACGAAATAAATGTTGTAAGAATGCTTATGTATAGCTTAGAGTTTCCAAGTGAATGTTGAGTTTGTTGAAGACTGCCCTATATATAGAGGTTTTTGTGATTTCATCGCCCCTTGTATTATATTTTGTTTTTTCTCTTTTAGTTTTTATATATGAGAATTTTTGGCTTTTGGGTCTATAGTTTTCATGATGTTGCATGTAACAATTTCATAAAGTGTAGATCAAACTTACCTCCATTAGATCCATGACCTTACCTCCAAATCTGGTTTGACACCACAAGTTGATTTTTCCATTCTTATTTTAAAACTTTCTTCTCATCTCTTTCAAACTCCAAAATAGCTATCATGTAGGAAAAAGTTTTTACTAAGCTTCTCTTAGCCTATGACTATGAATTAAGATGATAACATATTTTATTCTTGGATGAGACTATGCATCTAACTTCTTTTTGTAAAATTATTGTAGCTTGATTATCTGTATACATCGTGATTAGATGGTTTAAACTATGTGAAGTGGATTCTTCCACAACTTAACATATACTCTCTTTGTTTGTAAATATATGATGTTTTAGTTTTTTTATTTGTTCCACAAAATATAATATTTTAAAGTATTAAATGTATTTTTTATAGATTTTAAGAAAAGTAATTAAAATTATTAAAATTCTTAAATTTTTATTGTTTAACAGTTATAAAAAAATTAATCATTGTTAAAAAGTAATGCATTAATAACTAAAACATGATTGTTTCTTAATTTATGTGAATATGTCAAAATGGAGTACTTCGTAATCGTTCATTAAGAATAATTAATTAGGGAGGTTTCATCTAATATGTGGCTTTCGCTTTAAGGGCGGCTCTTATATCAATGACATAAGTTAAAGTTATGGTCCATAGTATATATCTTCGCCATATATTATGATTAATCTTTTGCATGCTTAGCTAACTAATCTGATATAATTTATCGACCAAACCTGTATAAATTAGCATGTACCATGTATTCACAACGATATCACAACTTATTTATGTTTTTATATATTATTTATCTATCAGTTAAACTCAAACCAATGTTAAATTTTACTGTTAAGATTATGAGTTTTCATCTTAAAAATCTGGCACATGTTCTGAAAATTTTGTCATCGATTTGAAATTTCTAACGATAGAAAAGTAATAGATATTGATCTCCAACAATAATATATCAGTTTTCGGAAACGAGTACCTAGCTAATATTATTTTAACATGTTTTTGTTACTAATTAGTAATGAATATGTTAACTTCGTGGGCGGCTCGTAGATTATTAGATGAATGGCATTACTCAGCCCATAGGTTAATAAATAAACCGTGTACACGTTCGTATAGGTGTATTATCTTCTATATATTAAATGAGAAACTAGTTTTTCTTTTTTTTTTTGCTAATGTGATATATTGCGATCAAAGTGATTTTAGAGAGAAAAAAATCGTTTAATTACTAAAGCAGAAACATAAACGTGCATGTCTACATCTGATTTATATATATATATAGATGTATATATATGCTTTTATCCTGATATTTATGCATTTTATGAGTTCTTGGTATCCTTTGCAAAGCACATGTGTTTAGAAATTGTTGGAACAATATATAACATCTTTCATTTTTTCTTAACTTTTAGGCAAAGTCAAATTTCACATAAAGGAACAAATAACTGGACTCCGACTAGTTGGCCACTATTCTCCAATGCCTACCTATCTTTTGACTTATTAGATTATTTACTGATTAATAGTTCTGTGTTTTCACTGCAAAAAATTTATCGATAATTCGCCAATATGTATAGTGTGTAGTTTCACACACACACGATATAGGCACACTGGACACAGATTAGATCATGGTGATAGCGATGATAATATATTAAAGTCCATGCTAGTGCTAAATCACGAATTATGGTGAAATGATGATGACGATAACTATCAAGAAATCACGACTTTAAAGGTGAGGTCTATGTATGATCGAATTGATGTTATTCATTCATCATAATTCATCATGAGTCAATTAATATCATTTGAAATCTTGGAATTAAAATCTTGTTTGTTTATAGTTAAATTGTTGCTAGTAAATATAGTAATTAGCTTGGAGCCAATAACAAGAGATTAATGGACAACTGTCTCATACTTTCTACCAAAAGGCTAATCCATAAAACTAATCGTCTTCTCAATCCATATTCGTTAGTTAAATGTTCATTATCGATTGTGCAACCAATTATTCAATGTTATGGGATCCTTTTGCTTAACTTTCAAAAACTTTCAAAAAATAAAATGTCTGAGCCCGGGTTCGAACCGGGGACCTCTAGTGTGTGAGACTAGCGTGATAACCGACTACACCACCCAGACTTTGTTGTTTATGTTTTATATTAATAAAATAAGACTTTAATAAACATCTGACAGATGACGTAGCTCTTATATGAAAACCAAAAGCATGAGAGTCATACGAAACCCAAATACCAATTGGCAGCACAGCAAACGGGCAACCTATGGTTTTAAAATGGCGGTTTTCAAAAACTATTTGGTAGTCGAAAAGAGCTAAAATATAAAAAAAACCAATCGGAAACCTAATTAAATAAATATCAAACTGAATTGATTTCAAACAATTACTTGTATATATAGAAACATGAAAGAATTTTCTCTAACACTTACACAGGTTTATACGGATTGTGTAAACTGGAAAAAAATACAAAATGAATATAAGTCCACGTTTTGTGTATGTGACAAGACTTGTATTGTATGTTCTACGAAATCAACGAACATGTGTTACACACGATAAAAATCCGTGCGATAAAAAAATGAGTGCATGTGGGTCTTTTTTAAAAAATTTACGATGACGTTAACTGTCAAGAGATCACGAACATAGAAATATCGATGGTAACTCAAAAGTATGGATCTCTTCCTTTTTTTTTTTTAATAAAAAGGGCACGGATCTCTTCATTTTCTTTTTTTGGGCCTTCAGACAAAAGCTCCAAGTTTAATATACAAGGATAACAAAACAAAAATAATAATTTACAAAGACAATATTGACGTAGAACAAAATTGTTTTGTTACCAATCCAATGTAATGTTCCTTTCAATGTAAAGCTTGTCAATATACTCTATGATCGGTCGTGACGCTTCCATGTACCTTCGCATGTTCTTCTCAACAGACTGATCTGTTTCGTTAAGCCGTAACAGAAGCTGATCCCTCGTCGGAAGTGTATACATTCCGGCGTAAACCGCGGTTCTAACGGCCCACGTATGAAACGGCGCGCAGACTTCTGTGTAAGCTGTTGTCGCAGCGTCTTTCAAAGAATACTCATCTGTCATCAAGAACTGTTCGAAGATTGCTCGGATTAGGTCTAAACCTTGTCTCACGCGTCGTAGATTACGCGAATGGCTTCCTGGTGTTTTAACAGTCTCCTTCTCCACGTCTAGGTCCAAGATGTTCTGTAACGTGTCGAATGTTTTCGAAGCTTCCACCAAATCTTTGACCTTGGAGACGTACTCCATTTCCGCAAACTTGAAGGCGAATCCGAGGCAGCTGAAGAGAATAGCGACGTGAGTGCACGCGCCGCAGAACGCATCAAGCCTTAATCCATCCTCCTCGACTGAGCTGGCGGGTTTCAGCAGATCCGCCAGATCTTCGAACGCCTCGGTGATTACCGACAAAGGCGTGTTGATTTTGGCGGGTGTCGTGGTGCATACGGCATCCTCGAACGTGTCGTCTTCTTCCTCTTCTTCCATAACTTTCTTTCTCTCCTCCTCCTTTTTATATAGCTTCGCCACGTTTGCTGAATTTTTTGAAAACTCTTTGGATCCTGATGGTTGTTGACTTGCAAGAAACGAAAGACTTTGTTATGTATTGGCGATTATGTTAGGGGACGAGGTTTTTCGCAACACATACGGGTTCACCAATCAATCAAGGTTAGAAACAATTTTTTTTATAATGGAAAATTTAACTATATAAAGAATGGCTATAAATGCTTGCAGCTATTTTGGTGAGAGAAAGAGGATATATAGTCATCGTGATCTAAGTAAAATTTTACATAATGAGATTTAGAATGTTATATTTGTCAAATCATATTATCATCTTGATTACGTGATATCATTTTGTCTAGTAAGAAAATATCGTTTTCAGTGGGAGAAATTTTATTTATTTCTCAAATCATAAGGAAGAGAGAGTAGAGAGAGTTAGATTGGTTTCATTAAACGGACAAAGAAGCAATATAACAAGATGAAACGGTTTTATAAAAACTCTCATTCGCTTTCTTTCGTCCCCCTTCTTCACAACCTGGAGATGGAATAGTCCAATGCATCCACCAAGAAATCTGTAGATACAAAACACAATCCATTTCATTACATTGCATTAATAAGTTTTTGTCTGAAACCAAAAAATAAACAAAAAGTTATTATGAATTTTACCTGCATCGTCTTTGGTGAAACACATTGGTGGCTTTATCCTGAAAACATTCCCATGAAGTCCTCCTTTTCCAACGAGAATGCCAAGTTCTGCATTACGAGAAAAGACCAAGATTATTTTCTTCAGCCAATTGCTTCTTTAATACCAGTAAATTAAAATCGATGCGTTGGCTTGTAATGTAGTTTTTACCTCTAAGTTGCTCAAACAAGACAGCTGTTTCAGCCTTGGCTGGTGTTTTGTCTTTGCGGTCAGTCACAAGCTCGATACCAACCATTAGCCCCCTTCCTCTCACATCTCCAATGACTGAAACCAAACACACGAGAGATTTAAGCCTAAAAACAGAGTAATGATCGGATTTAAAAGATTGTTTGTTTACTTACTATCATGCCTTTTCTGCAGATCTTTCAAACGTTGAATAAGGTGTGAACCAACTTCAGCACAATGTGCTTGGCGTTTCTCCTTGTCGATAACGTTTAGAACAGCAAGTCCACCAGCTGAACAAACCGGGTTTCCACCAAAAGTGTTGAACTGAATCTTCGTAGCTAACACGCTCGCGATTTCTGGTGTAGTCACTACAGCTCCTAATGGCAATCCATTTCCAATTCCCTATCAATACAATAGGTACCATTTAAAAAAAAAAAAAAAAAATCTAGTCGATGATTAGAGAACAGAGCAAAATGGTAAAAGCTTCTTTTGACAAACCTTAGCCATTGTGACTATGTCAGGAACTACATCTTGAGTCTGGAAACCCCAATAGTGACTTCCTGTCCGGCCAAATCCAGTTTGGACTTCATCGGCAATGCACACACCACCAGCGTTGCGTACAATTTCATAAACCGACTTTAAGTAACCAGGAGCTAATTCCACAGTTCCTCCAACCCCCTGAAGTTGGAATGATTATGGCGTGGTGAATATGATGCTCAAGAGACCCGTAAATCAAAAGAAAAATAGTTTAAAACTGATGGATGGTTCTTTTAGACAAAAACCTGGATGGTCTCCGCGATAAATCCAGCCACTTTTCCAGAAGTACCATAGTCGATATGGTCTTGGACATCTTTAGCATAAAGAGAAGCATTAGACCCAAATACTCCACGGTATGGATCTGGATTTACGACGTGGTGGATCTCCCCCTGCATAAAACAGAGTTATCGGCAAACAAAAGTTACAAACACGTTATCGTAGAGTATTATATTGCAGAGGCTTTTATTCTGAATTTCTTGGTGACAAACCTGTGGTAATGGGTACTTCCAAGTGTTAAGGGCTGTGAGTCCAATAGTATTAGAACTTCCACCATGATAAGCATTTCTCAATGAAATCATCTCAAGGCTACCGGTGTAAAGCCTAGCCATCATCATTGCTAGCTCATTAGCTTCTGAGCCAGAATTCACAAAGTAGACAACCTGCATCCATATCGGGAAAGCTTTGCTGATTCCTCGAACAATGCAGCAACAGAAACTTAACTACACCATTGTTCTTGGAGTTGCTTTCGGATTTGTTTCTTTACCTTTAGATTTCCAGGCATCTTAGCAGCTAATGCTTCAGCGAAATCGCCTATGGCATGATGCAAGTATATAGTGGTCGCATGCTGAAGAAGCTTGCTCTGTTCATTAATAGCATTCAGAATGTCCGGATGGCAGTGGCCGCATGAGACAGTGACTATTCCAGCAAAGGCGTCTAGGTATCGTCTACCAGACTCATCAAACAAGTATTGCATCTTCCCTTCAACGATGTTAAGCTGCAAGTGAACATGATGATAAAACCAGTATTAGTCTCAGATCCCAACTAAAATTCAGTGGATTCACTAGCAGAGTTAACCTGATCAGACGCAGGCTTATGTATAAGGGAATTTACATCACACAAATCGTTTTCTGGTTTCTAAGATTAGATCAAGCATAACCATAACAATTGATCCTAAATACTGCGAAAAATCAGGAGATTTATGAATCCAAAGACGCAAATGACAGTTCTTAATCCAACACAGAACTTCAATCCTACTATTTGATTTCACCAGAGCACGTCAGTCAAACCACGAGAAAACAAATCGATTTCTGGGTTCTAAGATTAGATCAAGCATAACCTTAACAATTGAATCCTAAATAATGCAGATTAATGAATCCAAAGACGCAAATGACAGTTCTTAACCCAACACAGAACTTCAATCCTACTATTTGATTTCACCAGAGCACGTCAGTCAAATCACGAGAAAACAAAAAAATTAAAGCAAAGACGTACAGGCTTTTGGTAGAAATGGAAAAGAGACGGTCCGAGGAACTTCTTCCGTTTCTGGAAAACTTCATCGGCGGAAGGACCTTTATACGGCCGCGGCTGGTGATCGAACGGCGGAAGCTGCGGCGAAGGAGAGGTGGAGAAACCCGAGCGAAGAATGGAGATCGCGGGGCGGTGATGGTGGATCCCGGAGGAGTTTGAAGCTCTGTCGACGACTCTCTTGAGAAGTTGCCTATGTAACGCCATATCTGTACGGAGCAATTAGAGAGAGAGAGAAGTATTGAAAGGACTGTAATTCTAACGATTCAATGAGTGATTAGTTAGTTAAAACGGATTTGCAGAAATGATGACGTGTCAAATAGGATTCTCAAAAGCAGACTAGTATCTCTATTCTCCATAAAGATAAAATCAAATAAGATTCCATTTGAATTAGACTGCTGATTCACCGCCGACGATGATACTTGCATTATTAATAAATGACGTGTCACTGACTCAGAGACGGAGCATCCAAGGATATCCTCGTTCGAAATTATTAATTTAAAATTAGTTACAGCCTAAAATATTGATGGAAGTATGTGTTGACCAAATTTAAAAAAAAAAAAAAGGTTGTAATAGTCTAATGGGTAAAGGAGTCACTATACAGATTAGGAGATCATGATCTGAGATTTCATATTTTGTATATAAAAAAAAAATGTTTAAGACGTGCCACTTGACACAAGGCTATTCAAACAGGTCATCATGCTAATAGAGTTGTCGTCCATAACAACCAACGCATTTGATATAAAATATCTGTTATATGTCTTTGTATTGTCCTTAGTTGGTCACCGATACGTAACGTCCACTGCTATAATCTTCTTTTGGTTTTATCGTAAAAAAAACTATCTTGTTTATGATATTCGTAATTTTCTCTTTGAGTCGTATGGTTGTCTTAATATACTTTTCCTTTTTACCAAAATATCAGTTACAAGTTTTTAATGAAAGGACATAGTGATCACTCACATGCACCACAACTCGCACTTAACGCAAGAGCATTAAGACTAGTAGTTTAATGTATTCTTCATGTTACGATTGAAAACAAATATCTGGATCAATACTATGGCAAACGAAATACGATTAAAAAGTTATAATTATTCATTTATTTTAACGATGCAATACATAATGGAACAAAGTTAAATGCAATATTCTCAATATCCTGAAGGGAAACCTCCTTTTCGTGGATCACTAACTGCTACAAGCATGCTCTTTCCGTTGGAATGTCCCCCGGATTCTTCAATTATGAACTGAGATATCGTTCCTCCGGCAATCGGCGTTAGAACATGACCTTTCTTCTCCAACACATCTCTTGTCTCTTTAGGAATCTCAAAATGATCATCGTAAACCGTCGTCCAATTCTCATACGAAATTTGGTTTGGTATCAGCTGCAGAATCAAATTCTAGTTATATATGAACAAAGAACAAGAAAGTTTCTATCTTGGGTAAAAATTAAAATCAAACTAAAAAAACCTGGTGGTAGATTCTTGGAGCCATGACGGAAGAGAGAGGATCCATGTTGAGGAAAAAATGATTCAAGAAAACTTCTGATGTCGCGGCGATGATATACATTCCTCCGCTCGCACCCACGGCGGCTTTCACTTTACCGTCCTGCAAACCAAGGCAATCAAAACTGTCATTCGGAACCCTAATTCAAAGGTATCGTGTAGCACAAGTAATTTTTTTTTTTCTTACCTTGAGCACAATGGCGGGAGTCATTGAGGATAAAGGCCGTTTCCCGGAACGGATGAAGTTAGCCGGTGCAGGTGGCGGCACATCCAGGTTACCACCAGATTTCATGGGGATCGAGAAATCATCCATTTCATTGTTCAGAACGATTCCAGTGCTTGGAGACAACATTACTGCCCCAAAGTAACTGTTTATTGTACTGGTCATTGAAACAGCATTTCTCTCGCTGTCTATTATCGACAAATGGCTCGTCCCGTGATCATTGATCTCATTCCATCTACGATTTGGGTAAAGGATAAATATTCAAGAATCAAACAAGACATATGTTGATATTGTAATAGATCGAACAAAACTTACTTGGCACCGTAATATTTGGGATCAAAGGTTTTTTCATCGTTTATCTTGCTCTTCAAGTCTTGTGCAAACTTTGGAGACAACATATCTGAAACAACCTTAGTAACATCGACGAAATCTGGATCCCCGAGGTTCATTCTAATTGCGAATGCGTGTTTCAGAGCCTCAACAAGTCGATGAACACCGAGAGGGCCCGAAACACCTGATGGAATCCCATACTGAGAAAGAATATTCAAAACCTACAGCACAAGAAAGCCCCCAAAAACTTAAACCTAGGATTTGATGAAATGTGAAACCTTTGCCTAAAAGAAAGACTTACAAGCACCATTGCAGGGCCACCGGATGAAGGAGGAGGCATACCGAGTAATCGGTATCCAACAATATCTGTAGATAACGGTTCTTTAACCTTAACTTTATAATCCTGCAGATCTTTCAAAGTTATTATCCCCCCTGACTTTTGTATATCACTCACCAAGTTATTTCCAACAGTGCCATTGTAAAATGCTTTTGGACCGTATTCAGCGATTTGACTCAGTGTAAAAGCCAGTTTTGGGTTAGAGATGATCGTCCCTGGTATCTTAAGCTCTCCCTTTGAAACAAATAGCTCAGAGAGACCTTTGTCTGCTAAGATATCGTCTTTAGTGTGGTTCATCTGCATGTAGAGGTACTTTGAAATCTTGAATCCTTGAGCTGCAAGTTTCTGTGCGGGATACACTAATTGTTTCCATGGTAGCTTCCCGTGTTGTGTCCAAGCCGTGAATAGACCTGCGACTTCCCCAGGAACGGCTACTGACAGGGCTCCTTTCTTCTTTAGATCAAGATTACCATCATACATATTCTACATCAAGAGCGTTGAAGAAAATGTTACTTAAGCTCAAAATCGCGTTGGAAACACATATTCAATCAGGGGAAAGAAACATAAAGGAAATGCTTTTATTTGCATGGAAATATAATTAATAATGCATTAAGAGGAACAATTAAGATATATATATGATTCAAATGTAAGGTAAAATTAACGCTATTAAAAAGCTCAAGACAGCGTTTATATCTAAGAGGAAAAAATGAGAGCAATGGTAGTTAAGTTCTTGATTGCATCAAAAAAATACTTATTAAATTGAAATGCGATATTCTTGAGGTCGCATTAATTTTTTTTTTTTTTGTCCCAATGGCAAAGCAGGAACAAGTATTGTCAATGAATCAAACGCTGATTTCTAAACGCATATTTTGATCAGAGTTAAAAGAAAAAAGAAATTTGTTATTAACCTCAGTGGCGCGGAGCGGAGCGGTTTCTCTACAATCATAAGCTATTTCTTTCCCATCAGCTATCTTAACCACTATAAACGCTCCACCGCCTATTCCGCTAGACGCTGAACTTACAACGCCCAAACAGAGAGCAGCAGCTACTGACGCATCAACCGCGTTTCCTCCTTGACGAAGAGCATTCATCCCTATTTCGGAACACCGTCCATCATCCGTGGCAACCGCACCATGATACGTGGCAATACTTTGTTGCTTATTCTCAGCCGCAGCGTTTTGCAGGAACGCGATTAGAAAAAGAGCGATCGTCGCTGTTCTTATGAGAGACATTGCTACGATTGATAGAGAATCAAATCAAAGATGAATCACAAAGGGAAAACAAAAAAAATTAAGCAGATATTTTAACTCTTTATTGACAACATATTCGTTTAACAAAATTTCTGAAGAAATTCCGAGACATTACTATTAAACGTTAAAATTTAGTTAGTCCAAGTTTCGACATAGAATATGACTATATGAGCAGGAGAAATTCATAAAAGTAAGGAAAAAGGGACCAATCTGAAGATTCAGAAATTATCTTCTTTGGAATTAGATAAATAATTTAACTTACAATTTATCTGGATGCCGCTTTCTGAACTCGTCCTCTTACGTTCAGACGAATATATAAGACGCTGTGGTCAAACAGAATTTCTTGGTAGATAAATTTGTTGAATATCTCTATATAAAACTTTCCAAATGTCTGAAAGCTAACTTTAGGTAGATAATAAACGAATTTTGAATATCTAAACTCCTTTTCAAAAGTTGAATTCATTTTTGACTGGTTGTTATTACTGATGTTGTATACATTAATATTTATGTTTACAGTTTTAAATCATACATGTTTTATAATTTTTTTTTTGTTCTCAGCCAATTTTTTTTTTTACTGTAAGCATTTTTTTTCATTTTGGGTCTCATTGGTAATAGTTATAGTTTTACATTTTACTGTAGAAATATGGTTGTAAGTGTTTTTGCTGTAGCTATAGATTTATTTCTTTAAACCTTTTGCTATAGAATTATAAAATTTGGAAAACATAAAATTATGTGCTTTAGAAAGAATGCTTTGTACAGCCAAAAAAATAAAAAATAAAAATAAAAAAAGAAATATTTTGATTGTGAGCAATTAAGAAAAAGATAAAATCTATAAATCATAATTGATATGATTTAGAACTGTAAGTATGATAAATATTGTTGTGCATAGCATTTACAACAACAATCAAAAGAATAAAATCTACAATTAAAACAAGAATAAAATCTACAATTAAAGCAAAAAAATTACAACCATATTTATACCAGCAAAAATGTAAGGGGGGTGTATTGAAACTAAAATTTTAGAGAATTTGAGAAGATTTGAGTTTTAATGAAATTTTAGATAATTTTATGTGGATTAGGGAAGTTGATAAGATTTGATAATAAAATTATATGAAATCCCACATAAAACAATGGAATTTTGTTTTCTATATTTTTAACTAATTAACTCCACCAAATCATTTAAAAGTACTCAATATTTTGTAAAATTCACTATTTAAAATATTTCTAATAACAGTGAATTTGATTTGATTTTTACAAATTCTTGATTGAATAACATAGATTTTAAAGTGATTTTAATTGGTTTTATATAAATTTCATGTTCAATAACATGGACTTTGATAAGACATTTATAAATCATTAGTTGAATAACATGAAATTTTTAAATAACCACAAAATCTTCTAAAATTTTTGTTTTAATACATCCCCTAAAATTACAGCTATTACCAATCATATTGTTTTTTTTACAAAGTTCCTCGTTGTCAATGTTATTTTAGACTAAGTGGCCCAATATTATTAAACTCATTGATGATACATCATCACCTTTCTTAAATGACACATGAAAAAACATTTACAGAAAATGTTCTACTTTAACCGAAAAAAAAAATCCTTTAATGAAATTTTCTTGTTCTTATTATGGTTAAAAATTCAAAATCAATTTCACTAGTAGATACTCATTTAATGTTTCGTACTCTGTTTATCTTTTCAGTGAAATTTTTAATGAAAAAAAGATAAGCTCCTAATACAAAAACAATTTTGAACTTTCCAAAGGATCGGTTTACTCCCGTGCTGTTTTTTAAAATTAAATTATCTATTTTTTCTTAAAGATAAATGTTTTAATTCCAATATACCCCATATTGCTATCGAAGAAATAAGAACGGTGCTATATGGCTAATTATGTTTTTGACTAAAGGTTTTACGATGCCAATTATGTTTCATTAAGAAATTCGATTTTTAAAAGTTTCTGGATCAATAGTAGCGCAGAAAAGAATAAAAATAGAGAGGTTAATATTCATCATAAGTTCGATGCAATAAACTGTGGAAAAAAATCAAATCAGATATGAGATATCAATATCCTGAAGGAAACCCTCCTTTCCGTGGATCACTCACCGCCACAAGCTCACTCCTGCCGGAATTGTCACCGGATTCTTGAACTATTAACTGAGCAATTGTCCCTCCGGCAATCGGCGTTAGGACGTGACCTTTCTTCTCCAACACAGCTCTTGTCTCTTTAGGAATCTCGAAATGATCACTGAACACTGTCGTCCAATTTTCATACGAAACTCTGTTTGGTATCAGCTGAAAATGAAATTACAAAAAGCAACTTTTAGCTATGAGTAAGTTAAAGTAAGGTTCTATTTAGGGCAGAAGAAAGAAAAAGAAAAAAGAAAGACCTGATGGTAGATCCTTGGAGCCAAGACGGAAGAAAGAGGATCCATCTTGAGGAAAAAATGATTCAAGAAAACTTCCGTTGTCCCGGCGATGATGTTGGCTCCTCCGCTTGCACCCACCGCGGCTTTCACTTGACCATCCTACGTAAACAACCGCATACAAAAACAGTCGGTTGGAGCCTCATTGCGAGTTTCGTGTATCACAAGTAATAAGGTGTTTTTCTAACCTTGAGTACAATGGTGGGTGTCATAGAGGACAACGGTCGTTTCCCGGGACGGATGAAGTTAGCCGGCGCCGGTGGCGGCACATTTAAGTTACTGCTGGATTTCATGGGGATCGAGAAATCATCCATCTCGTTGTTCAGAACGATTCCGGTGCTTGGAGATAGCATCAATGCCCCAAAGTAACCGTTTATTGTACTGGTCATCGAAACAGCGTTCCTCTCACGGTCTATGATCGATAAATGGCTTGTACCGTGGTCGTCGATTTGATTCCACCTACGATTGATTAGAGAGAGAAAGATTGATAAATCAAGAGTTAAAAAGAAGAAATGAAAGGGTTATAACAGATGAAAAATCCTTACATGCCGCCATAATATTTGGGATCAAAGGTTTTATCGTCGTTTATCTTACTCTTCAAGTCTTTTGCAAACTTTGGCGACAACATATCCGAAACAACCTTTGTAACATCTACGAAATCCGGATCCCCAAGGTTCATTCTAACCGCGAAAGCGTGTTTCAAAGCCTCTATCAGTCGATGAACACCGAGAGGGCCCGAAACACCAGATGGAATCTCATATTGAGAAAGAATGTTCAAAACCTGCAGCGCAAGAAACTCTGTAAAAACCTAGGTTTGTTAAAAAATGTGAAATTCTCGCCAAAAGAAAATCAGACTTACAAGCATCATTGCAGCGCCGCCGGATGAAGGAGGAGGCATACCGAGCAGTTGGTATCCGAGAATGTGTCCAGACAACGGTTTTTTAACCGTAACTCTATAACTTTGTAGATCTTTCAAAGTTATAATCCCTCCGGATTTACGGATATCTCTCGCTAGGTTAATTCCAACCGTGCCATTGTAAAACGCTTTTGCACCGTACTTGGCGATTTGCCTTAGCGTTAAAGCCAGTTTTGGGTTACGACAAATCGTCCCTGCTTTCTTGAGCTCTCCATTTGAAACAAATAACTCGGAGAGACCTTTGTCTGCTAAGATATCGGCTCTAGTCGCGTTCATCTGCATATAGAGATACTTTGAAATCCTGAATCCTTTTGCAAGTTTCTCTGCAGGCCTCACTAACCGCTTCCATGGTAGCTTCCCGTGCTGTTTCCAAGCGGTGAATAAACCCGAGACTTCTCCGGGAACACCTACTGATAAAGCTCCTTTCTGCTTTAGAGCAAGATTGCCTCCATACATATCCTACATCAAGGGAAACCACCAAGAAATGTCTTTTTTTTTTCTTTGTCACCAACCAAGAAATGTACTGTCTATGATTTCATAAACGTTAAGGAAAACGGTATATAAGCTCAAGATAGCGTTCGATGCCATATTTAATCAGACGAAAGAAGTGTTAGGAGATGCTATTAAATGCAAACATTTCCTGCGTCAAGAGTAACAACAACAATCAAGAACTATACAAATTATTTTGGCCAAAAACACAAAATTTAAGAAAGTTACTTTTCTCCAAAAAAAACACACTATTAAATATATAAATTAAATATAATCATTTAAAAAAAACTACAAAATATGGTGATTGATCATATAATATTCAGTAAAGTAAAAAGTGCATAAAAAATACACTTTCAAAACAACTAATATTATGAAACAGGTGAATACAAAAATGTTAGGAAGATGCAATTTAAGCTCAAAATCACGATCAAAACAGTATTTGTTAGGAAGAAAAAACCACACGTTAGTAAAAGCTATTTGGGCTCAAGATTGCGTTAAAACTTAAAACTCCTTTTTAATAAGAATATGTCATAAAACGCAAATTGAGCTCAAGATGGCGTTCAAAACAATTATACAAGGAAGCTCAGAAACATTAGTACCCCCATTAACGTTGTACGCCAAGAGCAAGACCAAGATTGTTTATGATTCAAAACCGTTAGCCAAAACGCCTATTCTAAAACGCGTATCTTGATCAGGCGATAAAAAGAAAGACAACATTACTAAAAGAACGTGTTACCTCAGTGGCACGGAGAGGAGCTGTTTCTCTAGAATCATAAGCAATTGCCTTCCCACCAGCAATCTTAACAACTGTAAACGCTCCACCGCCTATACCGCTAGACGCTGGACTCACGACGCCCAAACAAAGAGCAGCAGCTACCGACGCGTCAATCGCGTTTCCTCCTTGACGAAGAATACTCATCCCTATTTCAGAACACCGTCCATCATCCGTGGCAACCGCACCGCGATACTTAACAATGCTTTGCTGTCTTTTCTGAGCCGCGGCATTTTGCAGAAAAGCGATTAGAAGAAGAGCGATCGCCGCTGTTCGAACCAGCGACATTGCTACGATGATCGATGGAGAATCAGAGTTTAGACCAGAGATTAGTCACAAAGGATGACACACAAGTAGAGATGATCTTTGACGTTTAAACGACAACAGATTCGTTTACCAATAAAATTTGAAGGATATTCGAGCTTCCCCAGATATTGAAACTAGACTAGTCAAATTTTGAAAACTTTAAATCAGTCTCACGCGTATAGGTAAAAGCTAAAGAACCACCTAACACTTTATTTTTCTGAGTTGACCATACAAAAAAATAAAAAGTGACTCCCCCTAAAAAAAAGAGACTTTGGTATAGAGCCAAATCCATGCAAGAATTTAGTAAGTCCGAGTCTGAATATTATGTATGGAAAAATCATAAAATTGAAAAAAAAAAAAAAAATCAGGGGCAGTGTGGAACTTCAGAAATGTCTCACTATGTAAAATGTTGAAGAAGCTTCTACCATTATTGATTAATCTAAGCTTCTACCATAAAATTGAAGAAGCTGATAAAAACTTACAATTCATCTAACGTCACTTTCTGAGAAGTTGTCTTTCCTTCGTTCGTCCTTGGCCTCAATAGATTGTTCAGACGGATTTTAAGACTCTGTGGCCAAAAGTCTTAGTTGCGTTTCGTTATATCCATTTCCAAAAGTCGTCAAGTCTTTTTAAGAGTTCCACTTTTTTGTTTTTTTTTCTCTCTTTTATAAAGTTTTTTTAAATGACTAAAAGTCTTTAAATATACGGAGATTATATATATATACACACCCTGTCTTATTCAACAATGTAATAAATAAAGTTGGTCCAACACTCCACATGGTTATAATCGTGGTGCGGATTTAGATTGGTACGACTCTCTATCAATATCAACAAGAAATCTTACAAAAATAGTTTGCAGTAAGATCTGAATCTAAGTTAATCATTAGACTAATTTGTACACATTTTTTACTCGACCAAAAAGGACTTTATTAATAGGTTCAGGTGCAATAATAATGGGTCGTGCCAAAGTTTTTAAAATCCTAATTTGCTAATTGGTCATAAAACCAAGTGCTCGTCTTCATCATGCAAATCTCTTACAGGCCTCGTGGATTGTGGAATAAAAACCTTTTTCTTATTTTGAGAAATTTCGACTTCCTTTTGGGAACATAACTATATTGGTGGGCCCGTGGGCCTTATTCTAATCGAGGGTAGATTCGTAATTGGGCGAGAAGTTGTCTCCTTGCTCTTTCAAAACATGCAAAAACCAGTTTTTTATCCTTCAAGTCCAAATATTTTAATATTTCACAATAATGGAGCTTTGTTTATATTTTAATATATGAAACTTACAATTTACCAATTGATTACAAGAACAAGACAACCGTATATAAGTACATATAGTGAATAGTTCTTTCTTCTCTTTGATCTTCCCATTCTGCAAATCTTGAACTGAAGAATATTGTGGCTGCTGCTATTATTGACTAAGCTTTCTTGATTCAGCTATGGAAGCTTCATCACCTCCCACTCACGTTCTCCAAATACTTCTTTCTGCAGTTTTCCTTTCCAATCTTGAACAAGTCTGAAAAGTCATGTTCCAAAAATGCTTGTTCTGAGATCACATGGCAAAATTATCGATTAGTCTAAACTCTAAAGCATACAAAAATAAACAGAAACTTTAACTGTGACAGTGAAAGAGAAGAAGAAAACTAACCATGATTCAGGGGGATGACTTGATACATCGTTGGAGTATATGCAGTCAGATTCACATCCCACCAAAGTTTCTTCAGTTTCACATCTTTATTTTGGTACATTCAGTCAATTCCTTTCCACTGTCCCGTGGCTTGCTCGAACCGGTTGATTTCCTTTTTTCTGAATCCGAACCAGGTAGTCTTGACCCGAAAACTTCAAGAGCCTCCAAGAAGAATCTCTTGTTAGGTACAATTCCATCTTTCTCCATTTTCTTCATCAGCAGCTGCAAATGCTCCTTCATATCTGCCTTAGTGTATGCCTTATATAGCAGCTTATACGTGGATGCATCTGGATGAACACGGAAAGCACTTGCGTTGTGGAAAAGCTTATCTGCTTCCATGTGAAGACCATTAAGGCAGTACGCTTCGAGCAGTGCATTGAGTGTTGAAGCCTTCAAAAGCCTTTCCGATTCAACAACCTCCTCGAATATATCCCTTGCTCTGGAAACAGAGCCACAGTGACCGTACATCATGATCATGCACTCATACGTGACGAAACTGGGAGTGTAGTTCATATCATTCATCTTCTCGAAAACCCATTCTGCCTTATCCCTCAGGCGAGCTTTCCCGTAGTTTATAATCATCGAATTGAACGTAGGCAGAGTCGGCTTCTCCTTGGACCGCATCAGACTCTTGAAAGTCTGCTCCATCTTCTCAAACTCTTGCTTCTTACCATAGGAATCAATAAGCAAATTAAAGGTGATGATATCTGGCTTACACTCGTTACTCCTCATACGAGTAAGCACAGACTCCATCTCCTTGATCATCCCGTTCTTCCCATACGCATCCATAACACCGTTGAAAGTGTAGACGTCTGGAGAAACAGCGCTCATGTCCAATTCTTTGAACAGAGCGTTCACTTGGTCTACTTTACCCGACTGAGCAAAAGCCCTCAAAAGGATGTTGTAAGTCACGACGTTGGGCTGACAACGCTCCATCCCTTTCATTTTGTCGAAATATCCTCGGACTTTCTCCAAAGCTTTAGCCTTGTCCCGTGTATGGAGATGAGCTGTTATGAGGGCGTTGTAAACAGACGCATCAGGACGACAACCGCTGTTTTTCATCTCGGAGAAGAGCCACATTGCCATACGGGTTTGGCCCTTTTTCCCCATCACGGATATCAGTTTCGAGTACACTCCGTTATCTGGGATATACCAACGCTGCTTCTGCATCCACCTGAACACCTGGAGAAGATTCACCAAATAAATTTAAACTTTAACACATTGCAATGCTCTGATGAAAGCACCAACACAACCTTTCATGGCACAGTCTTAATCTACCATTGAGCTAAAAGGGTTTTAAAAAATCCAATCTTTTTAATGATACAGAATTGTCAATAATAACCAGAAACACTATCTATGAACCTAACATTGAGCCAAGAAAAAAAAAGTCCAATCTTTTAAAAACACAGAAGCTGAAACTCCAAATTAGAGATACCCAGAAGCTATAATACAGAGAATTGAAGCGGAGAAGAAGTAGAAACCTCGAGGCATTGAAGCCACTTGTCGCTCTTCCCAAGCTCTTCAAAGAGTAAGAAACAATGCTCACATCTTACGACCTTGACGTACTTGTCAAGCGTCTTCACCAATGGCTCTCTGTCACTGATTCTCGACATCAGACTCCGTACGAGCACTCTGTTCTCTCTCTCCGCGCTCTCTCTCTCAGCAAGTTTTCTCCTTGACGAAATCGCGCCGCAGGTTACCCTCGTCGTCGTCAGCCTCCTCGCACCGCCGAGTTTCGGTGAGAAGCGAAGCCATTTGTGGTCCGTATCTTGGGAAAACGAAGAGATGAAATCGGAGAACCTCAGCGACGAAGGCGATGTCAACAAGTAGTCAATGGTCATTTCCTGGTTTGCGAGAGAAGCCGAGGAATTGTTTTTCCTAATCCTTTATTGTGGATAAGGGTTTTACAGATGTAAAAAAAATTGAGGGCATATTCAGAAAATGCAGAGAATAATGGGGGTGGTTTTTGTAAAATAGAGCAAAAAATTAAAGGATCGAATTTTCGGGAGTTTTTGAACCCGACGTGAATCGAACACGCAACCTTCTGATCTGGAGTCAGACGCGCTACCATTGCGCCACGGATCCTGATAATCAAACTCTTGTATTAAAAATACTTAATCAAAAATAACTGAAATAACTCTTGAAATTCTACTATACAAACTGTATACGCAATAACGCAAACAATATCAACCACGGTCCACACTACGTAAACAGTCATAAAACCGATAATTTAACATACACAACAGTTAAAAAAGAAGAAGATTATTTTGGTTTTGCAAATATAGCTTGGTTTATCACCTTATCACGACCACCATTCAAGATCCCTGATTAACTTTTCTTAAAAAAGAAGAAATGAAAAAAAAAAAATTTAGAAAAGAGAAAAATAAACTCAAGGATAGGATTGATAGGAAAAAAAATACCAATTCAAAAAGGAGGAGGAAGAGAGCTAAAAACAACAAAACAGAGAGAAAGCCTTAACATTTCGACAAGGAGGTTGGTCAATTAGTCGTCGTCGGCCGTCGAAGGAAGAAGTCTTCTTCTCCTTCTTTCTTCGCCGTACGATCGCCGCGTCTAATGAGAGAATCATCAAATCCAATGGCTACAACTTCTTCTCCTTCTTCCTCCTCAAACAACATTCCTCCTTCGTCTCCGACTACCATGACCACGCCGCCACGTCAGCATATTCACCTGGAGCCACCATCTTCTAAAAAGAAGAAAAACAGATCAAACGTGTTCCGAGTCTTACGCACCGTGTTTCGCTCTTTCCCGATCTTCACAACACCAGCCGTAGCATGCAAAATCCCGGTTATCCATCCCGGTTTAGGCTTACCGGATCCACACCACAACACGTCAAGAATCACTGGAACATTATTCGGATACCGTAAAGGCCGAGTGAGTCTCTCGATTCAAGAAACCCCTAAATCTCTTCCTTCTTTAGTCGTAGAGCTCGCCATGCAAACCACAACGCTTCAAAAAGAGCTTAGCTCTGGAATGGTGAGAATCGCTCTCGAGACTGAGAAGCAGCCTCGAGTAGATAACAACAACAACAACAACAATAAAACGGAAAAGAAGACGGATATTTTGGACGAACCGTTATGGACAATGTATTGTAAAGGAGAGAAAACGGGTTACGGTGTGAGACGAGAAGCGAACGAGGAAGATCTAAACGTGATGGAGTTGTTACGTCCGGTGTCTATGGGCGCCGGAGTTTTGCCCGGAAACTCGGAGTTGGAAGGACCCGACGGCGAAATGGCGTATATGAGAGCTTATTTCGAGAGAGTTATTGGGTCTAAAGATTCAGAGACTTTTTATATGTTGAGTCCTGAAGGGAATAATGGACCCGAGCTTAGTTTTTTCTTTGTGAGAGTTTGATTTTATTTATTATGGGTTTAAATGAACTTTACGGTTCATGTAAAAGGCCGTAGATGGTGCTTGACGTTATATATATACATTATTATTTTAGGATGATTATATCGTCTCCTTCCTTTCCTTGAGTTTTGTAACAAAATCCAATCGAGAGCCAGATAAAACTAATTTTTATAAACTCATCTTGAAAACCAAATTGGATCAACCGGTTAATTAGTCGTATTTGTTTACTTATGAAAAAGATAGAGACATTGCACACAAAACAAAAACAAAAGGATAGAGACCACACCGTTTTGATAGAACAAATCTTGATTTTGTTTGTATTTACAAAGGAAAATAACTTTTGCTACACAACTTTTTTTTTTGTTGATAAAAACATTTTTTCTTACGATAACGTTAAAAAACTTAAAACCATGTATTTTAGACTGCGTAGATAAACAATGCGTAAATCTGATATATTCTCGTATATCCGAATTGGAATCTATATGGAGCAACACATTCAACTAAAGTGTCCAAGAAAGTCATCATCAATAAGTTGGAAACGAATTGTCGCTACATATTGGCGCCAGGACTTGGATTGTCTTTTTGACGTGCAGGTCTTGAATTACTACCTCCTGCGTCAATCTTGATCTCTCCGATCATGATTTGATCCCAAACCCTATCTCCATGTTCTTCCCATACAATTAGTACAAAAATATGTTAATTTGGATAAAAGAGGCGTTCGGTTCAAAATCATGTTAGAAATTCCAGGAAATGTCGAACTTAATCTACTCTTTACAAATAACAAACATACACACATTTAAAAAAAATGAAATTGACGAATCTTATAGGGAATATTTAAATGAAAAAATAAAGGAAAGGTGGTTTAAGATGAATTAATAATGTTTATCATAACTAGAAACTTACTTGTTGTGGAAGACTTGTATGGTATCCGAGCGAAAGCTGAGTTTGATGATCCAATGAACAATAGAATAATCAAAGTAACTAACCAAACCAAGCGGTACTGATACATCTCTGACGACGAAAATGATACTTTATTTTGCTGAAAAGTTGTGTTTATTTATAAAGGAGATTACATGTTTTGACTTTTTATCTTCTTTGACAAATCGACCCCAACCTTTTGTTTTTCTATAATGGCTGTACATGGTTATAATTTTGGCTGAAAATACAAACAACACATCAGTTGGCTGAATATAATGCATAATATTTTTTTTTTGCCATTTCTAAAAAATAGTCCAAGTTCTCGGCTAAGATGGTCAAACGAGACAGATACGATTAAGGCTTTTGCCTGGGAGAAAAATATCGTAATAAGGCACGGTCAACTAATTATTAAATCGAAATAACTGAAATCTTGAAACATATTTTTGGAAGCAACCCAAATAATTTGATTCCATATAAATTGTTTTCTTCTTTTGGAACAGCCCAACGGTCCCAACCTAAGTTTGCCCGTTATTGTACTGATATATTGGCGGATTATATGGTGGTAAGATGGTGGGTTTGTGGGTGGGACAAGTATATATGTGCCTGCAAGTGAGTATAATTGAAGAAGATGATTTGGTGTGCAGATATTTCATTTCGTATTTATTCGAGTTTTATACATTTTAATTATATTGAAAAAAGTAGGATAATTTGACGTGGCACCTTAATTTTTCTCCATCGGCTAGCCTTACTTCAAACAATCATTAAACCAAACGTATTCAACATTTTGGATTTTTATATATTTACGTACAATGCTGTTTAAACCAAGCTTTGACTTTATTCTCCCGAGTTTTTTTCTTTAATTAAAATTATGCTGGACCAATTCATCAGAGAAGACTTGATATATATATATATTTTCAAGAGTCATATACGCAGTTTCAATGGGATCCCCATTTTCAACACATGTAATTTTTTCTTTCTTTTTGGCAGTTCATTTTCAACTCGTAATGTACCAAACCGCGTGACCTGACTTCGTTTCTAAAAGAATGTTGAAATGAACACAGAACACGTAACTTGAGTTGGTTTCTCTCTCTATATATATGGGCACTAATTGGCATATGAAATTCATACTTATAAAAACAACGGAAGAATGTATAGTGTCGTTGTTTGCTTAATAACTGTGACTTTTCTCTTGCTCTTTGGGTTACCGATGGCAGCATTGGCCCGAACGCAATACAAATCTTCAAATCTAAGTAAGCTTTTTTTGTTTCCGAACAATTTTATATACCCAATCCGATTTTTGTTAAATTGTAGTTCAAATGTTCCGGGTTTAAAATTGAATAACCTAATTACCTAAAACATGTTAATATTCTGCATGAACAATGCCTCACAGCTGATAACATTATGAGTTACACACATATGAGTTGATACCATAATGTTGAAAGATAAACAGATTATTATGTACTTTACTTTGATGCAGTTTTGGTTTCAATCCTATGTAAAGCGCAAAATGTATCTTCAAAATTCAAATCAAATCATTTACAAAGAAATAAAAATTTAAATCTTCTCATTTAGTTTTTCCGCTGCGGTTTGATTTTAAGGTATCTTCGTATATGATTTTTATAAAACTGCATTATTATATCTCTTCTCTTAATTTTTGAACCCCCTTTTTTTCGTTTTATTTCAACCGCGCGCATGTGTTATATAAAAAAGGTTTTTTTACTGAAAGTTGTCAAAATTAATCAGTTGAGTGTTGTTCATTTTGTTGAAAAAGAAGCAGGAGAAGAGGTTTGGGATCAAAAGGTGATCAAAGAGATCAAGATTGAAGTAGATCCCAGTTGTTCAAGGGTTGCACCAGGAAGAAGACCACCAAACAGACCAGGATCATCAAATAGACCAGGTTCACCAAATCGATGTACTAAACCCTAGCACAATTCTTGGTTTCAAAATGGAATCTATTACCTTAGATTTAGTATTGATGTAAGATAAAGTTAGCTGTAGAACGTACGTACTCTCTTTGATGTTATAAGTCTTTTTCCGAACATAAGTGACAGATGGATGGTCCCATCGAGGTCTGCAATCTCAACATATGAGGCTACGAAGTACGTAAGTACGACCTATCCATGGGATGATTTAATAACATCGTCGGATATGAGGAACATGTATAAACATATTTTTAAAAAGCTTATAATTCGATTGGACGTGAATCACCAGTAATTAATCCATACTATTATTTTACTCGATCGGACAAGGCATAAGATTAGGTGTTCTGGTTCAAAACTTGCTCCCTGAGATCATTGAACGACCTAATTCTATATATACATCGAAAAACTATCAAATATTACGTCAAATTTTGAAAATGTTATTGAAATGTACGGAAATTTTACAAGTGTTTACATATTTCCCAATATTTTTCCGAGTACTGTAAAAATGTTTATGGTAACCTAATTACCTAAAACATGTTACTATTTTGCATGAACAATACCTCACTGATAACATTATGAGTTACACATATAGGTTGCAGATCATAATGTTGAATATATGAAGCTAGTTATGGGAACAATGCCTCACTGATAACATTATATTTCCATGGTGTCGAATTAGAATCTTCAGAGCCACTCCATGGACTTAGTCGGTACTGGCGCGCAGGCCGTGATGTACTGGGCTTTACTGCCCCCCTGAACTTTTGATCCTTAACCCCTTCTCCTATTTCTTTTCCAACAAAACAAAACTTTGAATACTAAATTTTTACGAAAAGAAAACCAAATAGAGAGACGAAAGAAGTAAGTTTCTACTTACTTTTATTGAGAGAATCATAATCATATGGTAATTCAGCGAAGACTGTGTTTGATGATGCAAAGAACAAGAGAAAAATCAAAGTTATTAACCGAACCATGTACATTTTTATTGGGTTGGTGTAAACTCTTAAGTTTGATCAATTTGTAATTTGTACATGTATGTATTTATATGTAGAGAACATGCACTAAGGTTAGGTGGGTTTCGTCGTTAATTTGGACTTTAGACTAAGAAAATATTAATTTTCGATTAATTAAACACGTTAAAAAGTAGATTTATATAATTGTTTGTGGAAGATGCTATCTTGACTCTTGAGTTTCTTGTATGTATCTGAAATCGGTCAAACTTCATATTTCTCCTCTATAATTAATATACGTCTTGATGGGAATAAGTTGAAGTAGAAAAAGACCAAGATTAAAAAAAATATGCTTGATAACGAAAGGCAAAACAAACATTTTATGTCGTCCTCTTCAATACAAAATGTTTTCTTATTTTATGTTATGCTTTTAGTTTTTAGTTCAATTCGAACGTCTTTTTTATGCAAATCTTACAAGGTTCAAAAAAAAAAAAACATTGTTCTGGTTAATGTTTTCAGATTAATTTGAGCTCAAATTTTAGTTCAGCTATACTTGTATTTCCTTTTTTGTTGAATCTTTTCCGATGCTTGTATTTCCTCAGGCAAGTTTAATTTTCTAAAATTGTCATAAAAGAGAACTTTAATTGGAGTCGAAAATTACAGAAAATTGATTAGCAACACACAGTATTCTGAACTAAAAGGCTATTTACTCACATGATAACTTTTGGCCCATGGGCTAAAGTATTGGTTAATTTTCTTGACGCGCAAGATGAGAGCGAATAACGTTTCCGAGATCTCCGGAATTTGGGAAACCCTAAAACAGTTCTTTCTTTTATAGAATCTCAACAGTTCCCTTCCTAAGATATTATTCTTTTCGAAGCGTTTCAGAAAGTTTTCCCCTAATGTCGTCCAAAGCCAGATCTTCAGCCGCCACTAAAAAGAAGAAGAAGCCATCGCCGGCGACGGAACCGACGTCGATATCGATCCTATCACTTCCTAACGATGTTCTCTTGAATTGCTTAGCCCGCGTCCCTATATTGTACTATCCAATTCTCTCCCTCGTATCCAAAACGTTCCGATCCATGATTGCTTCGTCGGAGCTTTACGAGACCCGATCACGCTTAAACCGCACCGAGAAGCGTCTCTATCTTTGCATATACTTCCCTCTCGACCCAGTGACACGCTGGTTCACTCTTTGCCGTCTACCTGATCGAAACTTAACCAACAAGTCAAGTGGCTATCTCATGCAGGAAATTCCATCTCCCAAGTATATCTCTCCTGAGCGATCGTCGACCCTCGTAGCCGTTGGATCTAATGTCTACAAAATCGGCGGCGCTGATATTGAAGACAGATACACATTCTGGAAGAGGGTGCATTCTTCTAGTGTAGCTGTTCTTGATTGTCGCTCTCACACGTGGCGCAATGCTCCGAGCATGCGAATGAAGCGGAGCTCCTCCTCCACAGCATCCTTACTTGATGGGAAGATATATGTCGCAGGAGGATGCAAAGACAAATACGTACACCACAATTCCCCTGATTGGATCGAAGCCTTTGATACTGTGACACAAACTTGGGGATCTGTGAAGAACCCTCGTGTTTTCGAATTGCACCATGAGTTTAGGGACAAGCCTTTTGTAGCCGGAAGCTTTCCTCTTGAAGGAAAACTCTATATGTTTGGTGATACTTTTGCTGTTTACCATCCCGAGGAAGATAGATGGGACGATCTACGATACGATTACAGTAACTATCGTATGTCTTGGGGAGCAAGATCTAGTCATTGCGTGATAGACGATGTCTTGTACTTTTGGAATAGTCGAGTGTTGGAATGGTATGACATTAAGGCAAGTTTATGGAAGGAAGTGAAAGGTGTTGAAGGATTGCCTGATTTTAGCGACCGAAAGTACCATAAATTGGTGGATCTTGGTGGTAAGATGGCGGTTCTGTGGGATGAGTACTTGTATAATCAGGCCAGACCGGAGTATAGGGTTTGGTGTGCCGAGATTACGCTTGAAAGGCGTGATGGAGATGAGATTTGGGGCAAGGTTGAGTGGTTTGATTTTGTGCTTAGAGCGCACGTTTCTTGTTCCTCGTTCGATGTTGTTTCTGTTTCTCTTTGATGATGAGATGACAACTCAAGAGAACAGGCATGCTTTGAACGGTTTCTGCTTTTCTATGTTGTTTCTGCCATTTTCTTTTTCTTTTTTTCTCCCTTTAAGCAAACAAAAACTTTTGTTACGATTTAAAATTATAGATTTGGAGATTTTGTATGGTCCTTTGGCTCAGGCTGTCTTTTATGACCGGGTCAAACTTGTGATATAAACGCATATTTGTTTATTCTCTGAGTCTTCTGTGACTGCTCCAACATACTATTATTTTTTATATAATTTCTTATGCTGGAAAAAGTCACAGATTTAAAAGATCATATATTTTTTTTGTTAAATGACCACTACGCAAAAACACCTTTTGGATTTGTTCTCTAACTAAAAGAAAACCTTTCGTCGCCACCATGAAAGACAACGAGGAGGCATCGCTTCATGAGCAGAAGATGACGATACCGTTAGTTCTCTCGCCGACCACGAATCTTTCTCTTCCTGATGACATACTTTTGAGCTTCCTAAGCCGGATTTCGAGATTGTATTACCCAACTTTCTCCCTCGTCTCCAAGAGTTTCCGCTCTCTCGTTGCTTCACCTGAGCTCTACCAGACCCGATCCGTCCTCAACCGAACAGAGAGTTGTCTCTACGTGTGCTTACGGTCACTTGCCGACTCTAACCTCCGATGGTTTACCCTCTGCCGTGTACCGGATCGAAAACTAACCAATTTCTCAGGTGGCCATTTATTGGTCCCAATATCATCTAGCCATGCTCCTCCTCCTGCTCATTGGTCGAGTGTGGTCGCGGTTGATTCTAATATATACGCTATTGGTGGACCCATCAACGATGCGCCTTCCACTAGCGTCTCGTTCTTGGATTGCCAGTGTGACACGTGGCGCACAGCTCCACCGATGCGTGTGGCTCGGTACTACCCCACCGCAAGTGTTCTTGATGGGAAGATATATGTCGCAGGAGGCTGCCAAGATTGCGACTCACTGAATTGTATAGAAGTGTTCGACCCAAAGTCTCAGACTTGGGAGTCTGTGGCAAGTCCTGGCACTGAGAGATGCGAGAGACTTGTGTACAAAAGCGTAGGGATCGAAGGAAGGTTTCACTTGTTTGGGGGTGCGGGTCATGTGGTTTACGACCCAAAAGAAGGAAGATGGGAGTCGATAGGAATGGATATGGATATGGGCCGGGCATGGGTTTCTTACTGTGTGATAAACAACGTATTGTTCTATTATCACGATAAAGACAGAGCGTTCAAATGGTATGACTATAAAGCAAGATTCTGGAGAAAACTGATGGGCTTGGAACGGCTGATCAAGTTTCTCTGCTATAGCCGTGTTAACTTGACGGCTTATGGTGGGAAGATGGCGGTTTTCTGGGACACTTTTGTGCCTGGGAGTGGCTCTAAGAACAAGATGGTTTGGTGCGCAGAGGTTACACTTGAAAGCCATGACATATACGATATGTGTGGTCAGGTTGAGTGGTTTGATGTTGTTCTTAAAGTTCCCAAGTCATATGAGTTTGTTCATGCTCTTGCTGCTTCAGTTTGACTGATACATAGTATACGTATTCTTGAGGCTATTATTAATCTGATGGATGATGCTGTTTAATTTTTAACTAAATTTTTTTTTCCCGTTGTAAAGCTCTCTACTCGTATTCTTGAAGTGTATTCAAAATAATTTTAACAGTTAGATTAATTTTGTGCCCGGGATTGCTAAAATGCATTTAAAACACTTTCGTTTGGGTTTTACTAATTCACAGGAACAAGAACCATAAAAAAAGAATACTTAAAGAGTATTTGGTCCTTTATCAAACAAACAAAACTGGACTTCTTTATGATTCCGATCAGATTAAAACGGGGGTTTATTGCAATTGTGAAGGAAATAAAGTTTCTTAACGAATAAGCTGCCAAAAATAGGTGTTTTGTCAGAGGAAAACAAAAAGGATCAAAGAAAATATTATTTATACCTCAATTATTATATATAGTCAAGTTCCTTTCTTCAGAAAAACTATTAATCAAAAGACCAGAGTTATTCGGTCTGGTGTAGCCTTCTAGGAAGTCACATCACATGGTGTCTTATTTAATTTTTAATTTTTGCCGACTTGGTCTCCTAATCAATAATTGAAGTATTAGACATAAAATTAGCAGCAAAATGAAGTGTTGATTAGTTTACACTTAAAAATTAAATAAGGCTTAGTATAAAATTTATAATTTTTTTAACGTTAAAATTTATATGTTTTGAATATGATACCCATAAAGTTATTTACCACTATTTTATAACAAAATACTATTGTTTGTCCAACTAAATAAAGTATTTTCGTCTTTAACGTTAGAATTTAGGAAGTTCGAAATTTGTAATTTGGAGGCCCATTAAGGTGGGCTACAATGAAATGGATTTTGATATTTAGCCACTTGGCATTATCAGACGCGCAATCTGAACTCTGGTCGTGAAAGTAAGTCGAGTCGAAATCCCTAAATCCCTCCGTCTTCTCTGAAGAAGTATCATTCATCCGAAGTTTTTCAACTGCGGTTTCGTATCGATAACACCGCCAATGTCATCCCCAGAGAAGAAGAAGAGGAAGAAGACGACGATGAAGAAACCGCCGCTTAAGCAGCCGCCGACCCCAAATCCGACGCTTCCCGATGATTTGCTAGTGAGTTGCTTTGCCCGCGTCTCGAGATTGTACTACCCTACTCTCTCACTCGTCTCCAAGACCTTTCGATCTCTCCTTACTTCACCGGAGCTCTATAAGGTTCGGTCGTCCTTAGGCCACAGAGAGATTTCTCTCTATGTCTGCATACAGTTCGGTCCTTACCCGAACCCTCGCTGGTTTACTCTCTGCCGGAGACCTGATCAAACCAATCACACAAGCAGGAAGACGAAGACGAAGAAGTCAGACGGGTATGTTTTAGCTGCGATTCCGATTCCCGAGTCTCCTCCTGCGCACTGGTCGGGGCTCGTTGCGGTTGGGTCTAACATCTACAACATCGGCGGATCCACCTACAAAAAGCCCTTGTCCACCGTCTCGATGCTGGACTGCTGGTCTCACACGTGGCGCGAGGCTCCAAGCATGCTGGTGGAGAGGTGTTCCCCTATGGCTAATGTACTTGATGGGAAGATATATGTAACAGGGGGATGCGAGGATTGCAATCAATCCCGTTGGATGGAGGTTTTCGATCCAAAGACCGAGACTTGGGAAATCGTCTCGAGCCCTGGCCCGAAGATATGCGGGTGTAGTATTGATAAAAGTGCAGGGATTGGTGGGAAAGTATACATTTTTGGCAACTGTAATGGTTTGTCTTACAGAGCGAGTGACGGTCGATGGGAAAGGGAGGGATGGGAAATGGATTTGGGGTGGCCATGGTTTTCTTACGGCGTGATCGACGACGTGCTCTTCTACTATTCCGACGGGTTCGAATGGTATGACACTGAGGTAAGGTTATGGAGAAAATTGAAGGGTTTGGTAGGGCTGCCCAAGTTTGCCCATTACGGCTGTGTTAAAATGGCGGATTATGGTGGGAAGATGGCGGTTTTTTGGGACAAGTATCTGCCTTCCAGTGGATACAAGAAGAAGACGATTTGGTGTGCTGTGATTTCACTTGAAAGGCGCGGCAGTGAAGAGATTTGGGGGAAGGTCGAGTGGCTAGATGCTGTGCTCACTGTCCCTGAGTCTTACGAGTTCGTTTGTGCTCTTTCCGCCACTGTTTGATGGTTTGAGATACTGATATGACCTGAGTGATGCAGGTAGGTGAAGAGATTGGTTTGAATCGGGCTATGAGTGTAAGAAGAGTGTACTGTTTTGTTCTTGTTTAGAAAGAATCTTTTTTGACATTTGTTAGAAGAACTGTAACAAAGATGCACATTTGATGAGAGAGTTTGGTTCTGTAGTGAGCAAAACTCTTTGTTTCTATCACCTTAAAATTTGCAGAGGGATTTGCTTGCTAGCTTCTTGTAATCTTATTAAACAAATGAGCAAGGCTTGTTTTGTTATTTGCTGTCGCAGGAAAAAGAAAGACAAAACGATTATTATAGCCTGATCTAACAAAGTATTCTTCAATTATATTCATCTTCAGATTGAATACTTGAGGAACTAGCAATTTTGACTGTCCTAAATTAGATGGTGTGGACTGTGGATTGTGCAGTTGAGCTTATCATACTAACAAACTCACATAAACGCACTCGAGTGGGAACATATAGAGACTTAACACTGCGAATGTGTCTCCTGGCTCATTATCATGTTACACTGAGATGGTCTTAAATCAGTTCACCTTTGTTCTGAATACAAAATTGAGATTAGAAGAAAACATTATTACCAAAAATGATCAAAATCAAGAAAACCACAATTTCAGTTTCAAAATTGTGGGTATTTGAGGCCCATTAAGTTAAGATGAAAAGGATTTGGATAACTCTCTCTAAACAGAGCCCATAATTGATTGATTCCTCACAGACACAGTTTTGTCATTTGTGGAGAAACTCTGAAGTGAACTCAAATCGAAAATCGCCTCGCTCATTCCGCCAATGACGCCGCCTGAGAAGAAGAGGAAGAGGATGACTAGTTCGAGGAAACCGTCGCTTAAGAAGAAGAAGAAGAAAGAAAATCTGCCGCCGACGCCGGAAGCGGGCCCAAATCCTTCACTTCCCGATGATTTGCTGTTAAGCTGCATCGCTCGCGTCTCGAGAATGCACTATCCGACTCTCTCACTCGTCTCCAAGGGCTTTCGATCTCTCGTTGCTTCACCGGAGCTTTACCAGACCAGGTCGTCTTTAGGACGCACCGAGAGTTGTCTCTATGTGTGCTTAAAGTTCCCTCCTGACCCTAACCCTCGTTGGTTCACCCTCTGCCGGAAACCTGATCGAGCCCTAACCAATAACGTCACCGGCAAGAAGTCTAGTGGGTATGCGTTGGCTAAACTCCCAGTTCCCCACACTCGTCTTGCGCACTGGTCGGGTCTGGTGACAATAGGTTCAAACATCTACAACATCGGCGGACCCATCGGCGACGGCAAGGCGCCCTCGGCTAGCGTCTCCGTCCTGGACTGCCGCTCTAACACGTGGCGCGAGGGTCCAAGTATGCGGATGGAGCGGAACTTCCCAGTGGCCAATGTCGTCGACGGAAAGATATGTGTAGCGGGAGGCTGCAAAGACCACAGTTCCTCCGATTGGATGGAGGTTTTCGATCCGACAACCCAAGCTTGGGAGTTTGTGACGATCCCTGGCGCGGAGATATGCGGCTGTTATCTGCAAAAAGGCGCAGCGATTGATGGAAAAGTATACATTTTTGGGAACCGTGATGGTTTGGCTTACAAGCCGAGGGAAGGTCGATGGGAAAGGCTGGGATGGGATATGGATTCGGGTTGGCCATGGTTTTCTTACGGCGTGATTCAGAACGTGATCTACTATTACAACGAGGGAGAGTTCAAGTGGTGCGACACCAAGGCGAGACTCTGGAGAACTTTGAAGGGTGTGAAAGGGCTGCCTAGGTTTCGTCGTTACATTGCTAGGTTCACTGATTACGGTGGGAAGATGGCGGTTTTCTGGTACAAGGTTGTGCCTTCAAGTGGGTATAAGGACAACATGATGTGGTGCGCCGTGATTGCGCTCGAAAGGCGCAGCGATGAAGAGATTTGGGGGAAGGTCGAGTGGCATGACGCAGTGCTTACGGTCCCCAAGTCATGTAGACTGGAGTGTACTCTTGCTGCTACCGTTTGATGGATGTCATGAATCTTTCTTTACTGGTCGTGGGTTGTATCGTTTTTTGGATCATTGCGTCTTTGTGTTTTTAGCTCTACTCAATAGACATCATTTTCACTTGTGTAGAACCTTTGATGCTCTGCTTATTTTGTGCGGCTTAATGCCCTATGAATCTATGCACTACTTTGATGACTGAGTGAAGTTGCAGAAAATTTGGGCATCTTAATACCATCTTATTTATGAGACGCAAATGGCTTATTTCTCTTTTTCTTTTTTGGTCAAAAGGAAAGATGACAGATTAATCAAACAAAGAGTATTATTATTCAATTATATACAGCAGTCAAAACTAGGCACAGACGAGCTCTGATAGAACAGAAACGCGCAGATTTATGAGATGTTGCGGGGAAACATAACTGTCTCGGTCTAGAGGCCACCCGGTCTAGCCATACCGTCTTCTTTTTCTAGAAAGCTCTGGACTTGCTCAAAGGCCTGATGATGAATGGTTCAGCAGTTAGAGCTTATCAACACTAACAAACTGAAATTTGCACATCTGAATAAGAGCAACAGAGAAGGTTCTGAGACATACCTCAATGGCGATTTCAGTTGGTGTGAGATCTGAGACGTTTCTATACCCGAGCTTTGATGTAATATCTGAACAATTAGAGTACACTAGTTAAGAAAACGGCCGAGATGATGGAAAGCTATGAAACATGGAAGGTGAAGAGGACCATACTCTCTAACGAGACTCTCGCGCTGGCGTTGGTGTATGCTTCACCACGCGCATCCCAAATTGTTGAAAGACGGTTTAAAGCCTACAGTGTGTGAAAGTTACAAACGATCAAAACCACAGAGAAAGATCAACTCTTTTGTGTTTTTTAAAGTAACATCCATAGCATTACCACTGTGTATGAGTCTCCTGACTCATCATCATGTAACAACGGTCTTGAAGCAGTTCCTACTGCCGCAATTCTTTGCGCTAAGGCTTCTAGAGGAACATCAAGCCAGATGCTAACACCTTTATGCATATACTTCCTGAATTCAAAATTGGACAACAACTATTACCAAATGATCTGAGTTTTCGTGATACATATCACTGACGAGAAGAAAAAACGCACCAATTGATGGGTCTCATAACTGCACCTCCCCCTGTTGACACAACAACTTTTTGGTACATCAAAGAGAGCTTCTTTATCGCCTCGGTCTAAAAAAACAGAGCATGTGATGAAATTAGCAGACAGAAAACACAAAGATCAAAGATGAACTTATGGCTGGAAGAATCGCAGAGTGAAACCTCTTTTTCTCTGAAGACACTCTCACCGAAATGCTCAAATATCTCAGCTACAGTAGTTCCATTCATCGCCTGCTCGATCAAAGCGTCACTGGGGAAAACAAAACAATGTTAAGACATGCTAAAAGTTCAAAAGACACACAGTTGAAAATAGGAAGATGATATACCAATCAAAAAATGTATAACCAAGTGCTCTTGCCATAATCTTTCCTACTGTCGTCTTCCCGGAACCCATCATTCCTAACGCATTCACGAGGAAACTGTTCAATTAGCAGAGAATGAACGAAAAGCTAAACAATACCCAAACAAAGAGATGAGGCAAAGAAACTAACCAACGAGATACATAGATCGTCCATTTAAATACGTTTCAACCTCTTCAGCTATTCTCTGCAAATGCTAATGTTATCCACTGTTAACCCTAAGATGTTATATAGAAGAAAAGGTAAAAGATAACAAACAGTATCTAAACTCATTTCACTAAAGATTGAAGAAGAGTATCAACTTGCCTTCAAAACCAGTTCTTCATCAAATGGAGAATGAATAAGATTTCCAGTTTCCAACAATGCTACAAGATTTGAAGATGGAAACACATTTCTTGTCACCAAATAGACACAACCGAAAAAAGCAACATTTTTAAAAAGTTGAATCAAATCGAAAAAGTCATGCTTTTTTGTCAGAACCTGAGGAGTTCTTATCAGAGACTGATCTCTGTCGATGATGCCTTGTTTTCTCAGGTTGGAAATGAGCTAAAGCAAGAACTCTAAGCCTTTTATCTTCTTTAATTCGCTGAGTATACCGAAGAGACCCACGAGGCTTCCCTTCAAAACTTCTCCGATCAATCCATGATGATGAGTACTGAAACCTCTGAACGGTAGCTAAATCCATATCCTGGAAATTCACACAATACAAGAATTCAGATTCTTTGCAAAAGCAGAATCTATTCAGCTATCTTTGCAAAGTATCAATAACTCAACTCTAAGGCCAAATTGCATCAATGGAACTATTTCCTATATAGAAATGTTATAAGTTAAGGTAGAAATGTAGATTTAAAACGAAGACACGCAATTTCTTGGACAAAAAGTGAATTTTCATCTGGAGCTATGTTCATTGCAGCTGAAGCTTTTAAATAGACTCCATGAATACAAAAGAAACAGAGAGAGACTATTAAGGGATATATTACTCCAGAATCTGCGTAAACAATCAATGCAAACGCAAATGAAATCTGAGATTAGAGAATGTATAAAGGGTTCACCTTTTTCTCGACGGCGGAGCAAAGACACGAGAGGCAAAGACTCTCTCTCTCCCTCTCTCCTCTCTCCTCTCTCCTCTTTCTTCACTTGCGGCTTTTTTTTTATTGGCCTAAATTAATTCATGCCAAAATATTTATATTCTCAGTTTTTATACGAAAAAGTACATAAGGGGTTGGTGATATTCCTAAATGACATCTTAAAGGATTATGCCAAGTAGTTGTTCAAAAAAAAAAAAAGGATTATGCCAAGTCAATAATCAATGTGTATTTGTGTAAGTCAAATAAAATGTTAGTGGAAAAGTGTAACGTGTTTAAAAAGTATATATTTTTACCTATGCTATATGACATCTGTCCCCATTGCAAGTTCTCAAATTATCTTGATTTCGTACGTGTACAACAAATCTTCATACTTAATTTTTTTTTCCAATCTTATTACATTCAAAAGATAAAATTTCTGAAATTGTCTTTTTTAGAGAACTTAACTTAATCATCATAATATATAGAACACATCCTATTTATTGTGATTCAAATCGAATTAACCACAAATCTATATAGAACACATCCTATTTATTGCACAGTCGATATACATTGTGATTCAAATCGAATTAACCACAAATTTTATCATAATTGAATGCAAGATCTTACAAATCTTAAGATTTATTGACGGAATGTGAGGTTTTAAAAAGGAAATATATGGATAATGTATTTTGGTAGGTGAAACGTGGAATAAAAAATTCTGATCGGACCAAAAATATATTTGGAAAACTAAATATACAGTGTGTTGCAAAAGATGGCCCACTAAATAATCCGGTAGGGCCATCAAAATCTACAGTTCTGTTTTTGCGACCAACCAACCAAACCTAACTCATCCTACATAACTATTTATATAATAAAATAAAAAATAAATGGTCTTGAGCCTCATTTCCATGTTTGGGAGTAAAACCGTATGCCGTTTTTAGTTGTCATATCCACCATCCTTTCTTCGGTTATAGGAAACAAACGGCACACTGTTTGTCACTAAGTTGTTTGTATCTCAACGGTCGTCGTAGGACGCACTGGTTCTTCTTTATCAGTAGGATGAGAAGCCATGGCAGTTTGCGTAAAGTGCAAGAAGCGATACGTTTCTACTCTGTGTCTTCTTCTGCGTCAGGTCTCCTGGAATTTCTAAACTCAGATTTTCCTTCTACAATAGGAATCCGAGGAAGGCGCGAGTTTGCCCGTCTCTTGCAGCTTCGTGCGTCAGATGATCCATTTCTCTGTCACAATGTAGTTCATGGTCAGATCATCGTCTCGGGTTTTGATTCAGATACGTATCTTAGCAATATTTTGATGAAAGTGTATTCGAAATCTTGCGGTATGGTTTACGCACGTAAGCTGTTCGAGAAAATGCCTGAGAGAAACTTGGTTACTTGGTCCACCATGGTTTCAGCTTGTAACCATCATGGGTTTTACGAGGAGTCTTTGGTGGTTTTCCTAGAATTCTGGAGAAGCAGAAAAAATAGTCCAAACGAATATATTTTGTCGAGTTTCATCCAAGCTTGCTCAGGATTAGATGGAAGTTGTGGACGTTCGATGGTGTTTCAGCTGCAAAGTTTTCTTTTCAAGAGTGGGTTTGATCGGGATGTTTATGTTGGTACCATGTTGATTAGTTTCTTTCTCAAGGAAGGTGATCTCGATTACGCAAGGCTTGTGTTTGATGCTTTACCAGAGAAATCCACAGTGACTTGGACGACTATGATCAGTGGGTATGCTAAAATGGGGAGAAGCTACCTGTCATTGCAGTTATTCTACCAGCTAATGGGAGCTAACGTTGTTCCAGATGGTTACATCCTTTCGACGGTTCTAAGTGCGTGTTTGATACTTTCGTTTATCGAAGGTGGGAAGCAGATTCATGCACACATCTTAAGACATGGACATGAGACGGATGCCTCACTGATGAATGTGCTTATAGATTCTTATGTGAAGTGTGGCAGAGTTACATCTGCTCGTAAGCTATTTGAGGGAATGTCGAATAAAGACATCATTTCGTGGGCCACAATACTCTCTGGCTATAAGCAGATCTGTCTTCATAAGGAAGCCATGGAATTGTTTTCCGGAATGTCAAAGTTTGGTTTGAAGCCAGATGTGTACGCTTGCTCTAGCATACTCACATCTTGTGCCTCGCTTCATGCTCTGGAATATGGAAGACATGTTCATGCTTACACTATCAAAGCCAATCTTGGCAATGATAGCTATGTGATTAACAGCTTGATCGACATGTATGCGAAATGTGATTCTTTGACCGACGCCAGAAAAGTCTTTGACCTTTTCGCAGCTGATGATGTGGTTTTATATAACGCAATGATTGAAGGTTACTCGAGACTTGGGACACAATGTGAGCTACATGAAACACTGAACATCTTCTGTGATATGAGGTCCCGATTGATTCGACCTAGCCTGTTGACTTTTGTTAGTCTTCTACGTGCATCTGCGTCTTTAACAAGTTTGGAACTCAGCAAACAAATTCATGGATTGATGTTCAAGTATGGGGTCAACTTGGATATATTTGCTGGAAGCGCTTTGATTGATGCTTACTCAAATTGCTACTGTGTCAAGGATTCTAGGCTCGTGTTTGATGAAATGAAAGAGAAAGATCTTGTTGTCTGGAACTCAATGTTTTCAGGTTATGTTCAACAATCAGAGAACGAAGAAGCTCTCAGTCTGTTTTTGGAACTGCAGATATCAAGAGAAAGACCTGATGAGTTTACTTTTGCCGACATGGTTACAGCAGCTGGCAACCTGGCAAGTCTTCAATTGGGTCAAGAGTTCCATTGCCAGATTATGAAAAGAGGCTTAGGATGCAATCCATATATTACTAATGCTCTGCTAGATATGTATGCCAAATGTGGAAGTCCAGAAGATGCTTATAAAGCTTTTAATTCACCAGCTTCAAGAGATGTGGTTTGTTGGAACTCTGTTATATCATCTTATGCGAATCACGGAGAAGGCAGAAAAGCTCTTCAGATGCTGGAAAGAATGATGAAGGAAGGAATAGAGCCTAACTACATCACCTTTGTGGGAGTTTTATCAGCGTGCAGCCATGCTGGTCTCGTGGAAGATGGACTTGAGCAGTTTGAGATTATGCTCCGACTTGGAATTGAGCCAGAAACTGAACACTATGTATGTATGGTAACTCTTTTAGGCCGTGCAGGTAGATTGAACGAAGCAATGGAGTTCATTGAGAAAATGCCAACAAAACCGCCTGCTATAGTATGGAGGAGCTTGCTGAGTGGATGCGCAAAGACCGGGGACATCGAGTTGGCTGAACATGCTGCTGAAATGGCTATCTCCTCTGATCCAATGGACAGTGGATCGTTTATTTTGCTTTCTAATATTTACGCGTCAAAGGGTATGTGGGCTGAGGCGAAGAAGGTAAGAGAAAAAATGAAGTTTGATGGTGTGGTGAAAGAACCTGGACGTAGTTGGATTCAGATTGATAACGAGGTTCATATCTTTTTGTCCAAGGATAAATCTCACCACAAGGCGAACCAGATTTATGAAGTATTAGACGATTTTCTTGTGCAGATCAAAGGGTTTGGCTAACTACCACACAAAAATTGATTTTCTATTGAGTGATCAGACCAGACCAATGCAGCTAGAGTTGTCGGGAATTCTCAGATAGACCTGGCCAGATAAGGATCCGTTTCGATCAAATTAAGGATGACGAGCAATCGGGAAAAGATAAAGAGGTATCAAGAGTGTTTGGATCATTGAAGGAAGAGTTTTATCTCTTGTGCTAATGAAGTTGCAGGAGATGAAGAAAGAATGATATAAGAAGCTAAGACCACACTGATGTTCTGAAATTCATTCTTTTATCCTAGAGTGAACCACAAGTTGAGAGGCCTAGAGAGCAAATGATACAACACAAGACTGAGCCGTAGGAGAAAGAACAAGCAGCAATGGCCAATCTGGAGAAGAAGCTGAGAGGATAACGAGAGCAAAGGAAAACTCGGTTGAGTTCGGTTCAACCGCAAAGGACTCAAAATTTACCGCGGTTCGGTTCTCAATTGTTTCTTATCACCTAAACCGTTTACATTAGAAAGTGGTTTGAGGGGAGAAGTTGTAATTGTGAAAACGGTACATATGTTGTAATATACAAATCCATTTGAATTGGTTAAACCGATTACGAATTCAGCTAAACCCATAAACCAAATTCAAAAGATCAAAAACAGTGTTTAAACGGGAAATCAGATTGGACATCTAACTACTTGGGCCCATAATCTTATTGGACCAGGCCGAGTTCTAGACAGTTCGGTTGGAACTATCTCTTGTCGTAATCGGGTGGCGAAACGAAAACCCTCGGATTCCTCTGCTTCTTTCTCTCCCGTCGTCACTTTCGACCTCTGATTCCGGTCTTGTTCCTTTCACTCGCGTTAAACCTCTTACCTTGAGGCGCTGTCTCCGTGAGCTCTCTCTGATTCGACTGCAACCATGTCGACTATCATGCAGAAGATCAAAGAGATCGAAGATGAGGTCATTTTCTTCATATCCTCCGATTCTTCACTTGTGCTCCTTAAGTTTGGATATCAATTCGAAACATTTTTCTCTTCTCAATCAGCTCTGAATTATAAATAAATGGTTAATTGGTATGTTTTAATCTGTGTGACTCACAAGTACGAGGTTGCTCTTTTAAATGGCGCAGATGGGTAGGACGCAGAAGAATAAAGCCACTGCGCATCATCTGGGTTTGTTAAAGGTAAAACTATTGCGAGAATTTCCTTTGTTGCTTAGTCGGTGGGATTGTTTATTTGTAGCTCAGGTTTTGGTTGAGGTGTTTATACTGATCATATGCAAATTTATATCTCTTTCGAGTATTATATCACAAAAGCAATCATATGGTTAAGTATTGTCACTTGTGGGTTTACATTTTATAAATGGGTTCCCAGATCATGAACTCTGCACAAGGATGGATATTGATATATGACTCGTGAAAACTCCTTAGGTTATACAATTTGTTAAATCATTTCATGGACCTTGAGAGTCATTAGATAAGAGCTGAACGCTTCAATGGATACTTTTTTCCCTTAACATTAGCTTATCTGTAAATCGCATTGGTCCATTTCGCAGGCCAAACTTGCTAAGCTAAGGAGGGACCTTCTTGCACCACCTACCAAAGGTGGTGGTGGCGCTGGCGAAGGTTTTGATGTGACCAAAAGTGGAGATTCTAGAGTTGGACTTGTTGGCTTTCCTTCGGTTGGAAAATCCACACTCTTGAACAAGCTCACTGGAACATTTTCCGAGGTTTGTAGTTATGTTGAGGAATCTTGCGTTTCCTTTCCTTTCCTTTTGGTTGTCAATGTCATGTCATTCGAGGTTTCAAACTTACCATAAATCCAAGTCATCTGCTTTCTAGTTGCTTTGAGCCTTTGGCCCTTTTCTTTTCTCGTGCCATATGAGTTTATAAGGCAAAAATGACAGAGCTATTCTTGTCTTGGATAGATTAGCATAAATCTTGGAATTAAAACTGTGTTTTGGCTGATGCTCTAGTTTCTGAAAGTACGCTCACATTTTTCAGGTTGCTTCTTATGAGTTCACAACGTTGACATGCATTCCCGGAGTTATTACATACCGTGGAGCTAAACTTCAGGTACAGTAACTACATCTATGCCTTCTTTTTCAATCTGTTATTTCTAGAGAGAGATGATATGCTTGCATCTTCTGGTTGTTGTCAAGTTGAAGGACAATAAAATTCTTGGCGTTATAATATCCTCAATAATTGTTCGTTGGATGTTGATGGTACTCTCTTTGACGTCCTTCTTAATTGGTTTTCAGTTATTAGATCTTCCTGGTATTATTGAGGGTGCTAAGGACGGAAAAGGTAGAGGACGACAGGTAAGTCGTGCACAAACCTCTGAACTCTCAAAATTGACTGTCGTTGGCTGTGCTTGACGCTTTACTATTTACAGGTTATAAGTACTGCTAGGACTTGCAACTGCATTATAATAGTTCTTGATGCGATAAAACCAATAACTCACAAGCGTCTCATTGAAAAAGAGCTCGAAGGGTTCGGAATAAGGTATTGAATGATCGCTTGTATAATAACCTTGATACACCTCATACCTTATCATTTCAGGTAAATGTTCTGACCCGATCATGGACTGATGCTATATGTAGGTTGAACAAAGAGCCGCCTAATCTTACATTCAGGAAAAAAGATAAAGGTGGTATCAATCTCACTTCTACAGTCACTACCACACACCTTGACCTCGACACTGTCAAGGCGATTTGCAGTGAGTACCGGATGCACAACGCTGACATCACTCTGCGCTATGATGCAACCGCGGATGACCTCATTGATGTCATCGAAGGCAGTCGGATCTATATGCCCTGTATCTACGCTGTCAACAAGATCGATCAGATCTCACTCGAGGAACTGGAAATTTTGGACAAACTTCCTCATTACTGTCCTGTCAGGTAAATATTGGTAGTTTCTCTGGCAGGTTTATTGGTAAATGGTATCCCTTTCTCTCATTGATATATAACAAATCCTGCAGTGCGCATCTGGAGTGGAATCTTGACGGTCTTCTGGATAAGATATGGGAATACTTGGATCTAACTCGAATCTACACCAAACCGAAGGCAATGAATCCAGATTATGATGATCCTGTTATCTTATCTTCCAAGAAGAGAACAGTTGAGGACTTCTGCATCAGGATTCACAAAGATATGCTTAAACAGTTCAAGTAGTAAGTACTTAAAACTTATGATTGTTCTGTTTCTCTGTTTATGTCCTGCTCAGTAATGTTTTTTTCGTTGCAGTGCTTTAGTCTGGGGTTCAAGTGCCAAACACAAGCCACAGAGAGTTGGAAGGGTCAGTCTTCTTACTAATTTCAGTAACTTTTTTAATCAAAGTTTAAAAGGTTTCTGTTGCAATCGTTTCTTTTGAATCAGTTCTGTTGTTGGAGGTTAAGTTTGAAATGATTGTTTGCTAAACCCATTTCAATATTCTTAACTAACTATTGCCGTCGTCTTTTTAAATTTATGTATGGAAACACCTCAGGAACACGAGCTCGAAGACGAGGATGTTGTTCAGATTGTTAAAAAGATATGATTTTTCCAGTTCATGGAGAAGTCATAAGACCAAAGTAGCCACAGTGAGATCTCTATACAGAAGATGGTTTGGATCTTCTTTTTGGTCTCTCAGCTTATCTTTTGTACTGTATTATATCCAGAGAAAATCTGTGCCAGCACTGTTTCTTTTTTTCTTGTTTGATCTATTTCTAATGATAGCATGTGATTGATGTTTTCTTCGGAACACCTCTAAAGATTTCTGGATATGGTTTTGCCTAGATATTCTCCTTGTCTTTATGTATACAACTTGACTAGTTTTTTTATTTTGAAAAGCTGAAAAATTATCGACTTTCATTGCAGTGAGTCAGTGACTGACTTGAGGTTCTGTGATGCAACTCGACCTGTCGTTTACATTTATTAGTGAAGCGATGGTCATTTTGTTACTCGTCGTCAACAAAATTTTCTCAACCACTACTTTTTTTTGTTAAAATGTTACCTTGTGTAGTCGTTATACATGCTGAAACTGTTGATTACAAATATCCTAAAATTTGGGATAAAGAGCTTTTTGCAAACCTAATCTCAATTACGCATTAAGATCTTCTGCTCCTTTCGTTCTTATTAAGGGCTTCGCTTCGATCTCATTCGAAGTTCTCAACTTCTCATAACGTATCCCATCATCGAAGAAACTCCCCCAGTTACGTTCTCATCAAGAAACCCTTCAGTTACTTCAAGATCAAGGAAGCATTTCGATTAAGTAACTTTGCACTGTCAATCATGTGATCCTTCTTCATTGGAGAGCGCATCACGGGTCATTTGTTTCTCCTATTTTCTAAGATTTCTCTGGTTATTTTGCTATAGATCGATCAACACGTTACACGCTGTTTCGAATATAATTTTATTTTTCACAATAAATATTTAAAATGAAACAATAATAGACTTTATCATGTGTATAAATCCAGGTCCTTCTACTCCTCTACCCACAATCAGACTTCTCCAATGGCTTATATCGGCTTATTTGAATCAGCCATAGCTTCCCTTTGTTTTCTCATCTTCTATTGCTTCCTCAACAAGAAACCCTTTGGTTTCTTGCACCTCAAAAAACCGCTTCAAAGCTACCCTTGGAACTGGCCGGTTCTTGGGATGCTTCCAGCTGTGCTGGTCAGATTCAACCGGATCGATGATGCCATATGGATTATTGAGAAGACCAACTTGACGTTTCTATTCAAGGGTCCATGGTTCACTAAGATGGATGCATTGATCACGGTTGATCCAGCTAACATACATCATATATTCAGCTCAAATTTCTCCAACTACGTCAAAGGACCAGAGTTCAAAGAGATATTTGATGTTTATGGAGACGCCATATTCAACACCGACTCGGAGCTATGGAAGAATCTGAGGATGTCTTCTCAGGCCATGCTCAATCATCAAGGGTTTCAAAACTTGTCATTCAGTATCACAACAAGTAAACTCAAGAACGTGCTTCTTCCTCTTCTCAATCAAATTTCAGAGGAAGGGACAATCGTGGACTTGCAGGACGTGTTCCAGAGATTCATGTTCGATACAACCCTAGAAACAATCACCGGGTCTGATCCTCAATCTCTCTCCATTGAAATGCCAGAGGTTGAGTTCGCAAAGGCCTTTGATAATGCTGGGGAAGCCATTGTGTTTAGGCATATCATACCGAGATTTTTATGGAAGTTGCAAAACTGGATGGGATTGGGACATGAGAAGAAGATGATAGAAGCTGGTGCCACTTTTGATCGGATGTGTGAGGAATATATATCAGCAAAGAGAGAAGAGATAAGATCAAAAGGGAGTGATCATGATCAATCCAATGTACACGGTGAAGATCTATTAACATCTCACATAAAGCTCGATACAAGCAAGTACGAGCTCTTGAAGCCAAGCGATAATAAGTTCCTCAGAGACAGCATCTTAACTTTCGTTTTCGCGGGGAGGGACTCCACTTCCACTGCTCTCACTTGGTTTTTCTGGCTTATCTCTAAAAACCCTCACGTGGAAGCCAAGATTCACCAAGAGATCAACGCAAATCTACCAAAACTCGGAGGCTGTCAAGAGAGGCCATGGTCGTCGGCTATTGATTCCAAAGAGTACTTGAACAAGCTGGTGTATCTACATGGCGCGTTGTGCGAGGCAATGAGGCTGTACCCACCAGTTCCCTTCCAACGCAAGTCTCCCATAAAATCAGATGTGCTTCCAAGTGGGCACAGAATCGATGCAAACTCTAACATTATCATCCCTCTTTATGCGTTAGGGAGGATGAGATCTGTATGGGGAGAAGATGCGTTGGAGTTCAAGCCAGAGAGATGGGTTTCAGAGACTGGAGGATTGAGACATGAGCCTTCTTCCAAGTTCTTAGCGTTTAATGCCGGTCCAAGAACTTGTCCTGGTAAGCATTTAGCTATGACCGTAATGAAAACCGTAGTTGTTGAGATGTTACAAAACTATGACATTAAGGTCGTCAAAGGACATAAGATTGAGCCAAAGCCTCGTCTTGTTCTTCACATGAAGAATGGGCTTAGAGTCACGCTTACTAAGAGATGTTCAGCTTGATATGTGAATGCTAAAGTTGTTACGATAATCTCTCGGAATATTATTGTAAAAAAATGTAATAAGGTAATGTATGTATTTGCTGAAATGTATGTATTTGCTGAAATGATTGTTCAGTCAAGTCAAGTGGCTACACATGAGACCATGTCTCACCTCCAATAAAGGTTTTTTTTTTTTTTTTTGAATGATCCAATGAAGGTTTCTTAAAATAGTTTTTTGATAAAAAAAAGTTAATAAACTAATAAAAAGTAAGAAAGAGAAGCAAATATATTGCTTTTTAAATTGTTTAGTTAAGAACTGTTTCTATATTTTAAGAATTTTAGTTAATATATACCATCTTATGATTGGTTTAAACTTTTTCATAATTTAAAAATTAATCTTTTTTTTTTTAAAATACCCTTACGGTTTTTAAAATACCCTTACGGGCCATGTGAATTTGTGCCAAAGGAATTTTTGGGTTTATGATAATGAAAAGAAAGACTGAAGGCCCCACCGTTTTGAAGATTAATGAATTATATATTGAAAATCGTGAGCCCAAAAGCCCAACAAGCCCAAACAAAGATCAGTCAGGGTTTTTATCTCTCCAGTTTCGATCGGAAACCTAGCAGTCGCTCTTCGCTTTCCATCTCAACTTCTCCATGGCCGATTCGAGGAAGATGTGCGAGGAAGACAAAGCTGATGTAATCTTCTTCTTCTTCTTCTTCTTCTTCTTCTTCTTCTTCTTCTTATGACTTACTTAGATTCCACTGATTCGTCAACTTTAGCTTTGATGGCCTTTTGTGATTTTTACCGTCGGAGAATCTCTTTTCCTTTCAATTAGCATCGTTTAAGTAGGGTTTCTGAATTTGTAGGATGAAACCATCCCGGAGACACAGTTTGTTGATGGCTCAGAGACCTTCGTAACGCCTGAAAAGCTTGATGATTCAAACACCAAGAAGCGGGTACCAACTCTCATGATTTTCCCTACTGATCTCTCCATTTATACTCACCGCGTGGTTTTATCTGATTAGTCAACTTTAGCTTTGGTGGCCTTTTGTGATTTTTACCCGTCGGAATTTCTCTTTTCCTTTTCACAATATCGTGGGAGTTTTGATTTTGTAATTTTTAGGATGAAACCACCCTGGAGACACAGTTTGATGATTCTGATTCAGATGATGATTCAGAGGATGATTCAAACAAGAAGAATAAGGTACCAACTCTCATGATTTTCCCAATTGATGTGTCCATTTATACTCATACTCAAAATATACGTGATGTTGTATGTGTCGTTATAGCTGTTGTATTTGTTTTGTTTATTGAGGAATGATACATTTACCCCCTGTAACTGATTTATGTGTTCAATGTCTGTAGGAGGAAGAAACTCCAAAGGAATACACGTGCTGTTTCGAAAGTAGTGATTCTGATTTGACAAACCTGCGAACCATTTTCGTTCAGGGATTCGATTGTTCCTTTCCTTTGGATGAGATCAAGAGCACATTGAAAGATGCCTTCAGTACTTGTGGAAAGGTCTCAAGTGTTTATATTCCCTATCACTGCAAAAGCGGTTCTCCCTTGGGGTTTGTGACCTGTTCCTCCAATTTCTGTCAGCTTTGAGTTATAAATGCATACGAAAACATATTTAGTCTTTTTTGTTTCTTTTCTATCAGATTTGCTTTCATTAATATGGTAAGAGATGAAGAGGAGGCGTTAAAACTCGATGGAACTCGGTTGGGAGAGAGGACTCTTGAGGTTACGATGGCTAGACGGAGAAGCGAATAAGGTGGATTGACTGACCATCGTGGTTGTGGAAGTTGTCGTCGTAATTTATGGGAGCGCCTATGGAGAAGATTCTATTATCGTAACAGATTCGATATCTCCTCAGGTACATAATTTTTGTTCTTTATTATGGAATGGAATCTTGATAAGAAAGAAGCTTTTGTCTTTAATTTTGTTGTTGATATATATATATTGCAGAGGGCCTTAATCCTTATCCCCATCTAAGACCAGTAACTTACAAGTCCCGAACTTACGACTTCCGCTAATAGATTCTGGTTGTTTTTGCCGTTGCTGCTACTTGTTTACCGATCCAGCTTCTATAAACTTGGTGTGTTCTGTGACAACTTGTATTATGGGATTTGTGCTTTCTATTTATGCATCAAACAAATGATGAAACTTTCTTTGTGAAACTAGTTTTTGATCTTTTTTTTACTAAAATATTTTCTGTTGATGTATTTTGTGTTCTAGCATAACATGTTTTTTATCAAAATTATATTGCTTATTGTTTTATGAAAGCTAGCTATTATAACTTTTTGTTAAATAGATGATATACACAAGATTATATAGCTATTGAGATTTTGGAATAATATTGTATGTTATTGAATAAAAATAATTAGTTTTTGTCAATTGAAATACCTATGCATATGACATACATATAAGTGCGTATTTGTTACGCAAGCTATAGTTAAGGAATCTGGCTTTCAACAATATTTCCTAATCATTTAACACACAAAAAACAATGATTTAATCCTATATGTATATCGGACAATGGTAATTTCGTGAATTACAAGCAACTGAAGATAGAGTTCGAGTAGAAGAGTTCAATCTTCATCACAAGTTCCGACACCGAGCTCGTTCTTCACCTGATCGCCAAATCTATTATTTATAACCAAATGAAGAATTAATAATTGAAACTATCACTTTAATTTTGATAACTTAAAAAACTCATTTTTATTTGGAGTAACGATTTCAAAAACCCCAAAAAATGGCATGCAAATATCTTATTAGATGTTCACCAAATTATATATTGATTGGATACATATTATTATTCTTCATCTTATGTCAGCTTTTATACTAGTTTTCTACTCAAAAATTTTTAAAAAGAAATATAATAGATTGTTGAAACTTTATTTTATTGGATGAACCGCTTTCAAGCTGACATGAGATTAATTATACTTCATCAAAGGAAGCATCAACTGTAACTAACGTAGCTTGTACTTGAAAAATTCAGACTAAACATCTCTTAGTAACTGTGACTTTGAGACCATGCTTCGTGTGGAGAATAACAGAAGGAGCTGGCTCGATTATTTGCCCTTCAACGATCTTCATCTCATAGTTTTGTATGATTTTCACGGCCACACTCTTCATTTGCGTCAACGCTACTTCTTTTCCCAAACAAGTTCTCGGACCGGCGTTAAACGATAAGAACTTATAAGACGGCTCATGCACCGACTTTCCACTCTCAGAAATCCATCTCTCAGGTTTAAACTCGGAGGCATCTTCTCCCCAAACAGATTTCATCCTCCCTAACGAGTAGAGACAGAACAATATCTTCGAGTGTGCTTCGACCTTGTGTCCGCTTGGAAGAACGTCGGCTTTAGTAGGAGACTTGTGCTGGAAGGGAACAGGTGGATAGAGTCTGAGGGCTTCACAAATCGCACCATGTAGGTACACCAGCTTCTTTAACTCTTGGGGATTGAATGAACCAGAATCATCATCACCAGTCTTGGTTATTGGAAACAGGTTTGTGTTGATTTCTTGACGAATCTTGGCAATGGCTTCTGGAGTCTTACAGAGAAGCCAGAAGAGCCAAGTGAGTCCAGATCCTGTCGTGTCTCGGCCTGCTAACATGAAGGTCAATATCGTGTCTCTAAGGAATCTGTCGTCACTCGGATCCAACAACTTGAACTTGGTCGTGTCCAAATTCATGTAAGACGTCAGCAAATCTTGAGAAGGAGAATCAACATTGCTAATCCCACGGCTTACCTCACTTCTCTTGGAAGCTATGTACTTGGAGCAAACACGATCAAAAGTCATGCGAGCTTTATTCATCTTCTTCTCATCTCCTAGACCAATGAAGCTTTGCATCTTCCACAAGATCTCCGGCTTGACATGTCTGAAGAATATCGCTTCCTCTGCATCGTCTAAAGCTCTTGCAAACTCGATCTCCGGCATTTCAACCGAGAGACAACCCGGATCATATCCGGTCGCTAAAACACACGTAGTGTCGAAAGTGAATCTTTGGAAAATATCTTCCAAGTCCACAACGAGTTTCTCTTTAGCTACATGGTCAAGAAGTGGGACAAGCCCTTTCTCTAACTTACTCAAGCTTGTAGCCAATGAAAACCTTTGAAACTCGGGACTCATCATCATGCTTTGAGCTGATTTCCTCAGATCCTTCCACAACTCCGAATCGGCGTTGAAAATACCATCTCCCAAAACGTCGAATAGCTTCTTGAATTCGGGGCCTTTCGGGTAATTTGAGAAATTTGAGCTCATGATGTGGTGGATGTTAGCAGGATCAACCGTGACCAACATGTCGAGACCCGAAAAACATGGGCCTATGCAAAGATAGGTTAAGTTCGTGACCTCGAGAATCTCGGTTACCGAGTCGTAAACACGATGGATTTCGGCGAGTAAACCTGGAATCATACCGAGGAACGGCCAGTTTGTGGGACACCTAGGGTGAGGTTTCTTGTTGGTCAAGAAGTATCGAAAGGCTAAAAAGCAAAAGAAAGCAATGGAGATTTCAAACAAGCTAATCAAAGCCATTAGAGATAAAATTAAAAGCTCTTTTTCTTCTCTAGAGATACACCAAATGGCAGCTTGGTTCTTGATTTTTGCTCATATAGGATAATATATATATACAGAGAGCATTTTCTTTGTGCGAGCGTCTTTGAAACTGGTGAATAATTATAAAATGGAATAAAATCTTCATAACATCTTTTGGATGCATAATCCAATTTTCTACTTATGCATGCATGATCCAATTTTCTTTTGTTTGTTTGATATTGTAAGTTTCTGACAAGTCATAACATCTTTTCGATACGCATGTCACTTATTACCCAATTAGTAAGGTATTTTAATATACGGGAACAAAATTGGATCATGCATTTTAAAATACTTTTAAATTTACATTAATTCACATACCTTTAAAATACATATCGATTTGTTTATTCTAATATACATTTCCAAATAGTCAAGTTACATCTAAAAGCGGTTTTTCTTATAACTTAACATCTACAAAGATTTGTTCAAATATATACGTTATGTTTCAAATTGTTGGAAAAAAATAATATTGAAATAACACATATAATTCCGAGTGGTAAAATTATTATTACTATAAAGCTCATAATTAATTTAACAATTACAAAGATTTGTTCAAATTAATCCAGACATTTTTTTAAACCTCAGAACGGCATAGATGCTATATAGATTTTATTCTGTAATTGAAAATAAAAAGAAAAAAAGCTAATAATATTTTTTAGTTATATTTTTATTAGATGACTTTCAAGCTGACATAGTAACATGAGATTTTCCCACCCCATGAGAGGATAATGAAAATCATCTACATCAACTGCCATAAGTTCCTAATAATAAGTTATAACATTCAGACCAAACATATCTTAGAAACCGTGACTTTGAGACCATGCTTCATGTGGAGAATAACGGAAGGAGCTGGCTCGATCTTGTGCCCTTCAACGACCTCAATTTCATAGTTTTGTATGATTTTCACAGCCACTGTCTTCATTTGCATCATAGCCACTTCTTTCCCCAAACAAGTTCTTGGACCGGCGTTAAAGGACAAGAACTTATAAGATGGCTCATGTACCAACGTTCCTTTCTCAGAAATCCATCTCTCCGGTTTAAATTCCAACGCATCTTCTCCCCAAACCGATTTCATTCTCCCTAATGAGTAGAGACAGAACAAGATCTTCGAGTTTGCTTCGACTTTGTGTCCGCTTGGAAGAACGTCGGTTTGAGTAGGAGACTTGTGTTGGAAGGGAACAGGTGGATAGAGCCTGAGGGCTTCGCTAAGTGCGCCATGTAGATACACCAGCTTCTTCAACTCCTGGGGATTGAATGAATCAGAATCAGCATCAGAGTTAAAAGCATCTGTCTTGGTTCTTGGAGACAGGTTTGTGTTGATTTCTTGACGAATCTTGGCTATGGCGTCTTGGTTCTTACATAGAAGCCAGAAGAACCAGGTCAGAGCAGATCCTGTTGTATCTCTACCCGCTAACACGAAGGTCAAGATCGTGTCTCTAAGGAATCTGTCGTCACTCGGATCCAACAACTTGAACTTGGTCGTGTCCAAATTCATGTAAGACGTCAGCAAATCTTGAGAAGGAGAATCAACTTTGTTAATCCCACGGCTTGCCTCATCTCTCTTGGACGCTATGTACTTGGAGCAAACACGATCAAAAGTCATGCGAGCTTTAATCATCTTCCTCTCATCTCCTAACCCAATGAAGCTTTGCATCTTCCACAAGATCTCCGGCTTGACATGTCTGAAGAATATCGCTTCCTCTGCATCATCTAAAGCTCTTGCAAACTCGATATCCGGCATATCAACCGAGAGACAACCCGGATCATATCCAGTCGCTAAAACACACGTAGTGTCGAAAGTGAATCTTTGGAAAACATCTTCCAAGTCCACAACGACCTTCTCTTTAGCAACGTGGTCAAGAAGTGGAACAAGACCTTTTTCTAGCTTACTCAAGCTTGTAGCCAACGAAAACCTTTGAAAATCAGGATTTATCATCATACTTTGAGCTGATTTCCTCAGATCCTTCCACAGCTCTGAATCTGCGTTGAAAATCCCATCTCCCAAAACGTCGAATAGCTTCTTGAATTTGGTTCCTTTCGGGTAGTTTGCGAAGTTTGAGCTCATAATGTGATGGATATTAGCAGGATCAACGGTGAACAACATGTCGAGGCCTCCGCAAAAAGGACCTTTGAAAAGATAGTTTAAGTTCGAGTCCTCAAGAACCTCGGTTAGATAGTCGTAAACACGAGTGATCTCGAGGAGCAAACCCGGAAGCATACCAAGTAACGGCCAGTTTGTGAGAAAGGAGCGGTGAGGTTTTTTGCTGATCAAGAAAACTTGAAAGATAAGGAAACAAAAGAAAGCAATAGAGATTTCAAGTAAGCTTACGAAAGCCATTATGGAGAAGTTAGAATGGAGATATTAAACTTAAAGGGGCAGCTTGGTTCTTATTAATTTATGTTCTCATTGATTCATATAGTATAAGTATGTATATATAATATAATATATGAATAGAAACTAGAAAGCAACTTCGTGTCCTTGAAAATGGTTACATGTCTTTGTCGGTTCAATAATCATAACACGAGGGATCTTACCTTATCTTTGGTGATTATGTACTCTTTTGTTTGTTCGGTATCGTCGCTTTGTGGTTCTTTTGGGAACCAATGGTACAGTGCATGCGACATATATATTACTATAGTTAGTTAATTGTCTTAATATAAGACAATTTTCGTGCTGGACATTTTTGAAGAAAATATATATTGGATACTAGTTAGATATGGTTTTTCAAATAAAAGTACGAGAAAGTTAAGCTTTCACGGAAGAAATTGTATACAATAAAACGTTGATACTTTTCGAATTGAATCTGTATATCTTTCGTAATAATTGATCTAAAAGCAACTATAATTGAGCTTGTGGGATTTTGTGGCTGGTGGTGATTGATTGGTACTATCACACTAATGTTTCCTGATGTCTCGTGTCGTGTGCCGAACTTTTGGATCTTAACTACTTTTTGGCACATTCAGGTTGCATGGTCCATGGATAATTTCGTGTTGGCCCTATATGTCCACGCCTCAATGCGTTTTTTTTTTCTTTTTTTCTTCTCAAGATATACTATTATCTTTGTCTTTTTAGGTCTCAGTTTAATTTTATGATCACAACAACCACAAAAAGTCTAAATCCACAGGTCGAGTGTTTAAGGACAAAGTATTACGATCACAACAAAAAAAGGTAGTCTATTTAAATCAATTTTTTTTGTATGTCTACTTCTATTTTCATCAGACTAGATAAAGAAGACTATCAAAATTGTCATTGCTTATACGTATAATAATTATTATTAAAATAAATAACACCAACACTTACCGTAGATGCCAAGGAAACATAAAAATCAACTTTTAGTGACTCTGACTTTAAACAGAAGGAATTGGTTCGATCTTGCGACCTTTAACGATCTTTATGTCATAAATTTTGTATGAACCCTAAGCAAGTTCTTGGAGCAGTATTAAAGGCTAAGAACTTACATTATGACTCGAACTTCCATTGACTGAAATCCATCTCTCTGGTCTGAACTCTTCCCACGTTTCCTCCCTCCTGCAAATCAATAAAATACAGAATCTTTTTTTTATTTTTAATACGCATCTAGCTATTCAGCATTTAATTATGATTATTTATTTGTCTTAAGAAAATTAAATCCCACCTATCTTTTTGTCCACACAAGCTAAGATTTGAGCTAAAGTGGTATTTTGTCTCATGAGGCCTCTTTCGTACAGAATTTTATTTAATGTAATTTCAAACTGAAACAACAACAAAAAGGTATTTTAGAAAATAGCAGAAATCAATGTATCAAATTTGACAAGAGAGACTGGTTGGTGCGTCTCTCATGTGGCTGTGCTTTTGCCTGAGCCCTGATGACGCTGTAAACAAAATATTTAATATATTTACACAAAAGACACTGTAAAATTAAAGTTTCTCTCAAATGCTCTTGCGATTATCTCTCAAGGCATGGAAATGTGTTCAACCGGGGTATTTGTTCTCTGTTCTCCGGCTAGATTTCATCGTCGCCGGGAAAAATTCGCGATTTTTTCTCCGTCACACTTGCGTAATCCAAATGAGTCTTCCTTTCGGTGGAGAAATTCGCGAGCTTTCGCTCCCAAACTCTCCCAATCCCTCAATTTCGCTTCGCCCTTTTCACATCTCCCTCTTAAACGCTCTTCCGAGGATTTTGTCCAGATTCTGGCGAGAAAGGCCGCGTTTTTACTTGTTGGGTCGTTTGTCTTTCTAGGGATCTCTTCTTCGAAACCTGTTTTAGCGCTACCCACTGTAGCTGCGAGCTCTCAGTCGGAGTTAGAGGACGAAGCAATGTTGGAGAAGCTTCTGGAAAGTGAGCCAGAGAACATGGAGGCGATGAAGGCTGTTTTGTACAAGAAGATGAGGAGAGGGAAAGCTGAAGATGCTGTGAGGTATGTTGAGAAGCTAATGAAGTTAGAGCCTCGTGAAGTTGAGTGGAAGCTATTAGAAGCGCTTTGTTATGAGACGATGGGACAATTGAGCAAGGCGAAGAGACTGTTTAAGGCTATTCTCAAAGAAAACCCTCTCTTGAGCAGAGCTTTGCACGTATGTGTTTTCTCACACCTTTTGATGCTTCTCTAGGATTAAGAGTTTTGCAACGAAACTGTGAATTGAGTGAAAGTTTATGAGAAATGGTGTTTTCTTTTGTTTGAGAATGGTCCTTTGATTTCAACATTACAATATGATTGCTATTTTACAAAAAAAAAAAACTCAGCTTTGGTATTTCTTCTTATGCCTTGCAGGGTCTTGCTATGGTAATGCACAAGACTCATGACTCCTCTGTCTTTGATATGCTCACTGAAGCCATGGAAGTAGCTCGACAAGGAAACCGAGTAACCGAGGAGAGAAACATACAAGTCTTGATCGGCCAAATGCATATTGTCAAGGTAAAAGTAAAACCCATCATTTGCAGAACTGATCTTAAATGTGTGTTTTCAACAATCTTTAAGAATGCATGATAGGAATAGTGGGGGTTGTGTATGTACTTATGGAGATTGGTTTGAAACCTCAGGGTCAATTTGAAGAAGGTCTAAAGATATTTCAACAGATGGTAAATGATAACCCTCGAGATTTTCGACCTTACCTTTGCCAGGTATATGAAAAGAAATGATCTTTGACTCACTAAAATAAGCTGGCAAAAAGGGATTTAGCTTTATCATTTGCCATCTGTTTCAGGGCATAGTGTATAGCTTAATGGACAAAAAAGAGGAAGCAGCTCAACAGTTTGAGATCTATTGGAGTCTTGTACCTGAAGAATTCCCACAAAAGGGATTTCTTGACGATGTTGCGTCGGCTGCTCAAGCCAAGTCCCGAGAACGACTCCAAAACACATTCAAAGCTAAATTTACTCATGGGAGATCATAGTCATAGATCACGGATAGACTAGTTTTTTGATGTAACTTTTATCTTCTCAATGCTTCATCACCAGTTAAAATTTTCTTCAAATGGCATTTGCAAATTTGTTGTTCTCTCTCTGCAATCCCGTTCGTAACTTTCTGTTTAGGTATAAAATAAAAATGTTTTGGTGATGCTGTTTCAGTATATAGGTGTTTGTTCTGCCTCTATCTCTCTTGTGCACGATTGCAAACTCAACGGACACAAGACACTGATAGCGGGCTTTGACAGTCTAATGGGCCATTGTGTTTTTATTGGGCCTAGTGGATTTTTGGGCCCATTTGAATTCGGACATAATTGTAGATAGAAATGCTTCCAATCTCTTACGGAGAAACTTGGGAAGTGCCGAAGAACGTGAACTCTCTCTACCTTCTTCTCTTGCTCGGTTGCTCGGTAATCTCTGGTGTGTGCGTCTTTATGGCATTGACTACATTTATGCGCTGTTACTGTATTTATATGCTTTTGTTTGGTGTATTGTATATATTTCTTCACTTGCTTGACTAGTTTGGTAGTGTGATCTTTTTGTGAACTCTGTGTTTCGCTGTGGCGAAATTAATGAAATCGATTTGGTGAAATTAGGTCAGAGACGCTTCTGATGGCTCCTCTTACGCTCTCTGTTGATGTGAAGAGCTCTTCAGCGAGTGCTCCTCCTGGTACACTTGCTTTGTCTCTAAATTCTTGATGTTCTACTATCGCGTGTGTTCTTAATTCGTTTACGTATTGGTTTTGTGGAGTTGTTAACAGAAAAGAGATGTTTTTTTTCTTTTCTATTCTGCATTTATATATACACTCCATTGAAGGAGAGTGATGATTTGTTTGATGGGTTTCTGCAGACGTTTCGAATAGGATAATGCAGATTCCACAGCTCAAGAGGAGCAAAGGCTTCGCTTCCGTCAATACGCAAGACGAAAAACCCTTTGATTTCTTCCGCACACTGTTTGGTAGGTAACAACTGTTTCGGGTTTTATATCCATCTGTCTATATGCAACAGCTTCGGGTGTCTACATTTTCTTTTTCTTATGTTTTCGTTTGGATGATGCAGAGGGGTTTATAGCAGGAGGTACAGCTGGAGTTGTAGTTGAAACAGCTTTATACCCGATTGATACAATAAAGACTAGACTTCAGGCATGTCCAGGAACTTACTTTTTGTATCTTCTTTGTTAAGACTTTATTTTTTACTGTAGGTGCTCCTGTAATCATTTGGTCTAGACAAAAAGATGAAGTTTGAACTTTTAGTTCCTAAACTGTTTTGATCTTATGATGTAGGCAGCTCGTGGAGGTGGGAAAATTGTTTTCAAGGGTCTTTATTCAGGATTAGCTGGAAATATCGCTGGTGTCTTACCGTAAGTGACTCACAGAGCACATCCATAGTTACTTTTTCATTGATTCAGAACCATCTTTCTAGCCAACTTGGCATTGGTGATGGCTGATGCAGTAACCATAAATGATGATTGTCTGGTTTCTTGTTCATAACGCTGGGTTTTTTTCACAATGTTTCTTTGTAGGGCTTCGGCTTTATTTGTTGGAGTTTATGAACCCACAAAGCAGAAACTGCTCAAGACATTTCCTGATCATTTAAGCGCAGTTGCTCACCTGGTGAGAGATTTTCTTCATATTTAGTTTTTTTCATGATTATATCAGTAAATGAATGGTATACAATAAGCAACAATGATTTTTTTAGATCCTTGAACTGTTTCTTGTATTTGAGAGTGAAGAAGAATAATTTTTTTTCCCTCGTTTCAAATTTCAGACTGCAGGGGCCATCGGTGGACTTGCTGCCTCTCTGATTCGAGTGCCTACGGAGGTAGAAACTCTCTCTCTCTCTCTCTCTCTCGGATATCACAATCCGGATCCTGTTTCTTACATAGAATCCTTCAGCCGACAATTTCCATGTGTGTATTCTTTAGGTTGTGAAGCAGAGAATGCAGACTGGACAATTTACATCAGCCCCCAACGCTGTTCGAATGATTGCGTCAAAAGAGGGATTTAGGGGTCTCTATGCAGTCAGTAACACCTTTTTCAGCTCTTCCTTATAGTCTGCATTCTTTAAGTTGAATTTTCGTGTGGTAACTTGTTTTCAATTTTCTTCTAGGGATATCGATCCTTTCTATTACGAGATTTGCCGTTTGATGCTATTCAGTTCTGCATATATGAGCAGCTATGTCTGGGGTATAAAAAAGCAGTAAGCTTCTTGGCAAAATAATTGACATTTCTTATATCTTTAGTTTATCCTTGGATATGGAATCCAACACACAAACGCTTTGTGTGTAACTTTTGATGAACTGATATTTTTGCATGATATTAACTTGCTCAATATTTTGGCAGGCGCGTAGAGAGCTTAGTGATCCTGAGAACGCTCTAATTGGTGCATTTGCTGGTTGGTGACATACCTTGTATTCTTTGAAGTATAAAATTTCTCGATTCATAAAATCTTGGTGGATGTTACAAAACTCCGTAATCTGACCTGACAATGAGATTAAATTGACCATGCATATTCACCTTAACATTACAAAGTAGAATGGAGTTAATTACACATAAAACCGGTTAACCACAGTGAGTGAGTGTTTTAACCGTCGTGGTATATGCAGGTGCTCTTACCGGAGCAGTCACCACTCCGCTTGATGTTATTAAGACAAGATTGATGGTTCAGGTAATAATGGCTTACCACACCATAAAAGTCTCCCTGTGTCTCTCCACAAGTTCCAATCATCTTATTAGTGTTTCTTGATCCTCTCAGGGATCATCCAAACAATATCAAGGAATCGTTAACTGTGTTCAAACAATTGTAAAAGAGGAAGGAGCTTCTGCTCTCTTAAAGGTACACACACACACACATACAGACACACTAGTTTGAAGTTTCAATTAGAATTTTTTGGAAACTCTATTGTGAGTTGAGCAGCTTTAAGACTACAAAACCGGTAACCCTTTGCACGGAGTTGTACTTGTAGGGTATTGGGCCAAGAGTGTTGTGGATAGGTATTGGAGGTTCAATATTCTTTGGAGTTCTCGAGAGCACAAAGAGAACGCTTGCTCAGAGACGCCCCACGACGGTTAAAGCATCGAAAGAGGAATAAGTGGCGGCAAGAAATTCATCTGAATGGTGGTAACGTTTGTTTGACAATCAACTGTGAGCTCTTCTATGTGATCAGAGTTTGTGTCGTACCACAATGATCGTCGATTCAATTTTCATTTAAAGAAGTAGCCTAGTTTCAGATATATTAAAATAATATATGAGACATTTAAAATGAGCTGCTTCTTTGTTTTTTTTAAATGACCTATCAAATTTTCGTAAAATTGTTTACATTAGTTGAAAAACAAATTATTCAGTTTGAAAAATGAGACTTTTTGGGTTTAACGATGTAGGCCTCAAATTTGTTATGTAATAGGATGTTGGGCTTCGAATCTGTTTGTAATGTTGCCCTTGTTAACGGGCTTTAAATAATATATGGCCTACAATAACAATAAGTTGTACAATGATATATGGGCTTCGAATCTGCTTCATGGCGTATGCGAGAATAAAATACCCACGCGCACCCTAGGCGCGTGAACTCCACCGCGTCAAAAGTCCTGGTCTATAGTCCACGGATTTTCCATTTGGGATCGTTTTCAAGGATTTTCATTGAGAGAGAGCGCGTGAGGATCTATTCTGCCTTCAACTAAGAAAACCATGGCCTCTTGATTGGTTCCGCGGGAAGCTTCTGATTAATTGGGTAAAAAAAATTAAAAAACAATCCTTTGTACTCGGTTTAGCACTAACATCGCTTCGTAATCCTTGTTTTTAAAAAAATTAGCTTCATATATATGATAAAATACATTCAGTCATAGGCTGTGCAATATAAGATTTTGGACATGTTTATGGTCTCAGTTTCTGTCGATAATATGACGGATCTAACTATGTATGCTTTGAATCAGGAAGTATGGTCTTGAGACTGCTGCTGTAGACAGAAGCCTCGAAATTATTCAACGATGCAAATTCTATAACAACTTATATCAAAGACAGTTATTACACTGTACACATCTCTCTACATCTCTCAAGACTGTCATATAATTGCCGGAAAAAAGAATGAGGTAAAGAGAAGAAAAGAAAGAATTGTGAGACCCATCAACAAACACACACAAACACTGCAACCTATAAAGAAAAAAAGACTTCACAGTTTCTCTTCCAAAACATCAAAAAAACTCTTTTTCCAATTTCTCCGGCTAATTTACAGCTCCATGGAGCTCTCTCCCAACGACGAAGCAGAGAGAGATTGCATCCTTTGGGATGATCTCTTAGATGGTTCACTCACTCACATGAGTGGTAAGTATCCTCCTCCATGTCCTTTCTTCAGTACAAGTGGTCCAGCATTTTCCGGGACCTTATCCAACGCATTCGTACACGCATCCACCATGTCAGAGAATCCGGTCGCTGTTGTAGCCAGCTGCAACCGTAACCTCAAATCCCGTGTTCTCTTCAACAAACACCTGAATGATCTCCACATGTATTTGGCCCACTCAGCTGGTAACCCTCCTCCTGTGAGCCACACTGAGAACTGAGACTGGTCTCCTCGAGCTGCCATTTCCGCTCTGTAGAACCTTGCCAGTTCCAGTAGCATTGAAGCCTGCAAGGGAAGCACCGCAACAAATTCAGCCACAAACTCTTCCGCTAGTTCCGGTTTCAGCATCAGATTCCAAAGCACAAGCGCCCATTCGCTTGGCTGGTTTAGACCATAAGCTTCTGCTACAATCAGAGCCTCCTGGAAACGGGATTGATCCACAAGTGCTCTTCTGGCGTTTGTTTCCGATAAACAGAGCCACTTGGAATCTGGCATCCTTATTTGCAGGGAGACAAGGGAAGCCTGACCACAAGCCTTCCGTGCTTTGTTTCCAGCATCAATAGATGTGTGGACTTCAGCAGCTTCAATGTAATAGCGCATAGAATCAAGGAGATCTTCATTTTGATCCTTGTCATACCGTAGAAACCACTGCTGTGCAGCCTGATCTGCACGTGCCTCTAGCAAAGCAGCCGTTTCATGCTTCATGTCAAAGTGTTTATATACCTGGAAACAACGTGTGTATCTCATGAAAAAGCAAATCCACAAGTAGATGTAATTTTTTTATAAAAAAACTATCCCAAAAGATTGTGGTAAAAGTCAATCTAGATACACTCTATCATCCATCATGATAGTGAATTGTGGTAAGTTGAAATAAACATGATGAAATAAACCCTATTCCAGCTTACGAAAGACATACCATTGCGAACGCATCATGGTCATTTGGGTTAAAGAGATTCAACGAAGTCAGAACAGCCATCCGGAAACTTCTGACAGCCTGGGCAGTGCCAGTGTTTGCATCAGCAGCAGCAGAAAATTTCTGTAGTAAGAGATCGAGCTGCCCATTTTCGATTAGAATATTGAGAATGAAATTAAGAGCATGAAAGTTTCCGACTCCAGTTATTAGACGACCCAGGCATGAGAAATCGCCCTCAGCAACATAAGCCTCAACCCTAGTGGCAGCAAGTGCCACAAGAACATCAACTCCATCAAGACACGTGGATGACTTGTAGAAGTGATGAGACAGAATAAGTAGCTCAACCTGTAAAACAGCATTCCATTATACTACCAAATCAGTATTGACAACTGATTCGTTCACAGAGAAGGAAGCAGAAATGTGAGGAATAATGAATCTCCTTAGATATTCATGTAGCAATCAGACGATATTGTTCATGAGCTTTCACAAAATCATATACCTCACACGCGTGTGGTATTTCCTGTCCGGTAATTACAAGGCGCATTAGTGAATGGCCAATTTCTTGTTCAGAAGAACAAAGCTCCGCCCACTTCAAAAAGTCTGAAAATCTCCACAAAAGTGGAGCAGGCCCTTCCTCCTTTTGAGAATCTATATATCCTCCACGATGAGCTGCCAGTAAACCCTGGCACATGGAAAGCAGATTAGAGACAACACACAAATGAACTCACATAAAATTAGGAGGAAAAGAAGAAGTCATTACAGGAAGTTTTTCCCCAAGCAGTCAATTAAAACAAAACCATAAGACGGATTTTTGTCAAAAAAAACTGAAGTAAAAAATTCAAAAAGTAATGATAAATGAATCATGTCATATACGCATACAAGTCAACAAAGATCGATTAGCTAAGTTACCTTCAAAAAAGATTCTGCAAGTATCTGAGCGATACTAGCAGCGGGCATGGAATGTGTCTGGACAAGGAGACATGCTTCTTCAAAGGAATCTTGTGCTTTAAGAGAAAGTAATCGTAACAACTCTATGGGCTGCTTTTGATATGCCTCGGTGAATGTAAGGCCCAGTACGTTAGCAGCTTTTATAAATGCGATGATTTTTCTTGCCAGCCCACGTCCACTGCCTTCATTTAAAATGTTTGATAGGCTCTCCAAAACCTAGAGCATCAGATGCTAATCAGAACTAAATCCAACAAGCAAGATTGGGGAAATTGACAAAAAAGATAAGTGGTATTCGTTTGAATGAGTAAGTAATAGGCTTCACAGCAACAAATGAAAATTTAGGTGAGAAGATATAGAGGGAACAACCTGCAGTGGTTCAACCATAGGTTGGTCTATTTTTAGACTGTGTGACTGAATGACAGAACGAACTTCATCATCCAACATCGACAATGGTACTTGACTGCAAGGCGTCGAAAGCATTGCTAGCTTCATAACAGCATCCAGAATTATTAGCTCAGAAGGTAGATTTCCTGGAGCAAGTTTAAGTTGGAGCTGCTTCGCAGCTGTTACTTGTCCAAACTCCAGTAAAGACAGAACAGCTCTTTCCAACTCCGCAGGTTCTATACTTTCTTCCCACTTTGATAAGGATACCTCCAAACCCGTGCTTTCCTCTTGTAGCTGGAACTCGCTTTTGATGTTTAGAAGTGATGAAGAATCTTCAACATCAGTATTCCTATCTGAAGAATCAACAAAATGTCTTCTTTGTGGGAGATTTCCTTTTGCTCTCCTTTTGGGCTTCGTGTTGGCACCAAATAGTGAAGTGCTCGTGTCTTGGTTCCTTTGATGTGCTTGGCCAGGGGCCCTGGATTCATGTTTTTCTCCAATTTTATTTTTTGTTGCTGAAGAAATATGGTTGTCCATTTTTGTTATGATACTTGCAGTGCGGTCTATAAGATTTGAACTGCTTCCATTCGCCATGTCTTTTCCGGTACTATTTGGATTAAATGCTCCTACATTTTTCACATGTGCTTCTGCTTCTACAGCCAATAGCCACACTCTAGTCTCGATTTCTCGCAGAAGATGCAAAGGGTAAACCCTGATAATTGGTAAAATCGAAGTCATAAACCCACTAAAAATTATTAACATATTGTGGTAACAGATCACTTACGGATGCGACAGGGTTGTTAACCCACTCAACCACTGAAGAGATAGCAGTAACAGCTCATAGATCTCCCTTGGAGGGAGATCTTTCTCCACCGCTTCTGCATGCCTAAGGAAAAATAAACCTGCCTGCAAGAGAATAAGAAACGGATTCACTTGTAGCAATATCAGGCTTGCACTTATAAACTGGTTACAAGTGAGGTAATCAGAAAAGTCACCTGTAAAGCAGGGAAAGAGTATCTGATGAACAGAGTTTGGCAATGACCCCATAATGCGATTCTCTCTTCTGGAACATCCCAAAGAAATTCTTTCCATTCTGCAACCATGGATTCTGCCTATATGTAAAGCACATACAACAAATGTTCATTAAGATTAAGCATTCAAAGAATCCTTAAACATAACTAGAACCAGTGGCATAAAAACAAAGCTAGCCTGCAGCCCAGTGAAAAACAGCTAATTTTCAAAGACAGAAAATGTAAACGCAGTATGGAGCAATTCTTCCCTGATGCAGAACCAAATTAAGGGAACATTGTAACTCAATAAAGCTTATGTAATCTGTATTTTCAGAATCGTGCTGTGCAAGGGAAAATGCATGTTTCCTTTCTTCTTCTTTTTTGCAAAACCCTAGTTCCTTTAACATCACATTTCTTTCAAAGTTATCTTGAGGTAATTATCACATACTTCCTAGACTACTGCAATCTGTAATTCATCCTAAAGTTGAAAGAACCTCTACAAAAAGAAATTCTCATGTGTCAATGTATAACTAACATGCAGTGTACGAGGAGTCGTTAGCTAGAGAGAGAGAACCAAATTTGAAAATTACACCGAAATAGCCCTAGTCAATAGTCTAAGACCATGATTGTCTTATAAGTTGCTAGACATCCAGAATCCAAGTGACCAGAAACTTCTGGCAGATCAAGTATAAGATAGGAGCCAAGAAGTTCTGTTACCTGCGTTTCAGTAACATGATGAACAGAGGATGTCCAAGGGGCACCAATGGTTTCCAGTTGCTTGGCCCAGTTTCGCGCTTGCTCCCACTGCCTATTCTTTTCTAAAGCTGTTAGAAGAGAGCCATCATCAAGAGCCTCACTTCCTAAGTCAAGATCATTCTCCCACCGGAGTGATGGCTCAGCCAAATTAACTTTCCAATAAAGACGCCGATAATATGTTGCCGCAGATCCCCCATCACCAAAATCAGTTGCAGCAAGAAGTTGCAGTAAGCATCTTTTCTCATATGGAGACGGACAAGTTGACAAAACAGCATCAGCAGCTTTAACAGCTGTTTTACTGATCCAAGATGCCCCAAAATTTACTTCTTTGACTGTATTTGACTGAAAATGCATTGATTCATCTTTCACTCTAGCCCAAAAAGAACCCAAATGTGCTGAAGCTTCAGACAGGCGCATTTGAGAAAATGCCTGCAGAAAAAAAAAAAAAAAAAAGACAGGTCAAAATCCTATGGAGGCAGTAGAAATTAAGCATTTTCCAAAACCGGCCGTTGAAACCCAAAGCATTTTACAAATTCTTAGTATCTTCTTTTCCCGGCTCACATCCAATCATAACTTTCGCAGAATTCCATCATCAATTTTCTCCCACAGAAAAAAAAAGAAAGCGGATGAACTCATGGTGAATAAAAACAGCATCAGACCATGAACACATATCGTGTAAAAGTCATTGTAAACAATAAATAGACAGCCAGGGGGGCGAAAAAAACAGTGATAGCAAATAGTGGGTCAAAAAGTAAGAGAAACCTGAAGAGCACGGATAAATGGCAGTAGAGAGCAGGAAGGGAGGAACAGTTCAAAAGCTTTTAGCAGAGGAAGAAACAAGCGTTGTTCACAAAGCACTGCGACCATTTTTGATAGAGACGCATGCTCATCAGACGAATCATTAGTAACATTGGTATCTTCAGCTTTTTCTTCTTCTGCAGCTTCTGTTTTGTGAGAGCAAACAACATTACCAGCCGAGGTGTTTAAACTATTAGCTGAAACCAATGAATCCACAGATGTTTGTGCAGTAAGTCGTCTCCGTTTAGGATTCCTTCTATTGTAATGAAACTGGACACCTCTAGCATCCGTTGGCAAGGAATTCGTAGATACAACGGCTGCTGCTATATTTTCTGCTATTTTAGTGGTGATGTCGTTCACCTTGATAGACGATGTTTCCCTGAAAAGAATGATCTTCTTTAGAGCCAAGACAAAAATAATATATCTTTTTATTCCAGAAAACATAAAAAGAAACGCTTTAGTTATAAACTTCGAATGCATTAAGATAGTAAATAACTAATATACATAAAGTAATTAGAACCAAAAATAGAAGATGATTTCCGATGCACCCAACCCAATTGAATATCTGTCATGAAATTTTGTCATACCTGGCGGCGGTAATTTCCAACCAAGCTGTTAGGCATGATATAGGAGCAACATCCGAAAAGCACGAGGCTATGAGAGCCAAAATAGACCACGATAACTCCTTAGCTTTCGATAAAAGGTACCCTCCAGGATTCTTGAGCTTCTCAGAGTAAGCCAAAATGCGAAAGAGTTCGGCAGAGACATAAGCTCCATCCTCTGAGAAGGAACAGGTAAAACCTCTGCTTGTGTCATCCGAGTATGATATGGTAGCTTTCTTTTTTGAGTTGGCATATCTCAAAACGGTCAGTATGTGAGCTCTTAAACGTTGATCACCAAACTCCTTCGATGCCTGACAGATGAAAATGTGTCATATAATTGTAACAAAGCACATTAAGGTACTGTTTGTGATTTCTGAAACCAGTGAAATGGTGAGTCTTAGAAACATACCACATTGAACACCGTATCAAATGGGAATCCTCCAAGCTGCGCTTCAGATAAGAATCCAACCTGATATTTACATACATCTGGTTAGAGAATAGCTGAAGGGAAAGAAAACAAAAGGCAAGAAGAAATCATCAACAATACCCAATCATTGTCTCTTGCTAGCATGGCAAGGTATTTGGTGCTGAGAGGAATCTTATGCATCTGACAGAAAAGAGTAACTAAACTCCAATGCAAGCTAGCAGATGTCTGCTGAGACCGAAGTTCAGACCCATCACCATCACCTGTTAACAGCCAGTATCCACTTGTTTTCCTATCTCCTCCGATATCTGGAAGGCTAGCTCGTTCCAGATGATGCAGAACAAGCATTAGCGGAAGACAGGGTTGAGCACCAGAAATACTGTTTCGAGTATGTTTTTGCTTAGAGATATCAGGATAAACATATCCGTTAGCTAGGGCCCTAGCTAGTGACCCCATTAGATCACCTTCACTAGATACCCCCTTGAGCGACTTTTGTTGTGCCATCACTGCATTATCATTGGACTCATAAAAAGATGATATCCTTCTCAATGATTGCACATCTATTCGAAGCATGCTGGCAGATAAACCACAAAGCTCAAGAAGGAAGGCACACGAAGCCACCAACACGGAATCCCCAAAGTGTGTGATAGCAAGTGGTATGACCTAGAGAGCAAAAGAAAACAGTCATGCAGGCATAAATAGACCGCAACTGGAAAGAAAGAAAAAACGATAAAAGCGTTGAAGGTAGAATGAAATTTAAGCTAGTAATGGTAAGGGGACCAGCACGTACAGATGAAAGAAGCGACTCATCAGTTTGCGTCAGAGGTGCAAGTAGCATTGGAACATCTGACTGCATATTTCTTTGTCTATGTATCGAAGAGCCAGATTGATCTTCCATTTTTAGTTTTTCAACTCTATGTTCCAAGAAAGCATTAAAAGCTGCAAGTGGCCGTCCACGATGCAGGAAGTGCTCAAGTCCAAGCTCGGTTCCCTAGTTTTAGTTCAACTTAAACATAAGTAACTGTTATAAAAATTCAATCAGTCTGTAAATATACAAAGCTTAGTGATATGTTGCATGAGCATGAGATGACACCCTTTCAAAAAATGAGATATTGACATGGCAGTAAATCGATAGGAAACTATGTAACAACTGAAACATTTCAAGCATGCGCAAAGGTAGCATCATCAACAGGTTAGAGAAACAGGAATGTTATAGTACCACCTCAGTTTTTGTGTTATGAAGCTCTTCTTCGATGTGCTTCTGGATGATTGCTTCCCAAGATATGGCACTTATCTCAGTCGGATCGTCCACATTTATAAAGAACTCAACACCTCTGTGCAGTAGATATTCCCCTGTAGGATATCCTGAGAAAGACAACCATCCAAGAGGTCCCTACGGAGAAAACGTTTCAGTATAAGAGACAGCGCGAAAGCATTTGAAGCAAAACATGCGTGCTCGAGAATTCCATTGAACAGTTGAATTTCTACTACTGATAACGAGTAGCTGTATAACTTTTATAAGTAGCCGATTCTAAGCAAAACCTATATGTGTTCGTAAATCTTAGTAGGTAAGCAACTTGATATCTTTTCCTTCCTGCATATGTCTGCAGCAGTTCCTCACAACCAGTCCACAATTTCATAGAAACTTCTTAAGTTTATTATATCACCGATCACAGTGCAAGTATTGAGTTCAACTACATCCCTCAATTCCAGAAAGTTGAAAGAGTGGTGTACATCTCAGAATGGATACCTGGATATAAAGCTGAATTAATCTACGGACCGCCTTAGGAAACCAACAAGGCAACATCTGCAGGAGTGAGGTATCACGTGCAGCTGAGAAGAATACACTGTCACGCCAATTCAGATACTCTGACAAAACTGATAAATCAGAGTCAGTGAGAGTATGACATCAATATCATTACACAAAATAGAAGAAAAAGTGTGGTTGATCAGGGTTCACCATTCTTAGCCTTGGTCCGCAAAAGGTTGCCAGAAATATCTTCTCCAATACTAGCAGTAACAAGCTTACTCCATAAGGTAGGGAATCTCTGAAGAAATGATCTCAAATTCTCCAATGTGCACTGAGCAGAAGAGTTACCGTGTCTGTTAACACTGCCAGTATTCAAGGATTTTTGAATTGGCACCGAGGCACACATCATAGTTGCTAAAGCTGCCATTTCTCCTGCCCCTTCAGCAATGTCATCAACAGTGCAAACAATATCATCAATCTCTGGAGCACTAAGTTCACCATTTGGTGCCGCACCACGTGACATAATTGAGCGCGCATTTGAAAATGAAGCATCATACTCCCGGCCCTTGATCCTGGAGAGCAGCAACCATTTTGCCCAGTGGGAATCACCCTGAATACATTGGACAGATTCTTGGCGTTCTCAGTAAAATGTGAATTTTCAAAATACAAACCAAAAGACGTAAGCAAGAACAGACGTATTAACACAAATATGTGATGGACGTGGAAAGAACTTACAACAGCTTCCTGCAATGAACTAAGCGAATCATTATCTAGGACCAATTCGTGATGATCAAGGTACAGATCCAGAAGGTTTGGCAGATTATATTGGGTGCAGTGGTGTATAAATAGCTTATGTACAGCATTCAGGGTATCAACATTTGCTCCTCTCTCCTTTCTGGACAAACAAAGATCTAGGGATGGCCTACAAGATTCCTCCTTGAATGAAACTTCGCAATTGCCAAGGATGACACCTGCCCGAGCCAGAAGATATACTACATCAAGAGCGTTCTCCCAATATTCCTTTAAAAATATAAGTTTTCTTGCCAGTTCCTGCTCCATAAGTGTTGTTAGCCACAAGGAGCACCGGATATCTGCAGGTAACCTAAATATCTTGATATAAGGAACATCCATAAGTACAGCATCCACTTCTTCGATGGAACATATATACTCGCTACGGGAAGAAACTGAGTAATTTACGCCAGAAGACTGCTTCGGACCATCCAGAGCAATTTGCAAACTTCCATCATATAGAAGATCCTCAGGAATGAGATCCAACAGCTTAAGGACTTCTTCCCAATCATTGTGACACATATAATACTCCAGCTGGGAATCCCATGGAACATGAACGCCCATGACTAAAGGCTGATCCAAGACTATCTGCACAAAAGTTCAGCAAGAAATATTACTAAAGCCCAAAAAAACGCCAAACGAACAAAACAACCTTTGCCTGACTGTGTTCATGGGGATAATACGGAAAAAAAAAACACAATGTTGATATGTAAAGTCTTTAACCCTTCATTCAAATGTATCACTGTTACGCTCACAAGTGATATCTAATGATGACTTCCAATTCAAGGGTTTTTTTGTAGGACTAATAGATGGCAGTAGCAGCTATTACATGCTCTACAATGTGCTAATTCAAGTAAGATAATATGAAATGCAATCCAAACTAAAAGAGAATCACTAGATAAGAGCAATCACTTTTTATAGATCTACAATTTCATCCACACTTAGGAAAAGATAAGCAGAGGGTAGCTATTCGAGAAGCAAGCACAGATGGCTTCTTCTCTTCATTTGTCCCACTCTTTATGAAACAAGGAAATAACTGAAAATAATACTGTGAAGAGACAGTAAGACTACAATCACTGTTAAACTATGCAAATTAACAAATAATCCAACTGCTCCAATTAACAAATCAATTTCAACTTCACCTGGATGTGGAGATACTAACATTCTGGAATGGTGCAAGTTAGATAAATATTCAGACATCTAAAGAGCAATGGGAGAGAAGGACTATATTGAACTTCTTACATGATCAAATGTTCTCTGATCCCAAGCATTTGACCACACGGCTGCTGCAGCCCAGTAGCCAGCAATTGCATCGGTTTCATCAGGCGCATGCTCAGATGCACTCTCATTGATTTTTGTCCAAGAACCTAGAACAACACCATCAACCTCGCCACACTCAATCTCGAGATGCTGGAACAAAGAAGACCCCCCAAGGTGCAAGCTAATTTTACTGGCGTCAAAAGGTACTGCAGCTTTCAGGAGTTCCTTTTGTCGAGTAAGATATGTTTTCCAAAAGTGGCTGCTAGGATAAAGCCTCTTTTTTGTCACGCGGTCAAGCAAGGCAGAAGTTGAAATGAAGTCAGTATCATACAGAACCAAGATACCATTCTAACAAGTAATGATTAGGAAATGTTATACCTCAATAAGAGATATCCTCTCCAGTACATTGTCTTCGTATGGTCTTAAAAAGCCATGTTTTCTCATTTCTTCAGCAATTTGATATCGAAGAGATCTCCTCACTGTGCCAAACACCAACTGATTGAGACACGCTTCCACATCCTCTCCGAGCCTTTGCAGAGTTGCAATGGCAACCCCAGGTTCACCCTACACATCAAGAAATCCAAGTGGTAGACATCATACATGTACACTACTCTGTCTAAGCAAGTATTTTCAGGCTTACCTTCAAAAATAGGTCATAAGCTATAGCTCTTCCAATATCACGAACTTCAGTAAATGTATCATGATGCTCTCCGTTTTCTACCGAGTCTTTAGAATGTTGAAGATGCAATTGAAGAACGGCTAAAGGGAGTCGACCGGAGAGCAAGGCATCTTTCACCACGGTTTTCAAATCCAAATTATTAGTCTTCCAACGAGCCATCATCTCCTTGGGGTTTTCCACAGGAAGAACTTTCTTCTCTGTCAGTACCTCTTGGGGTACAAGGCTAGATGCACTACTTATTTCGTCAATGGTCTGGTTAGATTTGGCTGTAATCATACCCATTGGCGTCAAAGCAAGCTCATTATTGGTATCGACTATATACGTGTCATGTTGTCTCGACTCCGCAGATGATGCATCTGGAACAACTTCAAGCTGAGAATCATCTTGAGAATTTGGGTCTGCCAGGTTCAGTGACTTCTCATTCTTTCCCTGTAACAACACATGTCATATGTCAAATTAAGAAGCAAAACACACAAATCTACAGCTTACTTATAGTATTAATACTATATAGTACCTTTCCTAGTTTCTTAAATTTTCTGTAAATACGGGATTGGAAGTTCCGGGTGATCTCCAAAAGATATCCCATCTCTGACAACCTCCTTGGATTTTCCATTACATCGCTATGCAGTGAAATTGACGGAAGTGAAAGTATATGTGTCCTAGGTTTGCTGTCCAACATGTATCCATCTTTCTGATACTCAAGTAACCCATATATGCGAATCATCTCAGTCGCAAACCTTGTAGCCAATGTGAGGAGCCTACATTCAACATGTAGAAACAAGTGGCATGGTAAACCTCACAAGATTAATGTTGCTAATACAGGCTTCTAAGAAATACCATATGTCAATGAATCAATATACTTAATCGTAAAGCTCTAATTGATTTTCAGAATGAATACAAAAAAAGAAGTGGGGCCTGGAGAGATTTTGCATGAATCTGAACATATGAACATTTTCTTTGAGTTACAACCATAAAGCTGTACTACTGTACTTATACAGCATAGTAATATGATCAAAATAGCATGCTAATGAGTAAGGACATATCACTACTTTTAATCTATTGGTGATCCATCTCTTTCACAAAACTATCCTTATACCACTCATTACTCAATAGATCCTCACCTAGATACAGCAGAAATCTCATTATCGTTCCTATTCTTGCGCGACAGCAGATAAAGAGCAGAGAATAGCACCCTTAGCATGCCTTCTTCTGCCAGCTTTACATTACCCAGCATCTTCAAAGACCTACTCATACAGCAGAGATTAATCAAAATTAATTCATGATAGAAGACAAATTGTATTGATGGCATAAAGCATATTTACACGATAGATGAGAGTAAAATCATGGAGAGGGGGCTAAAGGATTATCATATTCCTAAATAAGACATGTAGAAATCTCAATCTTTAAGGTCTAAACTAAATTCCAGTACTACGATAAAAATGCAGTAATGATCAGGAATACAGCATAAAAAGTTGCTCATCTAACTAACAACAAAGAAGAGAGAAAACTTCAGATTAGAAATGCAGATAAGAGGATGATGACATAATCCAAGTTAAGGCAATAAAAACTTTAATTCTAGTAGAAATCAGTTTGGCTGAATTCAGAACGAAAGAGTTATCTCTATTACACGACTTATTAACAAGCAATCTTTCTTCTCAAGTAGTTACATCCTTTCAAATAAACCACAATACAAAAACCGAAGTTGCCAGCTGAACCAATACAACCACGCATAACTCTTTTTTCAAGATTTGTTTATTAAGGAAAGCCTTTTATACTGTGAGGATCTACAGTTCTCAGATTGGGAAAAACAAAATACAGCACAACAAAAATTACTAGAAACTTACTCGTTGATGTCATCATATTTTAAGTAGTCCAACGCCATTTGCAGTCGACGCAAACGAGCAATTTTTAGGTCCCAACCTATGACACAGTGATTCATTTAGCGTACCATAAGCTTTATTGAACAAAACGTAGTATAAGCAAATTTATAAACCATCTTTCAAGTCGCAATATGTGAGGTTCTGCAGCTACAGCAAGGGGATATACATAAACCATAATGTGAATATGAAGAAACGAGAGAGAACAAATGCACAAAGCTACTGCAATACAAGCATTTTCTCATGCTCACAAACAGCTGGGGACTTTTGAAATAAACTGCAAGCACCGACATGATTTCATTGTATAATTAGTTATTGCCAAGCACTCAGTTACAGTTGAGTTCAGTTTCATTCTAGCTTCCACATGCATTGACAAATCAAACTAACCCGCATGACAGAGTCTAGGTGAACTAGTTTTCAACTATTTGTAACTTAACTCTGTAAGCATGACAAGCCACGTTGGTTAAGAGATAAATGTCAATAGATAAACAAACTGTACGGTATGAAATGGTAAAATCTCCGAAATTAAAAGCTTTAAGGATGCAACAAGCTTATTTACAGATTTTTCAGTTCATAGAACGAGTAATGTTTCTTACCATTTTCCAAGCACAAACGATCTGCAGCTTCAGGGCCTTCGAACAAGATAACTCTATCTATGACCTCCACTTGCCAAGGAAAACGTGATTCCCCTGATCTCAAATTGTCTCTTCCCTGGCATCCCATGACAGTGGTTTGGAATGGCTGCAGATATTCAATGGCCTCAACAGTTGAGTAATTCGGGGTTATTGAGATGGAAGGGAGAAAAACTGAAAGACCACTACAAGTCACCAGATAAAGAAATCCTTGGAAGGAGCAACCAACTGATTCTCCTATTAAGGTTTCTTCTGCACCTTGAATAGAAATCTTGTTGTCATTGTAATTCAGACAACTATCATCTCTCGCCGTCAAATGCGTCGGCAGGGTGTAATGAAGAATCTTGCAGCTTTGATCTTCTTTTTTTGTGTGCTTTCTAGAGAAATGAGTGAATCCCCATGGAGAAAAACATATGTTATCATCCAATCCCAATTTTTCTGCGGATAAAAACATCTTCCGCGTGACGTGTGGGTCTCTTTGGAAATCTTCAAGTCTCGGCACATTTATTTTAGGCTGAGTAGAAAAACCACTCAACCATGAACCAGAGTAACCACATCTTCGATCAAAATTATTTTGTTGTCTTTCCAAACATCGATCAGACATCGAGATATCAGAAGCAGAAAACCCAGGATCACACCTGGAAAAGGCATCTTCACCTCCAGAGCCAGAGGAATGAGCGTGGTGTACTTTTTGCTGGCCAACGTCCATACCACCGACTTTCCACCCAACAAAACTTCCAAGCCCAAAATGACATAAATAAGGAATAGATTCGATGGACATGCGGTATTCCTTGGAAACAAAGTCATCAACACATAACACATATACCAAACCATTTTCGTCAACTGCAGCTATGAGTGGTGTATGAGAAGCTACAATAAGCTTTCTAAACTTTCTTCTGTCTGCTGAACGAACAATATGAGACTTCGACATGGATGGAGCAAGACTTTGAAAGTCACTTCGCTGATCAGCCTCTGCAGTTGCTTCTTGCATATCTGATGAAGAATGCAATCCACGACCACATGTCTGTAAAATATCCTGATGAGCAAAACAATCCCCAGAATTCACATCATATAGAAATATCAAACCAGAAACACTGAGGCAGATAACAAATTTATCAGATAGCCGGAAATCTGCCCAGTCATCTCTAGGTCCAATACTTGATTCCCTGAGTTTCACAAGGGAGAGCCATTCCATCCCCCAGCTAAACAGCTGGGCAACAAAGACAACGTTCTTACCCTTGCTTGATTCGTTTTCATCGCTTGTATGGGTAGATGCACAGTCCGATAACTCCATAATAAATCCAATCAGAAAATGAGAATCGCTGGAGAAAACTTTGGTGCACCTGTACAAACTGTTTACACTGCCATTTTTTATGGGCACATCAGCTCGAGAAGCAGATGGATCTGAAGCTACGAGAAAACTATTGCCACCTAAAGTACCTTCCTCCGGCAAATTACCCTCCTGAAGTATGGAATTGTCTTGGAAAAGAAGATTTGAAAAAGGCAGATCACTATCTAATATGCTGAATGAAACAACCTCTGCAGAACCAGGAAACTCTGACTTCTCAGGGAACCTTGACTGTCTTACACCCTCAATTTCAGTAATTTCCACATCGATTAAAAAGGATTCCATCCACTGCTTTGAACCATCAGAAGAAGAGACCCTTTCGTGTTCTGATTTCTGATTTAGCCTAGAAGGTCCCCATTCAACCCACTTCCCGTGCCTCAGCTCGCCATTTGGTTTGCCTCTGGCTCTGTCACTTGAATCTTTGGAACAGCAAAAAGCGTGGACCGTAACACCATGATTTCCAGATACAAACAACAATTCTCTGAACAAAGGGTCTTCGTGCCGATTGTAAGTATCCCCACAACTACCCCACGCAACAGAGTTTGCATCAAAGATAAAAGGAAAACCACTGCGACTAGAACTGCAACTATCTACAAAACCTGGCTCACCAGAACCAACTTCTAATCCAGAAGGAGATGCAATGTTCTCTGAATCTGACCCACCAGATGCTGCAAAATTATACAAAGGGGGCGGAGAGCATGCAGGACTACTCGAATCTTCATTATGACAGCTTGCCGAAACCTCACTGCCAATAGAGCTCCCTGATAACAGCGATTGAACAGCGTTATTGAAATGAAAACACATGTGCATACTCAGCATACGAAGAAGAAGAAGAAGAAAACAAGTTATTACCCGCAACCAGAGGTAGCAGCAAAGCTTCGGAGTGGTGAGAGAGTAGTAGCAACAACTGCCTCGACGGAGAGATGAAAGCCTCGCGAAATTCTGATAGCTTCAGTTGCAATTGAGAAGGTTCCCACTTGTGCAACTGCAGCAGAGTTGGGCCTTCGTTCAACAACCTTTCCATCCTCTATTTGCTTAAACGATAGACAGAATCACGCACAAATCAGAATTCTACAAAGAACAAAGCAATCAACGAACACAGCGACCAACGGAACCTACGAACGCGGGGGTTTCGACCCTAGAGAAACTCCGTAATTCGAGCTAGAACCTTAAAAAACCCTAGCTCAGACTCGATCCAACAAAACAGTTCTCGGGGAGAGATTGAGACTTGAGAGCAAGAGAGACCTGAATCAAGCGGTTGGGGTCAGAGGCGAGATGAAGCAGAGTTATCGCGAAAGCATCGCAACTTCAAATTGGAATGGAAAAAAATCCCCAGAAAATGAAGTCGTAGGAAAGATGATGATGATGAGGACATTTGTGATTTGACGACGTGAGATGAAGAAATCGTTGGTCGTTTCCTCCGTCGAGGATTCGGTTCACTGCACGCCTCCACGGGCCACCGTGTCAGTCGTCTGTTTCTGTGCTTACGTGGAATTTTGTATGTAACTTTTTTAATAAAATCAACTCATCATAGACCAAACTGATTGGGCTTTCTGGGCTTTATTTTAAACAAAATATCTCCAGAAGTTCTCTTATATGGGCCTAAAGAGGCCTACACCTTCCTTGCGTATTGTATTTTACTATTTTTTAGCTCACGAGTATTTTTGTATGTTAAGATGAGTATTGAAAACGAACAGAATCAAAAATGATAATAAATCCTTGTCTAAAATTCACTATTACTATTAAAAATAATTATTAAATTTCATTAACTTTTGTAATTTTTATAGATGTAGCCTAGGTAATGGTTTTCTTTACAAGAGGATCGGCATGACATTACATTTCTGATCGACATGTTTTCACATAATTCACGAGAAGCGGAGAAAATATATATACTGAGATGCTAGAGTGTAAGTTTATTATTTTCTTAACGGAGATTGTAATTCTTTTGATAAAAGGGTAACGTAACTTCTTGGCCGTTGAAAACAATATTTTCGAACCCCAAAAGAAAATAAAAGAAATGGATAACTTGTAATGGCAAACATAAGTAATAATAGCGACTGACTTTTATGGTAAGATCTGTTTTTTTATATACAAATAATTTACCCTAAATTCTGTCATATTGAGATGGGACCCAGTTGCAAATCACCAAACTAATTTATGCCAAAATAAACTCAGAATTAAGTTTTTGATTGGTGCAGTTATATCCAATCATTTGATGGTCCCTCCATGTTACGGGTTTCAGTTTCACTTGATTGTGGTTTAATTAGTGTTCAATTCTTTTCTCATGTCTTGACATTTGTCACTGATGTTTTTTATCTCTCTTTTTTACCCCATATACATATTTGCTGATAGTTTATGTTCAAATTTGAAGTTACTTCCATAGTGGCAAAAGCAAAAACAAAAACAAAAAACCAAGAAAAGAACAAGTTACATTTGCCTACTATTACGTTATATGTTGAATGATCCATTTGAAATACAAAACGAGCTTTACAGTTTATATGAGTTTTAAGTATTCGATTCTAAACCCACTTACTACTAAATTGCAACTATTACATTGTATAGATACAGACATATTAATATGCTATACGACTATACTAACATGACGAAAGTTTTGGTCATTTACCGAAAAGGCAGACAGAATTAGCAACTACAAATAAACATAAAAAACAAGTAAGATATAAATGGTAATCTACGTATAATTAATTCATTCATTAACTTAAGACGGATCATTTTAGATGTTGGGGGTTTGAATATGACGTTATGCTTAAAAAGGAACAATGCGAGTTTTGCAGAAGTATCAATTTTTTTAAAAAAAATGGGACATAAATGAACCAAAAAGTCTTTAGTTTTTTTCGGATATGACAAAAGAAAATTGCAAAGAGAATATGGGAGTAGAGAAAATAAGTAAGGGCATGAAGAGGGGTCGCATAAAGTGACAGAGGAAGGACATTACAAGACAGCTTTGGATGGTCGGATCAATATAATGTTGTCAAAATTATCACACTAACAGACGCAGAGTCCCCGCATGGTGTCATCATTTCTCTTCAAGCCCCGCTTTATTATTTCTTTCCAACAAAAAATCTTCTTCCTTTTTAAAAATTTTTATTTCCTTTTCTTAGTTGTTCCCCTTTTACTAAAACTAATCTTTTTATAATTTGGTGGTATCAATAGCATACATGTATCTCTTGTGTAATTTTTTTTTTCTCTTTTGGTTATAATGTGTTGTGTAAGTTGTACGATAAAGATTAATTTTTTTGCCTTTTTTGGTGGGTTTCATTAGTTGTGCGCCTAACACGAAGTCAACTTTATATGTTCCGGTTTTTTTTTCTATAAAGTCAACGAGATCAATGCTTTTGGAATAAAATTTGATATAATTAACTTCACTCACATAAAAACTGTTCGTTAGTTCAAATTAGATTATGTCTGATGATTGATATTTTTTAAGTTGAGAATTAATACTCGACATTAAAACTTGTATGAGAAAATTGACCCACGACAAAAACCATTCATTCGTTCAAATTCTTTTTTTTTTTTTCAACTCGTTCAAATTAATTATGACTATTATTTTGAACTCGTTCTGAAACCACCAATCAAATTTGTGGTTCTCAATTTCAATAAACATCCACGAGTTTTGTTTATCTATCCAGTCATATTACAGTTACTCAAATCTAGAAGATCGGTCTGTTCGGACCGAACTAGGTAGCCATAGTTGCAGACTAAGTTAGAATATAATAAGAATGCTTGAAATGGAACTACCAGTTGTACAAAGATCACTGAAAATGTAATTATTGAAGGGAGGTAAAGAGAGAGGAAGAAAGGTGATGGATGTGAAAAACAAATAATGTAAGATTTTAAATACATATGAGGAAAAAAAAAAAGCAAAGTAAAATATAAAACGAAATAAGACGAAATGATTACTTTCGCCAACCCACACTTCAGTCTCTTCCCCACTTCTGAAGGCCCATTAATCAGATTCATATTATTACTTATAATTATTGTTTTTCTCATATAAAAAAATTACCCTTTCCATCTTTTAGACCAGAATGTATAAAAATGAATTATAAAAATATTAAACACCCCCACACACACGAACATTAATGTGTGAAAAGAAAACGATCTCATTACGAGTTACGTGTATGTTCGTTATACTATCATTCCCACGGACCAACGCGATGTCGATGTCATAGTGACGTTGTCCTTACGACATCAGGAGGCTAAACTAGTTATACACAAAAGAATAAATGTGATCGAAATTCAAAATGAAAAACTTTGTTCTGACAGGGAAAAAAAGCAATTTATAAATTAATCTTGATTTCTATTTTTTCATCTAGTTATATAAGAATCGATTTATAATCATTTGAGAGCAAGTATATTACACAAAATACAATATAGTTTATTATAAAATACATGTTGTAGTTTTGTCAAAGCCGGAGTTTTCACTCTATAATATCCAACAATAATAATATGATTCCATAAACATTTTTTGGTAAAAATGTTAAATGTTAAATTCCATAAACATTAACATAATGCGAAGCTATACGTCAAAAAAGGGTTGAATTTGATATGATAATTATGTTCCGTTGATCTACCAATGGTTTATAAGTATCATATCATTGTTTGTTATAAGAAGTCACATTACTATTTAGCAAAAAAAGCACATACTTATAGTTATTAGTTACTACCTATTATTATTTATTAGTACTGTTTTTTGTTCGCTCTAATCAACAATGAACAAACGTACGGCGCAAATGACGATACACTTACTAATGATGTAACTAACTGATGCTACTATTATTGACGAGGTTCCTTTTTACCGACTAGAAAATTAACACAGGTGAAAAATTATTATTGTTAACCATTCAAGTTCAACCATGCAAATAAATGTTAGTAAGACATAGAAGCACTGCGGAAATAAAACATATAGGTTACTAAAAAAAGAAATGACAAATCATATCGACGTTACATTATGAAACTCAACTGTCTTCTTCTTTTTTAGAATTCAAGTTTTCTGGTTTTAGGATGAATTTGTGTGATAACTATATTAAGATACAAAATTAAGAATGTAGCATTTGATTTTAAATTACCATAATTAAGAATATATATTGTACTCGAGGAAGATTGCATAAACAGTAGAGACCACATTAGCCTTCATGAGTCTTCTACATCCTTTTGTTTTTATTTTGTGTAAACGCTTTTTTATTCCACATCTTTTGTCTTTTGTGAATTCAATTTTTAGCACCCAAAAAAATTTTTGATTCAATTATTATAATATTGTATGTATCAAAAGTCGTCATTTTATATAAAAACGCATCAAAATATAATGCTACGTCTATTCTATATACCTCAACCCTTACAATTTTTTCTATAAATTTCCCCTGATTCATCATATTATAAAATAGGTAAATCTCTTGTATAAATTAACGGATATGAGTTATCATGTATACATACAGGTGTACATAAAGGGAAAAAATAAGTGGGCTTGGAATTTGATAAACGGTGGGGTTTCTAAACTTGATGAAACTATTACAAAATGCAATCTTGCAAAAGGTAAAACGAGAAAAAGGTAAGAAACTTTTCTCTATTGTATGATTAATAAATTTAATGTATTTCTTTAGTTTTCGTTAGGTGCAATTTTTTAAAGCGAGAAAAGGTCAAATAGGAGCCTAATTCATCAAATCATAATCATGATATCCTCACACAGCATACAGAGGAATAGATTTGCACCTAAGATTTTTCATCATTGCTGCTCCTAATCTATATATTCCTTTTTGGATTCCCAAAAAAAATAGCAATCGTATGAATTATTTGAGTACTACATCATTCTGTAAGAAAATATGAAATCGTAGCTATAAGAAAGTGATAGATGTGTATATTCCCATCACATCTCCAGCCATTTTTTTTCCATGGAAAATGATTTCAAAAATTAAATATTTATAAATTATTGTAAAGAAAAATCTTTTAGAATACGCCAATTCTAGAGGATTTCCGGAAACAATGATTACCAAACGGTGCAATTATCCCTCTTTATTTGTTCGAACTCTTTAAAATATCCCACAAGTAATATTCAGTTTATAGATTTTCAAAACGTGAACAATACAATTTTTTTTTTTGAACAGTGTCTTTTTGTCCAAGAAATTGTAGTACCATTTTTTTGTTTGTGTGTAGTACCATTTTTAGTAAGTAAAATCCAGTATATAAAATAACTACAATTTGAATTTATTATTAATATTTTTGATTAAAAGAATTTTATTATTTAAAATAAATACTTATAAAGTAGTAACACAACACATGAACGCCGTTTCGGGGACGTAACGGGGGACGCCGTAACAAAAGCTGACTGCCGTTTAAGCGACACGACGTTAACTTCCACTATCTCTTCATATTTCTCTCGAGTGCCCTGACGCGTTTTCTCTTTTTTCTTTTTTCTTCTTTCTTTCTCGATTTTTCTTTTTCTTATTACATCAACGATTTTTTTTTTTTTTGTTATAATAATGCACCTCGAGGTTGAGAAAAAAAAACACATTTATCCCATGGAATTCATAACTATACCTTCATCAGTTGACCCCCAAAAACAACAAATTACTTTTGAAAATTCAATATTAGCCATCAATAAAAAACCACGTTTTAACTTGTTTACCTTTTTTTGTTTAGACGGAAAAAAAAACTATTCTTATTTTTGGTTACTTGTTAAATATATTGCCAAAGAATAAACAGTGTTTAGCCTTGGAAAGGCTAAGTGGATACCAAATGAATCTTGTTAGATATATTGAAATGAAAGTTGAAAGCCATTGGACCAATATTAAACCAAAAAAAGATGAATAGTCTTTTTATGCAGTGTGATCTATACTTTGGTAAAAATGATGACATCAACCGCCTAAAACTTTTCATAAAAATTTTTATACTACGGTAACACAAAAATGACTTTTTATAGAAAATGTATGTATTTGGTTGATCCCCTATTCCTCTTGATCTGCCATCACAACCGTTCTAAGTTTTTCATAAATCAAACATCTTAAACTTCAAAATTCTTTAAATCGGTGATAACACAATAATATAAAGTTTATTAATATGGATATCCAAATCAACGTCATATAATACTTTTTCCCATATCACTGTTAAGTTTTAAAACCAGGAGAATGAACAAAAATTAGTCACATGTAAATCTGCCAACAAAACCAATCCAATTGGACCCACTTGCAACTTTCTTTTTCCAACATTTATATATTTATCGAAACACCCACATGGATGGATTGGATCGTCTCCACCCAAAAATCAAACCAAAATATTCACCGAAACCAAAACTCTCTCTCTCACACACACACACGCAGACATAACTGCATCTCCTTCAAGCTTTTGCGTAGAAGAAAGCGAAAGATGGGTACGATAAACCAAGGAATAAGCTTGTTCGATGAACCACAAAACATCATAAACCCTAATAATACTAACCATCTAGGTTTCTTCTTCTCTTGCCCTAGTCACACATTATCTTCGTCATCTTCTTCGTCTTCATCTTCCCCTTCTTCTTTTGTGTCTCCGTTTTTAGGTCATCACTCCCTAAACTCCTTCCTCCACAATAATAACTCCACTTCCTTTGTAACTCATCCTCAAGATCCCATCAATTCCATGGCAAATCTCCCAGAAACCCTAATATCGTCTTTATCATCATCAAAACAAAGGGATGAGCATGTTGGTATTGTGAATCTTGATCATCATCGTCTTACCGGTGGTATATTATCCCAAAGACCATCTCCAAATCCATGGTAAGTTACTTACGAATATAATAAAATTTAATAAGCTGAAGTCTCTGAGGGATCTATTATATTCTAACTAGAAATAAAAAACAAAATTCCATCTCTAGGTATCTCTTCAACTACAACTATTAAAGATTTTAAAATTGCCTTCTTTTCTTTCCCGGCAATTTTTTAATAAAGCCGACCTAAGATATCCTTTATGAGGAATTTATCACATATTCGTCATCTACTATAATAGTTAGGGGGAATTAGCTAATAGTTATCAAAGTGTCTTTTATGCCTTTCCTAAAGATTCATAGCAAACTTTATATATAATTTATATGCGCACGCGTACATATACAAATTTTATATATAATTTACATGTCGCCATTTAAGATATACAAATTTGCAAATTAATTTTTCTTTTAACATTTCAAATGCGTATATGAACTAAAAGCTCCAGTAGTTTATACAAATTATTTTTGTATTTTGTATAGGATTATTTAGTTGGTTTGAACTGCCATGCACACATGAGTCATGACACAGCTACTTATGTCAAATGCGTTGTGTTAATGTAATTTAGGGCATGGAGTAGTCAAGCAGGATATGGATACAGCAAGAAAAACAACCATGGAAGCGAGATTGATGTAGATGATATTGATGATGATGTTGGTGATGGTGGTGGTATTAATGATGATAATCATCAACATCATAATACTCCTCGTCGTCAGAAACATAACACGACTTCGTTAGGAGTAGTGTCTACTCTAAATGTGAAGAAGCTTAAGACAAGAAGAAAAGTGAGGGAGCCTCGGTTTTGCTTCAAGACCCTAAGCGATGTTGATGTCTTAGACGATGGATATAGATGGAGAAAATATGGCCAGAAAGTTGTCAAGAACACTCAACATCCCAGGTATTTTGTTTTTCTTACTTAAATCTTAATTAATTTAATTAAGACTATTTTTCTTATAGTGATTTGAAATTAGTTTTCACTCTATTCCAGTATTTGCTTCGTTAATATATATCAGTTATCTCGTTGCCTTTCATCATTGCTCGGGGGTTCATGATGGCTTATCATAAAAACTTTACAGACTTGAATCAGTAGGTTTTTTATAAGTGTTTAACGTTAGCAAATATGATGAGAATATGTAGAATTAATTATGAGCCATGTAAAGACTAAAAATTGCTTTAGGATCATTTTGCTAATGAATTGAGAATTATTAGTAGAATATCTTGCTGGAGTTTCTCTGTGTAGTGTTAATTATCAGTTATGTTACATCAAAGACTCTTGGGCCAGTGGGATTATTAGTTATACAATAAAGTAAGAAAAGAATATAACCGTTTACAAAAGTAAATAATTCCAAGTGGAAGCATTTGAGTATTATGTAAGATTCTCTCCCTCTCAAGTTGACATTTGACATTTACCAACAATGATTTGTGTGGGTAAATGGTATAGGTCTTCAAAATTATACTTTAGTTAATTTGTAAATTATCATGAGCTCACTAGTAAAGTTCCAATAGTCTTCTTGATGTGTGTTTGATATAGCAGTAAACATTCCCACACACAAGAATTGTTCCCTCCCTTAAATTCTTATCTGTATATGAATTTATACACGAATCTTTATTTAATTCATAATATGAAATTATTATCTAGACCATCTTATAATTTAGAGAATACGTATTTTATATGCTGCAGTACGGGCTAATAGAAATAGAAAGAAATCTATGTTCTCTTTTGTGAGATAGGCAGATGTATAATGCTGTGATGCATTTTTCCGATAAAATTGATATAAGGGTAACTAATTAATTAAGATTTAATTTCTAAAATGGCAGGAGCTATTACAGATGCACACAAGACAAGTGTAGGGTGAAGAAGAGAGTGGAGAGATTAGCAGATGATCCAAGAATGGTAATCACTACTTACGAAGGAAGACATCTTCACTCTCCGTCTAATCATCTCGACGACGATTCTCTCTCCTCCTCTCACCACTCTGCTCTCTCCAACTTCTTCTGGTGATTCTAATAATTTGTTTTTTTCATATATTTTAAATCATCCTGCCTCGAACTAACCATCGCTTTTAATCAATACCTTGACACAAAAAAGGAAAAAAAAAGCCATAACTACATATAGAACTAGGTACGATGTTTTTACTGTGTAATGTGTTTGTGTGGTTTAGATTCGTGTTTTGCAAGATTATTAATATATCTTTACCACCCTTTTTTGGGCAAGTATATCTTTACCATCTAAGGAGTGAAATTATATATATGAATGTATTTGGATAGGACCTTTTATTATATAAAAAAAAAATGTGTTAACGCTTTGCATTCCCGGGTGTGTTTTTTTTATATGGACCCACAACTTTATCTCTTATAGAAACAAAAAAATTGTTAAACTGTAAATGCAAACGCTAAATGCATGTAAAAGTTAATTTTACGAGAATTTTGAAAAAATGCTTTCTAAAACGCTAAATGCATGTAAAAGTTTATTTTATGAGAATTTTGAAAAAAAATGCTTTCTAAATTAAAAGTGCAAGTTTCTTTATGAATCTTTTTCATGTAAACATAACTCAAATATTGGATTTAGAATAATCGAGAACAGCAATCTTTAATTGTCAAGGTTTGCGGTAATACATCTTTACTGGGCCTTAGTTATCAATGGACACATAAATGTATTAGTATTATTAACGGCCAGAAGGCCCAGAAGTCAGATCAAATGTTTTTTTATGGGCCCCAAAGAAATAGACTGCTGAGACAAAGTTTGTAACTGATGGGTTTCACATATATCATAATTCTTAACGCATTCAAAGTCAATGGAATGCCATATTTTAGTGGGTCTTAAGATAATAATGGGCTTCTCAGAATATTAACATTTGCATATCAAAAACAAATTATTTCAATGGTCCAGGAACGTAACACCACGTGACGAGCCAACAAAAAGTTGACAAATGGATAAGCTTTTAAGCACGTGAGTACGTGAGTGCCTCGATACCCAAAGTATTAACACGTTGATCAACCTTATTACACAAAAAAAGGATAAACTAATCGTATTTAGTTACGAGGACATGAAAAGTTGCGACCCGCTTGCTCCGCCGAGTCCGAGGGAGACTCCCACGTGATTCCCTCGTGGACCGCACGTTCGCGCTCTTAATTCAAGGTCTTATAATCCTTTTACTAATATTTATCAGAATAATCACATTATTTAAGATAATATAGCTAACATGACCTCAATTTGTTGGACAAACTATTGCTAATAATATTTTCCTACTAACTTAATGACACTCTCTTGAAACGATTCAAACCATTGAAAAAGCTAAAGCAAACGTAATCCTGACGCCCCAATATTAAAATTGGGGAAAATATATAGTAGTATTTTTAAAAATATGTTCAATGTAGACTGGGGAATTCAAAACGAGAAAGATGGGGGAAGCTGCTACAGCTGATAGTACTATTATATTTGAAGTTTCACTAAACATCGACGAAATCTGAGCCCTCGCTTTTTGTTTCTTTGTCTCTTCGTCGTGTAGAGAAGGAAGATTCCTAGGTGAGATGAATCCACCGATTTATTTGATTAAACTACTTTAATTTACTAAAGGTACAATTAATTAGCTTTTTCTATTCTATTAATCTGTAAGACTCTTCTTGCCCCAAAATAGAGATTAGAGTAATTAGATAATAAATATATACAAGTATTCAGCTTCAACAATAGACATATTAGACAAATAAAAGTAGAGTAATTAAAAACTAAAACCGAAAATGAATTAGGTAGAGTTTTGTTGATTTATTTAAACTTCATCTTAATTTTTTTTATAAATGCATTACTGATCACTGATAAGAAAGAAAAAAACCAATAAACAGAATTGTTAGTATATATACCAATTGGTTAAATTATATAGTAGTTTTGTTTTCGCGATGAGACGTTTAATTAGTCAGTGTCGTTTTCAGAAGTCTTAGCTGTATATAATATGGCAGAGAGCTCACACGCGTGGAAATGGGTTTGTCTCAATGTTTACGTACAATTGTTTAAAAAGTTATGTTATTTGTTTGTGGCTTTGTGAAGTTCGTACACAGTCGAAACCTCAAATTTGTACACAGTTTATTTGAGAACAAGATTCGCATGTGCGAGAAGTTAATTTGTACGTGAGATAGAAGCCTTGAGAGTGAACAAAACTACGATTAGATTGCAATCCCATACACAGTTGATTGTGTATTACGTACGCATCGCAACCCCCCACTTACATATATACGTTACAAAAAATATCTAAATGTATGGACCGTCTTGCACTTGACCCATTTTAAAAGTATTATTATATGTATATATATATATACTTTTTGTGTGGAAAAGATGTATATATATATACTTAACATGCAGATACACGACGACGGTTCAACGTGAATTATTGGTTTATACAACGATAGAAAACGATAGTAAAATGATAGAAACAATGTTGTTATTATGCATTTTATCGTGGTTTACAGTTTCAATCTTGTAGATTTTAAATTACCTGGAAATTTATCTTTTGTAAAGGTGACCACTAATTTTGGAATTAGACATAATTTTGTTGGGCAGTGGCTTTTTGCATTGCGCTTATTATTCCTGTATTTAATTATAGGTGTCTTGATTTCTTGATATCAGACAAAGAGCAATGAAACCCACGTACGTACCCAATAATTCCGCGTAACTAAATAGAGTTATTGACAAGTTGTCAAAATAATATAAGAAAAAAAATCTTAGACATGAAAAAAAGAAGTATGTATTAAGAATATCTATTAGGAAGATAATAGGTTAATTAAGAAAATTGTATGGATGAGAAGGAAACACACGTGGGAGAGAGAGAGGAAGAGGTCAATTCGGCGGAGACAGGAAAGGGACGGCGGCCCACGGCGGAGGTAGACGTTGTTAGGGGAAGTTTCCGACAAGAACAGCTTGCATGCACGGTGGCCCACGTGCTCCGTACCCACCACCGTCGCGCGTGTTCACGCTTGATAGCTACCCATCTTGCTCTCTCTCTCCACAATTTCACTAGGTTAAGCGCGTGTGTTTACACAATATTAACGCGCGCGTATGTTAGTGTGTTGTCTACGTAATGCAGTTTATACATAAAAAGCCTGTAGGTAATGTATGAATGTATCATGTGTGTTTGCACGTATCCGTCGGTTTTTTTCAAAAAAAGTTTGTAATGTTTCTTGGAAATACATGGGTAACTTATATTTATATGAAAAGCTTGTACTATTCTTCCTAGCTTATATTAAAATACGGTAAATCTAAGACGGTTTGCACTTTGCAGTGTTACGTTATATTGATTTATGCATTTGTCAAGTATTAGCTTCCGAGAAAGACACATACTAAGGTTAAACAAAAAAGAGAAAGACACAAATTATAAATATATATATATATATATATATATATATATATATTTCGATCTGTAACCTATGAAATCACGCGATGATGAGATAACTCAGCAATTTCTTAAGATTTTACAAATCACACTTCTATGAGAAATGTTGACTGATAGTGCATGTTATTAAGTAAAAAATCATTAAAAAAATCAATATTATGTAAATTAATGTCTTTCTATATGTTAAGCATATCATAAACAGTAATATGCATATTCGTATGATGCGTATAAAGCTATATATTACCCGGATAAAGCTCTCTCCAAGTTTCATCAAAAGTCTAAACTCATGATTTGATTTAAGTTATGGTAATAGTGAGAAAACAAAAAGGAAATAATGAAAAGCAAAGGAACACGAACTCCGAAGAGCGAGGGGAGTGAAGACAGTCCACGTAGCTGGAGAGAGAAAGAGAAGAGCACGTGAGGCGCACGTTCCTTGTGTAAGATTTGTTGTGCTAATGTTGGTGCAGTGTCACAGAAACATGAAACCCAGACTTTGTTTTAATTTCAGGGCGAAGGTCCATTTCTCCATGTTACGTTTCAATCTCTTATTTATTACCATAAAAGTTTAAAATTCTATTGATCACCCTATCATTTTCAATTTATTTATACATCTACTGTCACTTGAGTTTACCTTATTATGCTACTATACGTACAATACTCTCACTTCAAATTTTGTTTTCTTAAGTTTAATCTTAAGGTATTCATTATATTTCGACAGAAAAAAAAAATTAAAATAAATAAAGTTGCACTGAATAAGTTAGAGAGAGATATAAATATGGTCCAACGGATCAATTCACCCATACAAATAGAAAAAGAAACAAGAAAATGGAAAACGTTTAATTCACCCATATGTCAAAAAGGGACCACATTTGTTATGAATATATTACGTCCATGGAAAAAAACAAATTAAAGTCTCATCTATTCTCACTTTCCCGTTCCCGTGCACCGTGAATTCCCCAAATTTAATCCGACAATAATGATATAATAGGGTCACGTGCATTTACGTAAGATGATCGGTCGAAATTTAATAAGCTTATACTGCTTTTTTTGTTCGTGATTCGTTTCATTTATTAAAATTACTTTAGGAATTCACAGGAAAAATTAATTCGTCAGCAAAATAGGAATTTTTAATAGAACTATAAACGTAAACATTACAAATCCCAAACTGAAAAAAAGAACTGTATATTTACATATTCGTGACAAAGTTATTACTCATTTCTCTTCTCCATCCCCCAAATCAAGACCACCCAAAGAAAAAAAGAACATCCGTCTTATGTATAAATAGCATACATACATACATACATTTAGAATACAGTAAAAATACAAAAAAAATACACCGAAGGAAAATTGGACTGACCCTTAGATGATTGATGTTCAAAGAATCTGCTACTAAATTTCAGAATTTTCCTTCAGGAACTTCTTTAATACTCATATCAACCATCTCTATTGTACTGAATCCTCCATCCTCTATTGATCCGATCGTCGACTGCGAATCTAGCCCCGACCCGGCTTGTATCTCCTTAAACATCGCCAGGACTTGTAATATAGTCGGTCGCCTCCAAGCCCGATCATCCAAACACGCAACCGCAACTTTTAAGTGCTGTAAAAGTTCGATCTCTAGCGCTGGATCTTCCTTCATTAGCTCAGGATCGAACACGTCGCTTATCCGCAGTTTCGCATGCTGTTTCACCCATCCAACAAGGTTATTATCTCCAAAATCCGGCGAATCCGTTGGCCGTTTACCCGTAAGTAGCTCTAGTAGGACCACGCCGTAACTATATACGTCTCCTTTTGTTGAACACCTGAAACTTTGGTAATACTCGGGAGGAACGTAACCCGGTGTACCGGCTAACGTACTGACGCTTAGGTGCGTGTCCATCGCGCTCATCAGCCGCGCCATGCCGAAATCCGACACCCGAGCTTCCAAGTTCTCGTCAAGCAACACAT